AACTTAAAAAAAAACAATGGAAAAAATGGATGATGATGACGATGACGCACTTCTGAATTTTCCATCATTTTGTTGTTGATTTTTTATTTTTGTTTGTCGCCCGGCATACATAGTCGCATCATCCATGCATATATATTGTCTCCGAATAAAAATGAGTTCCTTCGAAATCAGCAGAGAGAAATTTTTTTTTTCTGGGCAACATTCCAAAAACTGCTTTATCGATCAGTTTGTTGTTGTTTTTTTCAGGCAAAAAAAAAAAACATTATCGATGTTATTTTTGTTTTCAATGAGTTTTTTTCCCTATGAATAGAGACAGAATCTGTATATCACGACTAATGAATCACATCAGTATTCACCAATGAATATAGAAGGGTTGACTGTTGGTTTGCAAACAATGATGATGATGATGATGATGATGATGATGTTTAATTATCATGTTTCATTATTTGATATATATAAAAAAAAAATTCACTCAGCTATCTTCAATGGTGATGATGATTAGAAAAAAAAATGGTTGCAAACTAAACTACGCAATGAAGAAATTTCGCCCATAAACCAACCGGACAGAAAAAAAAGTATTAATTAATTGATTTCTTTTGATTTATTCTTTTGAATGAAATCGAAAGAACCACCCAGAAAAAAAAATCAATTTCAAATCTTGAAACAATTGATTGGCTACACGGATACACAGAGAAACAAAGATATGGCCCTGACAGATGTACGAATACTTTTTTTCCAGTTACAATCTCTTACATCTAATTTATTATCTAGTCAAGTTGAACAAAAATCTCATTCTTTGATTACATATTATTATCATTATTAACAGGGTAAAAAAAACAACAAATAACTAATTACACCAACCGAGCAAACAAAAAAAAAAAAAATTCGACTTCAAAGAGTCCATTTTATTCAAAGATGATGCCACATCTTCCAAAAACAAGATGAAATGACCAAAATCTTTTTCTCCCGTTATGGTGGTTATCTTGAACAACCATTATTATATTTTCTGGTCCGTCCATTAGACCAAATGAATCCGAAATATATCCCAGGAATCGATATTCTATAAAGAAAAACATAATACCCGACCACATACACTTGCACAGTAAACACGGTTATTATTACTCAAAAAAAATGAAACAAAAATAAATGATGGAAAACAGAATAGTAATTTCATAGTTTGAAACAATTGATAATAAATAATAACATTTCACTGTAGAACATTCTAATCACACATATGGACAATGGTCTTTGGAAAATCCAAAAATAAAAAACGAAAGTATTAGATCCAATAAATACCGAAAATGGTGATATAATTGGTAAGCTGCTCCTACTACCAACTACTGTGTACTGGTTACTGGTTATTATCATCATCATCATCCATAATGGTTATTAGCAATTATCAACAGAGAAAAAAAAATGTGAATTCATTCATTTATGGGCGCGGTCCAAATGAGTTAAGCTTTTTTTTCAAACGATATTTTCATCATCAGAAAAGCTGCTTAAGAATTTTTTCCTTTCTTATCATCTGATTCACTTGTTTATATTTTGGGCCGTGAAAAAAAAGTTTTTCTTCAAAGATGTTGCGCTTTTGATTGGTCATTTTTTCATTAATTTTTTTCTTTCTTTCTTCTGGTAAATCGGATATGAATCCAAAAGGAAAAAAAAATCTTATCAATATAATTGCACCATGTGTGTATGTTGTAGGCGATTATTATCGTCATCAATGTGTTAAATACGGATGGAACAGCAAAAAAAAACTTGAACCAACAAACTAAACTCATAATCTTGTAATGAATGAGCGCAACAACAACAACAACAACAACAAAAAACGAGAGGATTGTTCGATTCGGTAATTAATTAGATTGAATTAAAACCACAAAAACAACTGAAAAAAGAATGGAAAAGATGAAAAACTTTATGATGAAAATCTGCTTTCCCAAAACAAACAATAAATAAAAATCAATGACACATTCGTCTGTTTGTGATTCCATATTCTGGAAATTATTAGTTTAATTCAATTATCACATGTGGATTATGGACAAATTCTGTTCACTATAGTCTATAGAAGAAAAAAAAAGTTTTTCAATGTCTAACCTGGGGGAAGAAACCTGATAATACACAATGGACATTTTTAGAAAAAAAAAATCTGAAAATTTTTTCTTCACAACAACATCAGGATCGAAATATAAAAAAAAAATTAAGGCAGTGAAGCCCATTCATCTGTGTTCAAAAAGAGAACCAACAAAACATATATCTATTTTAAAGTTTGAAAAACTTTTCCACCAACAACAAAAAAATGAACAATGAAAAAAAAATGAAATGAAAATAAATGAAGAATGAACATTACCCATTCATTGTCATCATTCTCATCATGATGATCATGACAATTTTCACTACATTCAATTCAAAAAAAGAGTTGATTCAAAAATGGTACCAACAACAACAACAACAACAACAACAATGACGACGACGACAACACAACGACCGAAAATAAAACTTGGATCATCATCGTTGAATGTTGTAATGAACAACAACAACAACAACAACAAACCGACGACAAAACTCTGAAAAACCGGACAAAAAAAAACGGTTATTCACAATTCATTTTCATTCTCTCTTTGTAACTAACTATATTCACATTTTATTTTTTGAAAAAAAAAAATTTTTGTTTTCAAACAAAACAACCCAGACTATTTTATTATTAACAATGTAGTGAATGAGATGATGAAGAAAAATGAACCAGAATAAAATGAATGAATCAATGAATGAATGGAAAGAGAGAAAATATTCAAAAAGTTTTGTGTATGTCTGTGGACAATTTTTATGCAATGATTATATGATCAATGTATATGTAACAAGCATCTTATCATCATTATCATAATCCAATCAGCTATTGATTGGTCAATCAATCAATTAATTAATCAATGATGAAATTATTATTATAGTTTAAATGATAACCACACACACACACTGATTCATTAATTCAAAAATGATCATCAAATGAATGAACATTGTCCATTGTGTGAATATCGACAACAACGAACAAGACAAAGACAAAATCATTGACTGTTCATTTGTGAATGAAAAAAAAGTTTGTCAAGTTTCAACAAGCGAAAAAAAAAAAAATAAAAATAAAATGAAAATGAAAAATATTTTTTTCTCCGAAAAAAAAGATAAATGATGTTTCTGAAACACACATGACATCCAATGTTGGTTCGTTGGTTCTTTGTTTGTTGCCTTTATTCATTCAATTTTATTGTACAAGAGATATACACTTGGTGATGATGATGATCACTCATCAATTTATTTTCGTCTTTTTCAACAAAAAAATAGTAGTAGTAATAATAATAAGAAAAAGAAAGTAAAAACTCCAAATGAAATTGAATGAGAATCAGAATTTCAGAATAATGAAAAAAAAGAGAAAGAAGAATTGAAGAAAAGAATGAAATGAAAATTGAAACCAAAAAAAGAATCTTTCCAAGACATATACTATTTACGAACATTATGAATGAATGTTGAAAAATCTGTATTGTATACATTTTGAAACAACACTACTCTACTCTACTGCCAACAACCATCATCATCATCATCATCGACCAAACAATACAATTTCAATGGTTAAAATATAATAATAAAAAAAAAAAATCGAATGAATATTGTTAGCAAAAAAAGAAGGAAAAAAAAGGAAAAAACAGACCAAATTGAATGAATGAATGATGGTGGCGAAAAACTTTACACTACTTACTTATCTATCTATCTATCTATGTAAAATGATTTAGCCAATAAAATCATTCTTCAGTTTGATGAATCTAAGACATTCACCACCATCGTCATATATAAGATGACATTGTCATCAGCAATGATGAGCGTCTGTTTTTTTTTTTATTTTACAATGAAAATAAATGTCCATTATTCATTGCCGGATTGTTGTTGTTGTCTTTTCACTCAAATACTTTCGAAGAATGTAAAAAAAAAATGAAATACATCGGTCACACATTAACACTCTACTTATTATTTATTCACAACATTTTTTTTATGTTCAATTCAAAATTCTCTCATTCACTTGATAATGTGATATGATATTGTCATTGTTATTCATTTTGAAAAACGAAAGAAAAAATTTATTGTCAACCAAAACAAGCCGACAAAAAAAAAAAAAAATTTTTCATTTTCATTCATTCAATTCCATTCATTTTCCATATTTGAATCCAAAAAAGAGGAATGGAGAAAAATGAAATTAAATTCAATTGCCAATAGATTTGGAAAATGAGACAATATTCTTGTTGCCAGAAATATTCTTTGAAACTGATAAATGTCTTTCGCTCTCTATTTTAATGTCTATATAGCTGATCAATTCTTGCTAAAAAAATATTTATGGAAATTTTCTCAACATTCACCACATATATGTCCAGTGTTGTTGTTGTTGTTGTTGTTGTATAAGTGGACATGGAGTATAGTAGTTGAGTGCATTACTTTATTGATGGATGGTGATGATGATGATGATGATATGACGATTAAATATTATTATTTTTTTTTATTTTATTTTATTTCTTTCTAGTTTACAAAACCTATTGCATTAATAATATAATGCAGTAATGTTTCTTCTTCCACTAGGTCCCAAAGGGGAATCTGGATCCAAATATAGTGAGCTTTATCCATATAATAATGGTAAATCATCATCAGACAAAGTTAGTGAAATCAAAATGGCTATTCATCCATCTATCCAGTGAATGAAACATGAAATGAAAAGAAAAAATGGACAACACATTGAACACACACACACACACAAACACTAAAATGCATATATCTCACAGGAGACATTCGAAATATATGGCAGTATAGGTTTTTCTCAAAAAAAAAATGTCATCAGCCAAAAGAAATATATAAAAAAAATTCAGCCTCTCTCTCTCTTTCACTCTTAGAATCTTTGATATATATACAAGTCATCATCATCATCATTTGATTTATCGAAGCGAAAAATAGAAAGAAACTTGACTTACCCGCCCTTAGTTGACAATCTCGACTTCTAATCGTTGCAAATGTATTACTTGCCATACATCGATATGTCTGTGTATTGAAAAAAGAAGTGAAATGAAAATTTTTAAAAACAATACAAAAAAAAACAATGATAAACACTGACCGTTGAATGGACATCTTGTCGATATTGATCCAAGGCAAAGGGCGGAAATACTAATTGTCCATTTGGACGTACATAACGTATACCGGTTATTTCCTGAACAATTGCTTGATTATCTGCATTGATCCACCATATTTTCACTGGTGATATTGATGATGTAGCTGAACATGATATAACTGTACCTGTAGAATTGGAAAACAACATTCTTGCTGGTGGTTCATCAATAAATATCGGTGATAGTAATTGCAGTTGTTGAGATGATGATGATGATGATTGTAGCGATTGTTGTTGTTGTTGTTGTTCATTATTTTCGATTATTGATGCCATCACTGATTGTTGCAATGATGATAAAAGTATCATTTGTGTGTATAACATCATCATCATCATCAGTGGAAACGTTCTTTGTTTAAAATCTGTTGTCACAAATTTATGGGAAAGAAAAAAAGAAAAGAATAAAATCAAAATAAATGATGAACCAAATTAACACTCTTGGCTTCCTATTAAATGAATGAATCCATTTTCATGATTCTACACTTTTCACTTTTGTCAAATGTTTGTCTATCTCTCCCTCTCCCCCTCTCTCATTCTCAAGTGTATAAATATCTATGGCAATTAGAGCAATTTCAATCAAAAAAAAAAAAAAAAAAAAAAAAGGCAAGCTTTCTAACTAATTGACTTTGAATTAATGTAGTCACTACACTACTATAGCGAATCGGAAAATTGACTCGAAACTATGACCTACTACTACTGCCACTATTCTCGTCTAGTCTACTACGGAAAATGGATTCCATATCTTGCCAAAAAAACAACAATCTTAAATCAATACACACACACACACTAATCTACGATATTTAAAAAAAGGGTTCCAAAAGCACGTACGATACCAAAAAAAAAAAAAAATCAAATAAAGAAAAAAGAAAAAATCGAATCAAAAAACATCATTGTTTCTCAAATGGAACATTGTTTTTTGTGTTTTGGATTTAAATTTGAAAATTTAAAACATAAAACTTACATTTAACGACAGTATGATGATGATGATGGTGGAAGCCATCATCATGATCAAGTGGAAAACAATTGAAAATACATTTCAGTAGCATCGTGGTTGTCGTCATTTTTATTCGTTCTTTATTCGTTTTCATCATCATCATCATCATCATTCTTACCGATGACAATGTTATCGGCATCTTTGTTGTTGTTGTTTTGATTGAAATTCTATTTAAACATTGACATTGTTCAACAATAATGTCATCATCAACATCATCAACATTTTGATAATCATATTCCTCCCATAGTTGTTGTTGTTGTTGTTGTTTTCGTATGATAAACATGATAACATTACCGGGCAAGAGAAAACAACCACAGAAAACAAATGAACACAAATGGAGATTTGAAAAAATTGAAATAAAAAGAAAAAATTCCAAAAAAATGTCTCACAAATCACGGTAGTAGGTTCAATCAAATATTTTTTGAGACAACCATTATATTGAAAATCATTGTCTCATTCACCGATAATCATTGGGCGTTGGCTTTGAATTCTTGATACAAAAAAAATTACAAAAAACAAGAACAACAACAACAATATTGATCAATCAACTATGATGATTAGGATAATTTACCACGAGAGAAAAAAAATGACTGCAATATGATAATATAGTTGCGTACCACATTGATTAGCATGATATATCATCATCATCATCATCAGGAAATTTTTTCGGAACTACAAAATTAAACTCAATCACGATGATGATGATGATGATGATCACCACTCACTCACTCGATATAAACAATAAAATGGAGCGAAAAAACAAAATTCAAATGTTTTTTTGTGTGCGAATCGGATGTCAACTTCACATATGACGTGTCATTGTTCCAAAAAAAAAACTAATTTCAAATCATAAACACAACTTTATCATCATCAATTTTCGTTGAAATTTTTCTTTTGATAACAATCAAAAGATTCGTTTTTTTTAATAAATCAACATACATATCATCATCATCGTTGTGGATGAAGAATCGATTGCATCGATTGTGTGTGTGTGTGATTTTTTTGGCGTATCAAAAAAAAAATCAAATCGAATCAAATCAAGTTCATTTAGATGAATATAATAAAAAAAACTGATGATGGAAAATGATTGATCACCATTGACTGATTACAACACACCAGAAGAAAGTAAGAATTGATTGAACTTTTTTTTCATTATTAAACCGAAAATATCAAATGATGAAATGATAGGGGGAATTGTTGTTTTGAAACATTCGAATATCCACCATCACCAATCACCACCCTATAAGAAGAAAAATAACAAAACAAAACGACAAAGTTATTTTTGAAGCAACAACAACCCACACTCATTACTGGAATGAATACTGGCGCCAGACTAAATTCCATCATGGATCAATGTGTTTCATTTATACGACGACGACGGACGACGGCCAAAGAATTCAATGAATGAGAATGGTTGGTTAGCATTTTGGTCTTTGGGCGTCTGCGCTTCCAAGTGAACGCAGGCGCTCAAATAAAAATAAAAAATCGAGAAATTGGGTTCGTTTTATGAATTAAAAAAAAATTTTAAACTTTTTGTTGTTTTCACAGATAAATGTTATTCACAAAGGTGGAAAATTTGAAATAGAAATTAAATGTCGTATTGTTGGTCGATTATGTGCACAATGCCACGGATTACGTACATCGATCATTTTCGCTATAAGCATTTTCATCTGTAAACGGGTTAGAAAATCACCAATCATAATGCTTGATCTACATGCTTTGGATGCAATTTCACGTTTCAGACCACGAAACATGAATCGAGAATAATTTGATTCCATAGTGGTGTTGTTTACTACCACCAAAGAAGGTGTATCGAATAAAGTGGCGATCAATTCTTCAACATCCGATTCATTTGCCGTCCATCGATTAGCCATAGGTATCTGTGTCATTTGAACACGATGACCAATTGGACGATCATAATCGACGAGGAAATCGAAACCAAATTGTTGGAAAATTTCCATATTATCCAATAATAACATTTCACTGGTCGTTGATAATTTTAGTGATTTTGCTACAACCATTCTTTGTCTAGTAATTGGTGGATTTGACAATAATTTTTCATAATTGAACCGTTCATCCAATGCATGTTGATCTAATACAAATAAGTTATCATCGTAACGAACGACGATAAAACCAAGATTATATTGCCCAACGATACGAGCTTTTCCGAATAATTCTTTAGCAATTCTAACCCTTGTTCCACCTTGATTTTCGGTGGAACAATGTTGTTTTTGATTGGAAATTTTTCCACCACGACGATAACCATTGCAGATACTATCGATTGTTACATCGACTATAATCTCATTTCGTGGTGATTCATCTTCTTCTACTTCATTGATAATGACGATTTTCGTGTCATTGGTGGTTGTGGATTCCTGTTTTCTTTTTTTTCGTTCGTGTTGAATATCCGCCGTTTTGGATGGACTATTCATTCGAACATTGGATTTAATTTTTGGCTGTTTGATTGATGGTATGTCCACGATTGGTGATGAAGTAATTTTTAATGATTCAAAAAATGGATGTTTAAATTCTGTTGCCGTTTGAGATGGCGGTTCAGGAATTAGAATCAATTCGGGTTTTTTAATTGGTGGAATTTGACTTATAGCTGACAATTCCTGACCATCATTATGGTTGTTTGGTTTGATTGGTGTTGAACATTTGGCAGTCGAAGGATCAGTAGATAAAAATGAACGAATCTGTGTTTGTGTTTGGTTCATCATCAGCACTTCATTTGTATCACGATTAAACATTCGTATCAAGGATCTCTCAATTAAACGAGTAAGATATTGTTGATTTGCAAGTAAAATCGTACGTTTATCTGGTGTACAATTTAGATCTAGCAGCTGAGAATCGGTATCAATTCGCAAAACAACAAATGGATATTGGTTACGATTATATTGTCGATACATTTGATTGATTTGTCGTGATAGTTGTGGCAGATCACATGGACGATTATTAATATAAAAATATTGTCGATCCTGAACGGAACGACCACAACCTTTATCTGGCTTTGATATATAGCCACTGATCTGTATTTGATTTTGACCGGATTCAATGGCATCTTCATCCACAATAAATGGCATTAGATTTAAAAATTGTTTATAATTGAATATCGACACAATATTCGATTGAATTGATTGACCATTATTATTGAAGATAATTTCATATGAACCACTACGATGATGCCAACACGATAATCGAAACCCGATAATTCCGACACAATATTGATAAATCATTGCCAATGTTCGATCGAATGATCGACGCAGATTTTGACATAATTCTTTCCGCCGTACTGGAAGTGGTTTGAATAGATTCGCCAATGTTACTGTCGTACCGATTTTACGAGCACAATTTTCACGGCCAATAATTTCACCATTTGTATCAAATCGAATCATAGTGCCAATTTGTTGATTTGAATGTCGTGTATGAATTTGTAATTCACATAAATTGCACAAAGAATTCAATGCTTGGCCACGAAATCCATAAGTGCGAACATTGTTTAGTTGATCAAATTCCAACAGTTTCGATGTACAATTACGGCGACACAATAAATCAAAATTATCTGCATCAATACCACAACCGTTGTCGATAACTTCAATCGAATCTTTTCCCTGTTCAATGAATCGTATAACGATCGATGTGGCCGATGCATCCAATGCATTTTCAATCAATTCTTTCAAAGCCGATGACATTGATGCAATCACCTGACCAGAACTTATTCGTCGTATTGTTTGTGGATCCAATTGTTTAATATCCATGATGTTTTCAATTGTTGAATCGATGGATGGATGATAATTGAATCAATAACGTTTTATTTACTTCAAGATGAAAATCAAAAGCCGCGAAAAAGTGTACGACGACTATATTGACAAGAATTGGATACACACATGCATGTGTCTGACCACGTGATCATTTTATTTCGTTTACGAGGATTCAAAATCGAATTACCCGATTATCGTCAACCATGAGTTTAATGTTTTCATCATATCGTAAAACAAAAAAAGGTTCAATCGTAAAAGTAGTGCGAGAATGTTATCTGCGTGATGATATTCATTGTGGTCGTGAATCATGCACGCAATGTAAAAAATTTAAATTGGATAACGATGAACAATTTGCGCCATCATCAGGATATCTCGTGGATAATGCTCGTCTGTCATTGAATAAACTTTATCCAAAACAAGCACATTATATTGTTCCTGATTTCAACACCGTAACGAATCAAATCGATGTCATTGCTGACCCAACATTTGGTAATGATGTGATTATTTTGCAAACGATTTGGAAACGAATTAAATCCAATATAAACGTGTATTCAAAACTGAAAGAACTGATCTCTTCACGAAGATTTTATCTATTTGATAATGAATTTTTTCGTCAAACATTCAGGTGAATCTTGTTCATTGATTGATCAAATTTAATGAATAAAAATTGATTTTTTGTTTTGTTTGTTAAAAAATAGATGTCGAAATTCGAATGAAACAATTGATGAATATCGTGAAAATCTATGTCGTGAAGCATGCGAATGGCTACAAAAACATTTCACCACTATTCATATCATCTATCTGATTGATTCGATTGATAATGAAAATGTCAAATCATCAGATGAATGTCATTTTCGTATTCATTCCATTGCGGATTATGTGCAAAATTTTCACAATCCAATCAATCTAATGGATAAATTATCGGCCAATGTACAGCAGAATGAAGATGGTGGAAATAAAACACAGAAAAATGATTTTCTTTATGATGAACATCTCCCTTTGCATCAAGTATTACCTAAGATTAAATCTGGACAATTACACAAAGGATGTTATCATTCAAATCGTTATAATTTTCTTGAAGGAACCGTTACCGTAATGTGTGATGGTGAAGAAATGAATGTCCATATTGAAGGTCGTGCGAATATTAATCGAGCAATCAATGAAGATATTGTTGCCATAGAGATTCTACCACGTTCGGAATGGAAATCAAAGATTCATGACACAATTTTGGATGAAGAATTAATTGGCGACGATGATGGCGAAGATGAATCGATGATTGTCAAACCACCACAGCAACTAGAAGAAAAAAATGATCAAAAAACAACAATGAAACCGAAACCATTTGGCCGTATTGTAGCCATTATCCGTCGGAATTGGCGTAGTTTTTGCGGTGTTATACGCGAACCGAAAATCCTGACGTCAACTTCGTCGAATTTTCTTTTCGTGCCAGTTGATAAACGTATTCCATTCATACGGATTGAAACAAGACAATATCAACAAATTTGTGGAAAAAAAATCCTGGTACGAATCGATTGTTGGCCACGAGATTCACGTTATCCACGAGGTCATTATAGCCGCGTAATTGGTGAATCAGGTGATAAAGAAACTGAAACTAATGTTTTGCTATTAGAACATCTTATACCACACATGGAATTCTCAGCACAAGTATTGAATTGTTTACCTGTGGAAGGTGATAAATGGCAACCTAGAATTGATGATTTGTCTAATCGATCAGATTTTCGTCAGGAATGTGTTGTATCGGTGGACCCGCCTGGTTGTACTGATATTGATGATGCATTACATTGTAAAGATTTGGGCAATAATCAACTAGAAGTTGGTGTACATATTGCTGATGTTACACATTTCATTCGACCTGGTTCGGCTATTGATCGTGAGGCCGCTGAACGTGGTACCACCGTTTACCTGGCCGATCGTCGTATCGATATGGTTCCCGGATTACTTAGTTCAAATCTTTGTTCATTAATTTGTGGCCGTGAACGATTATCGTTCAGTTGCGTTTGGAAAATCAATTCAAAAACCGGAGAAATTTATCAAACTAAATTTTCAAAATCCATCATACAATCACGTGCATCATTAACATATGCAGAAGCACAAACACGTATTGATGATCCTGAAGATCAAGGAGAAATTGCTCAAAGTTTACGACGATTGAATAGTTTGGCTAAAATTTTACGAGCAAAACGTATTGAAAAAGGAGCCCTTGTATTGGCTAGTGCGAATGAAATACGATTCGTGGAGGTTGAATCAGAGACGGCTGAAAATGAATTAGTGATACTGGAAAAACAAGCCCTGGAAACAAATTCAATGATTGAAGAATTTATGTTGTTGGCAAATATTTCTGTAGCTGAAAAAATTTATGAAATATTTCCTGAACTTGCCGTACTACGTCGGCATCCAAAACCAGCACAATCAAATTTCGAAGAATTGATTGTTGCAGCTCGAAATCGTGGATTCGATATTAATGTTAGTGATGGAAAAAGTTTATCCGCAAGTCTGAATTCAATCCATGATCCGTCGAATGAACATTTAAATCTTCTTTTTCGAATGATAACGACAAGATGTATGAGTCAGGCGTTATATTTTTGTAGCGGTTCACTTGGTTCGGATCCAAATTTGACATTTTTCCATTATGGTTTAGCATCGGAAATTTACACTCATTTCACTTCGCCAATTCGACGTTATGCTGATGTACTTGTACATCGTTTGTTGAGTCATGCAATCGATTTTGAACAACAACCACCAGAATTTCTTTGTAAACGAAAAATCACTGATATTTGTGATCATATTAATATGCGTAATATGAATGCCAGGCGTGCAAGTCGTTCATCAAATGAATTACATTCATATCTTTACGTTAGAAATTCCAGGGAAAAATGTTGCCATGAAAAAGGCCATGTTTTTACGATAAAAAACAATGCATTGGTCATATTCATTATGCATTTATCGTTTGAAGTTGTCTATATGTTCGGTGATGGTGATCAATCGATGAATGATTGGCAAGTGGATAAAGATAATGGCTTCGTAATTCATAAACCATCCAATGTTCGTATTCGACAATTTGATCCAGTACAAGTGGAACTGACGGTAAAACCATCGGCATTAACATCGAATTTTAAAAAACAAATTATTGTACGATTAATTGATCCAAAAATTTTTTAATTGAATTGAAATTAAATTTTATGATACAAATTCTTGTGTGTTTCTTCTTTTTGGTTTTTGTGGGTAATTTTAAAAAATCGAACGATATTTTTTCTTTCTTCTCATTCTTCATTATTATTGGTGATGGCCGATTCATTCGATTGTGGTTCCGAATCATCATTTTCCGTTTCAATTAGACTAGACCAGAATTTACAATAAACATTCGATACTTTATGATCAAATGGTATGACATTAGGTGCATCGGCAAATTCAATTGCGGTGGAATCGATTCCAAGCTGCCCGTATTTATTCCAACCCCAACCGAATAAGATACCATTTTCTGAAACGGCCATTGAATGTCTTGAGCCAGCTGCGATTGAAACAAAATGATCATCTTCCGATATTTCCAATAATTTAGGTGTAGCTTCAATTTTAATCACGTCACGACCAAAACCTAATTGACCACTTTCATTCCAACCCCAAACATAGACATCACCAATTTCCGATAAAGCCATAGAATGCCAACCACCAGCTGTGATAGCCCTGCATGGAATTCCTTCCAATGCTTCCACGATTTCGGCTTGATCATCGACAACATTCGCAATGGTTCCATGTCCAAGTTGACCACGGCTACCATTACCATAACTTGAAACGATACCATTGTCGGATAACAGTAGGATATGTTCCTGTCCGGCACTGATTGCAATAATTTTGTCATTTTCACGACTAATTGGTTTGATCAATCGTAATTCATTTGAATTGAATAAAAATACTCGATGTTCATCGGTCAATAAACACGAATATTCAGCACCAATACAAAGTTGTTCAACGTTTACATCATGATGATGATTGTTGACTTGATTTACATCATCTTGTGCATCAACATTATCGTTATTCGTAAAATCAATCAATTCGGGTGGTGTTTTTTCGAAATTGAATCCAGACCTGAAAAAATTAGAAAATGCATTATTCAATCAATCAAAGGGATTAATCATCACTTTACCATTTGTAGATTTTCGAATCTAATGTGATCAGGAATGTTTCTTTTGAACCACATTCAATTTGTATAATATACTTCGGTACTTTTGTGCAGACAATCATGCCATTTTGACGTTTTTGTTTTGAATAACCAAGGAATACGATCTGTCCTTGTGCGGTTTGTAGAAACAGGGAACACCATCCGATGAATGCGTTGATTATTTTATCATGATCATCCAAAATGAGATCACCTAATGAATGTAGATAAACACCTTGTTCAGGTTTTTGGCGAAATTGAAGAAATGCATCGAAACCACAATACCATAACATTGTTTCGTTTATTCAGGTTGTTTAGGAAATTTGAGAAAAACAGAACAAAACAAACTGCCAAACACTGGAGAATCTAAATCATTGCCGATAATCGAGGTCAGCCACAGTAAATTAATTGTATGATGACGAAGACACACTTGGATGTGAAATTGGCTGATGAACAACAACAACAACATCAACATTGATGATGATTCTGTTGTTGTGAAATATGTAAAAAGCAAACAGAATCAAGTGTCGAAAAATCTGTCTTACAAGAAAAAAAAATCATCACATGCATGCAATCATTTTGTTGTTGCCAATATTGCTCTGGATAATATTCTACCCCGATAATTTAGACTCGAATAACTATTTCAGAACTAAACAAAAACAACTGTAAAACACCACTATAATGAATGGGACTCACAAGAATTTGTTCGAAAATATTTGTGCGGTTCAAAAACGTGAAAACAGGGTGTCAATGAACTTTGTTTTGTTAGGCGGAGCCATTTTCATTTGAAGATGATGTTTTTTGGTTTCGAATCAATTAATTAATTTATTGTTTAAAAGGTGCCGCAAAAAAAACTTGAAGATCACAGATCAAATTATCACAGTAAAAAAAACGATCATTTGATGATTCACTCAATCATAGCGAGCAAGAATGTCTAGAATTCGTTGATTGACTAAACGACCGGAATATTTGCTCCACACAAGATCCATATGTCCCCATGATTGATCAGGCACAAGATAATCATCGATTAAGTTTACTACAAATAAAACAGGGAAAAACGTGAAATCGGCAATAACTCTACGACCATCAAATATATTACCTTTAAGTTTACTTTTTAATTTATCTACATTGGTCAAACTGTTGAAATAATCATTCGCTAGATATATGAATGCCATATCCGTCGAATTGATACGTCCTGCATCATAAATCGGTGGTGTTAAACTGCCATATTTTCTTAGATTAATCAATGCGCCATAATCAAAACGACTGGGTTGGCCATGTTCAAACATTTGAAAAAAATGTGCCACATTCCATGATGACGAACCCATCGGAACATTAGCCAAATAGACATTCATTCGTCGCTGATGAAATTCGATTAGAAAATCATTGGTAAAATTAACCACTCTTACCATATTAAGATTATGACGATGACCACCAAGAAAATAATGATAAACATTATAACAGAAATTTTGCGTATTCGGATTCATACAGATTTCTGTATATGTTTTTCGTATTTCCATGCCAAATGGTACACGTGTTGGATGTGATCTATTGTTTCAGATTATTCGAATTCAATCATTTGATCATCAAATTGAATTTTCAAATTACCTTAGCACTTCTTTTAGTGGTCCATAAAATCGTAATGGTGTTTTCAATTGATCCGTATAGAATACCGGCGACAATGCAATATATGGACGAATTCGTCGGGAATATTCGGGTCTTGTGGATAATAATGCCAACATTATAAAATTACCTAAACGGCAATTAGAGATAGGCTACAATCAAAAGGTAGGCAATACGGTACCTTGCGAGTGTCCTATATACCCGATCGATGTATGATTTGTTTTCTCAGTAACATAATCAATAATGGCCGGTAGATCGATCAGTGCCATTTCATCTATCGAAAATGACCAATAAGCTCGACCTATGAAGAATCATTATCATCAATTAAAATGAAAAATTATTGATTGATCAATAACCTTACTTTTTGTATTAAATTTAACGTGATTATTCGAATAAATACTGCCACGATAATTAACGACCCAAACATCAAAACCACGACTAGCCAAAACAAACCCAATCGTATTGCCCACGCCAACAGCTTCCGTATCGTTAAAATGTTGTCGATGACCATCTTCTTCAGCATCAAATTCATAATAATTACCATCATTCATTAATCTACCAGCCATAGTAATCAGCCAAAATGATCCAGTACATTGAAATCCATGAAATAATACGATCGGTTTTAAATTATCATTTCGTTGTCGTCGATCATTAATGAATGGATTTACGATGCGAATCAATTGAAGAATATAACCATCTTCGGTAGTAACAAAATGCTGTTGATATTGGAATCCACGTGATAGGATTATTTGAAACTGAATAAATCGATGAAAGAAGAGAGAAAAAAAATCAAATTATTTCCTCGAGGCCCACACACATACAATATCACGATCAACATCGGCCACATCCATTTCTGTAGCATTCATCATCATTAACGAATCAGGATTTTTTTCATCATCCTCATTGGAAAATGGTAATGCTGATTCCACCATATAATTAATGGCAACCACAATGATCATTAAAATCATTACACATAACCAACGATGAACAAACGACATCATGATGATGATGATGATTGGTTGGCTGATTGGTTGATTGATTAATTGCAAATGCCAAATGAAATGAACAAACGAGCGAAAAATAAACTCTGGTTTGGCAAAATAAAAAGCAAATGGATTTTTATTTATTTCAAAAAACGAAAAAAATTTACAAAAATCGATCAATCAATCAATCAATCAATGGCATTGACTAAGAAAAAAAATTGACATGTGAATATTTGACTTTTCTCAGAGAAAATTTAAAAAAAAATAATCGATTGATTTCATCTCATCTGCGGTGGAAAATAAAAACTTTGTGTGTGTGTGTGTGTGTGACTATTATGTGGTGAGTTTGAAAAAAAAATTTCTCAAAACAAAAAAAATTGAGGAGGTATATATTTTGTTTTACACCCAAATACCGTCTGGATTACGTTTTGTCGGCACCGTATTACCCAATTCATGTAATGATACAGGAATTTTTCGATTTGTTGTCATCGATGATGATGATAGTTTTATCGTTTGATTATTATCATGACGTTTATCGTTGATAAATCCGGCCATCAAGATTCGTCGTTGTTGTTGTTGTTGTTGTTCATCGGCAATCGTATCATCATCAATTTGGCTAACGGTGGCTGATGGTGGTAAATTGGCGGCGGTGGTTGTAGTAACATTTTGTTGCAACTCAAGACCTTCAACATTTGCCTCTTTAATACGTTCAATTAATTCATTAACAATTTGATTTTTGGTTCGTAATGTTTGATCAAAATGTTCCAATGAATCGTTCATAACTTGTAAATCTGTTTCCTAAATAATGGCGATAAATTGCGATTATAAATGACAACAACAGAGAACACAATACAAACCTGATTATGTATCTTATCCTCTTTTTCCTGTATGCAAATCTTTAATCGTTCAATCATCGTTGAATGTTGTTGATTTTCGGTTGTCGAATCGAATTCATCAGAATTTTGTCTGGCGTTAAATTTATTATCAATTTTTGACATGAGTTTATAGATTTCATCACGACGACGGCCAACTTCATTTTCACAATCAGCCAGTTTCATTTTAATTTCACGCATTTCAGCTTGATAATTATGGCCATCTCTTATTAGCTGTTCTAGTTCCTGTTCCAATTGTTGTTCAGATTCTAATCTCTGGATGATTAATTCTTGTTCCATCCATTTTTGTTTCATCAAGTCCACTTCATCTAATTGTTGTTGATCCATATTTTCATCAAATCGATTCTGTTCACTTGGATTCTGATGAATTTTCCGATTATGGATACTAACCAAACTAATTGGTACAGATTGTTGTTGTTGTTGTTTCATTTGATGACTAGAATTCAACGATTCATTAGTAGTGCAAGTGTTTGCATCAGAATGATGACCATTCTGTTGTTGCTGGAACATGATACCATTCATTAATGAACTTTTAGCAATCGCTTCTTGATATGGTGGTGGTTGCTTTGGACGATTTTTTGTTCTACCTAAAGTTCCGTATAATGATTCCACCACCATTTGATTATGATGATATGATGGACGACGTTGATGATGATGAATAGTATTCCGTACATCTCTTGTCAGTGATAAATATTCAATATTTTGATGACTAGATATCGATGATTCTTGATTCTTGTTGTTGTTATTGATTACATTCTGAAATAATTGTTGTGGTGATTGATTCCTCATTTGATTATTCAATGTTGACATTGATTTTGTCATTTGTTGATGATGATTATCGATATTTTCCATATTTAATGATCGTTTACGTTTTTGTAATAAATCAGATTCAGATTTTTTTGATAATTTTGGTGTTGCTTGTCTATTTTGGTTATTAGTGGTTGAAGTTGAGGTATTGGCGGATAAATCACCCGATTTTTTCAATACAAAAATAACATCATTTGAATATTCACCCCATTTTGATAATGATAAAATTGGATGATCACTTGGTGCTAATACACGTTCATTATTTTTCCATTTTTCAATCAATATAAAACGTCCAGTTTGTCCAGTTGCATGTGCTAATGCAAATACAACATCTTGACATGTTGTTGATTCGGTTGCACCACAAACAATACGCTGTATTCCATCACACCAAACCTACTCGTTTTGAAATGAAATTTGAAACCAAATAAATTATCAATCAAAACATCATTTACCTTGAGTTCCATATTTTTGGATTAATTCGGTAAAGTTTTTTTTTTGGTTGGTTGAAGTAATTTAAATGGCTAAACAATGAACAATGACAATGAAGTAGTAGAAGCTTGACATTCAAAATAACAGTAGAACAATAATCAATGACCGGACGTATGACATTGTTGAGAAATGTGTGTGTGTGTGTGTGTGGTTTGTGTGTGACACACAATAACGATATTTTGAAAATCAGACGGCTAGACAAAAAGATGAATGAATGAATGAGAACCAGATGTCTTCGAATGAAGTACAGACACCATTAAAAACCCAGTTTTGAGTGAGAACTGCGAAATATCCCTATAGGCAAAACAACCAAAGATGAGCAACCAAAATCTTTGACATACACACCACAATCAATGTGATACCAGAAAAAAATACAGCTATCGTTTTGAGGTTTGCTACAACCAAAAAAATCTTATGGAGCATGCGCCCTGTGATGTGTTTAATAATACAGCTGGTTTGATACAAACCAAAAATTGAAAAATTGTAAAAAAATTTATTTTGTATTACATAATACAACTGACAATTTCCATCAGCTTCTATTTTTCGATGTTGATGATTTGAGTTGTTGTTGATGTTCAATAAGGCTTTCATTCAATGAATCAATGTGTCTTGTATATAGTAGCCAATTGTTTCTCAATACCAACTATACGATCCATTAATCGTTTTTCAATTGAATCAACTTTGGATAAAAGTAATTGGCTATTTTCATTTTGTTTCGTTTTTGCTTTTGTAATAGTCATTTCAAGTAATTTACCAATATTTATTGGAAATTCGTTATCGTTGACCACAGCAACAGATTTACTTTGTATTTTCCTGGATTTCTTATCGAGGCCAAATCGTTGATTATGTTCTAATCGTTGCCTTTTTTTTTCTTCTCGTTTTTTACGAGCGTATTCTCTGGCGTATGCTAAATTCCGTTCCCTTTGTGCCGGTGTATAATTTCTTTGCTTATTTTTAGTAACAACAGCTTCTGGATGCATCGAATCAGATGGACATTGATTGTTTTCATTATCGTTATTGTTATCGTTGATTACGATATCAGATTGGGATTTCTTCTCAACAGAATGAGTTTGTTCTAAACTTTTCGGTATTATTTTTTCTTTTTGTTTTTTACGAGCATTTTCTCCGGTGGCTGCTAAACGCTTTTCTTTTTTTTCTTGTGCTCCATATATTCTCATTATTCTAGCCTTCATGGCTTTTAGACTAGTCGAATAAGTTGAACGTGGCATTATTCTAAATGGGAAAAAAAAGAAAAGTAAATTTAAAATGTTCCAAAAACCGAATTCAAATCATGTGTACAGGTGAACATTGTACCTGTAGTGTGTTTTATCAGCGCTCACATAACCAATCAAGCACGACAAAAAAACTGAAACGATACAAATGGATCGATCCCGCTGACTATAAAGAATAGAAAAGAATGGATTATTAGAATTAGAGGGTGAGTTTTTAGTCCACTTTGGCCACGCTACTAAGTTGACTAGAACTCACCTTCGTAGATTTTGCTGCTGTGCTGGACAGAATCGATGATTTTTGCAAACTTTCAATGATTAAAATAGATGCAATTTTTTTATTTTGTCAAAATCGGATAATGTAGATGAATAAAATTAATGGTCAACAACAAATAATAATGAAATGAAATGAAATGAAATTATTTAGAAAAAAAAACAAAACAAAATCACAAGGTAGATGGAGCAATATTTTATACGCGCGCCATCTAGTGATTGTTTACAAAATAAACACAGATTTATTCAAAATTAATTTGAATCCAATCATTGGGATCAATGGCCATAATGCGAAAATCAGTCCGATAATCCAATCGAATATACCATTAACAATACGGAAACATAAACTTTTTGGTGGATCAAAATATGTTGGCACACCTTTTCGGTTGACAGTGCCATCAATAACTTGACGTGATGCTTTTTTCAAATCATATGCCATGCCAAATAACCAGAAAAAATCAATAATCATTGTAGATGGATTGAAAAATTCCCATGCTGCTTTTTCACTTGAAGAATAATCATATGGAAATGTGTGATGATAGTTATGATTACCTTCTCCAAGACTCAGGTAGATGACTAAACGATTTTCTGTTGGACGAATACGAAAATCATATGGACGATGACCGAAAAAATGTGCAATTGAATTGACCATGAATAGATGATGTAAAACAACTGTTGTACGTAGAATGGCACATAAATAAAATGATGTTAAAATGGTTTCATTCCATGCATAATATGGGATCAATGTTGGTATCATCACACCAAACACGACAAATAATGGCATGTAAAAACGATGTTGTAACCAACAGATTCGATCAGCTTTTAAATCATCAAAATTCAATTTTGAACCAGCCTGTTTAACACGGTCCGATTTTCGCACCATCCACCAACCAATATGTGAATAGAATAGACCACGTGATGGATTTTTTGGATCTTGATCTGTATCTGAATATTTATGATGTGTACGATGATCTCGGGCATAACTGAATGCACTGCCATTCATCGTCATTACTTGCAATATGGCCAATATTAATCGTAACGTAGCCGTGGCTTTAAAACTACGATGTGCCCAAAGTCGATGTCCACCAACGGCCATACCTAGACCAGATGCAAGCCCCAGAATGGATGAAAAAATGAATGTATACAATTTAACATCATGTGCGATGATATGAATGAAACCAACCAACGATAATGTATGCATCGCAACCAGAATGATTATGTTGGACCATTTTAATCGACCTAATTGATGGTATATTTTTTTATAGACATTTTTCTCAACAGTAACAATCACTTCATTGATGTTGTTGTTGTTGTTGTTGTTGAATTCATTTTCGACGATTTCATTGAATCCTTGGACCACAGTTTTATCCATAAGCATGTTTGTTGATATAACAATTTTGGCTTCCATCATTTATATTGGTTTGTTTGTTTGGCTGATGATGCTAGATTGAAGGATTATGAATTGAAATGACAATGTGACAGACAAATAGACTTTTCTTTTTGACGAAAAAAAAATCGATTACATTTCATTTAAAAGACACACACACACACACACACAAACACTGCAGTGACTGAAAGAGTTTTCAAAATTTTTTTCGTTGTTGTTGTTGTTGTTGTCGATTTTAAATCTTGATCATCATCATCAACAATAAGCAAAACGTTTTTTTATTTTGAACCTGATTACTTCCACACGCTCACGCGGTCACTAGCACTTTTTTATTTCTTCCTCTTTTCTCTTTTTTGTTTTGTTTTCTTGATCGTTTTGAAGTCAACAACAACAACAACAACAACGACAACGTTCAGGAAGTGTATCATGATCATAATGAAAGTGAAATCGGGATGATAAGGTTCATGATGATGAATCGATCAACTCGAAATTTCACCTCGAAACATAAAGTTCTCCAGAAAAAAACCTGTTACTGGATTTTTTTTCACCATTTTCTTTTTGCCCGATTTTGACTTTCTCGGATGATGATAAAACTTGTTTTTCTTTCTCTCACTTTGAATTTCGTTCCAAGCACGCAAAATTTCAATCTAGAGGAACCTTTGGATCTTTCGATGGATTCGAATGATAGCTGAACCTTTAATAACCGTGCTGGTTGGAACAAGTGATAATCAAATTGAAAATTGAAAATTTTCTTTTTTTATTTATTTGGATTTTAAAAGCAATAAAATACAACTTGTTTTAACAAAAACTTTTAAAAACTTTCGCATGTTTGATGCGGTGGTGGTGGTAGCGACCCATTCAAAGATTTATCAATTGTATATCATCACTGGAGGAATGATGATTGTTTGGAATATTTTTTTGTCGTCCATCCACCATTGTCATTAATAGTTTGATTGGTTTTTGATGATTATCACACAATGAATCGGTACTTGAATTTGAATCTTCATTACCATCATGACCACCATTAATCGTGGTGAAATTTTCAACCAACATTTTATAGAGAATGTTCATTAATTGAGCAACTATAAATCGATCAGCCATGTAGAATACATAAGCTTCCATTTGTAAATTTTCAGGATTAAATGCTACGACCGAGATGATACGTTTATCTTCACGCAGTACAAAACAACTGGATATAGTTTTGCTATTCCATTCGAATAATTGGTCATCGATTCGCTCAGAATCTTCCATCATCATGATTAAAGAACGATTTCGTACCAATACTCGATCGGAATATACGTTGATAATAACCTCCAAAGAATCCATTGAATTGGTTCCGAATTTCGGTAGACTACGACGACGACTTTGACTGTTGTTGTTGAACATATGTTTCACGATACTACGTGTTGCCATTTTGACCGACGTTTTAGCCATAGGATCCTTAACGATACATTTGCCAACAAATATGGCTTTAAATTGTTGATAATCACAATCATTCGAAGACATTATTTTGATGATTATTTCAAGAAAAAACTTGCAATAAAAATGAAATAAAAAAAATTTAAAAACCAGACGAATGTTTCTATTTATTTATACTAAAAAAACAAATATATCTATCAACAAAAGTCGATATGTTTCATGGATGATGATTCAAAGATCATTCGATTAATTAATAATCATTCGGAAACGATGCTGCCATCCAGTATTGGATAACTAAAACATAAACATTGCAGATAACTTTTATCGCCATCTATCGAGTGTATTAAAAAGGACAATTTTGATTTATTTCTGCTGGAAAAAAATCAAATCAAATCAAATCAAATCAAATCATTTTTATTCCACATTCCATATAATCATATTCACTATTGTCATTTACAAATTTACGAAAGTAAAAAAAGCAGAGAAAATCACGACAGAACAAAGAGGAAAAAATTACACAACCAATCTAAATTATCATTATCATTAAAATATGAAACAAAGCGGAAAAAAATTGGAAAATTTCTAGAAAATAAAAATCATGGAATGAATGAGGTGTAAATGTGAGACAAGACCAGGAGGGTGTGTACGTATTTGTGTGTGTGTGTGTGTGTGTGTAGTGACTTGACATCCAGACAAAAGAGGACTATAATTATTAATTATAAGCTGTATGAAAAAATTATGTAATCTGTAATTTGTAGTTTTTAGTTGCAGATTTAAAGTTGATTCTTTTTTTTGATTAGAAGACGATAACTGGCCGGCCAGTAATAATTTTGAATAGAATAGGTGGATAAATAGCCCAACCGGCTACAACAGTACCGATTAGCCAATCAGTAGCACCATGCATTATCCGTTTGCGCATCGGTTTTTGAACGGTTAATTTTTTCTCATAAAAACGTGGATCTCCGACACGTGAAACGACGCCTTTAATAACACGATCAGATGGTTTTTTCAGATCATACGCCAATCCAATCATGGAACACATGTCGACAAACAATGTGGATGGATTGAATACTTCCCACCATTTTTTCTCACAATTTGCATAATCATATGGAAATGTATGATGATAATTGTGTGAACCTTCACCTAACGATAAATACATGGTGATCTTTGATTCAGTCGGACCAATATCTCGATTATAAGGTCGTAGCCCAAATATATGGGCAATCGAATTTACGGTGAATAAATGATGGACGACGACGACGGTTCGTAGTACGGCCGACATGAAGAATGAGATCACTATATCTTCGTTCCATAGATAGATCGGTATGAGTGTTGGACCAACAACACTGACCAATAGGAATAATGGAAAATATAGCTTTTTCTGCCATACGATTAATGGTTCATCATCCAAATCTTTATGATTCAATTTACGGCCCATTCGAATTACATCGGGATGTTTTTTCAACATCCACCAGCCAATATGTGCGAAAAAGAAACCACGTTTTGCATTTTTAGGATCACCATTTGTATCGACAAATTTATGATGACAACGATGATCACGAGCATAGCTATAACAACCACCATTCATTGATAATGTTTCCACGAGTACAAGACCGAATCGTAATAACCATCGTGCTTTGAATGATCGATGTGCGAATAAACGATGTGCACCGATTGATACACCAAAACCACCAGCTACACCCAACAATGCAATCCATGGTACAGTGAAAAATTTGACAGGATACAATGATACATAAACATAACCAATAACTAATAATGAATGTGTGAATAATAACCATAAAACATTTGTCCATTTTATCTGTTCGGGTCGATAACCGAATATGGTCAATGTAAATCGTTTCTTATTTACATTGTTTGTTGCTTTTCCCAATTTATCATCATCACCATCATCATCATTGTTTAAATTATTATCGGCATCATTATCGATATGTTTACCATCATTCAATGCAATCATTTGATATTGACCATTTGAACTATTGTTGTTGACTGGCTGGTGATCATCGATTGTAATCTGCAGCTGTTGTTGTTGCTGTTCAATTTTTGAATCTGATCTTTTATTATTATTCTGATCTATGATTAGATTTGTGATTGTATGCTGCTGTTGTGATTGTTGTTCATTATCATCGACTTGTAATACAGATGATGTGGATGGTAGTATAGGATTACGTTTAGGATCACCAACAATATCATCATCATCATTTTCGACCATAATAATTGATGATGATATTGATCTATCGATTTTGGCAAGAAAATTTTCGGAAGTTGTTGTTGTTATTGTTGTTTTGGTTGTCGTCGTCGGTATTTCATGAGTTGATTGTGTCATGAGCTTTTTTCTTATTGTTAACGGTGATGATGAAACACGGTGATGGTGTTGTTGATGACAATAACCTTGATCCATATCTGATACATTACCATTGACATTATCATGATTATCAATATGGTCACTTTGTTGATTGTTTATATTAATTGCCATGATGTTTGATATGTTAGTTGATATATCCAAATCAATCAATCAATCAATCAATCACCACACACACACACACGAATGAAAGAGGATTGAATTCAAATCGAGAATTGAAAAAATCTATGTTTTACCCAAGAAAAAAAACAAAAGAGAGAAAAGGGATTATAAAAAAAAAATATTAGTTAATTGAATACGGAGAACAAATTTAGCAACACTTTTCTCAAATCATTTCTCAAACGACAAACACACCACATCATCAGACCTTAGAGGAAAAAAAGAGCTGCGTTTTTGTTGATTCAATTGTATTGGAGCAACAATATTGGAACGAAAAGTCAAAAAATAGAAAGAAACAACAACGTTAAGTTCAAACGTTTTGAAGAAAAACACCATAGACACAGATATACATAGAGGTAAAAGTGGTGATGACAATCCAATCGATGGGATATGATATGTTACGTGAACATTGACATGATCATCATACAGATACGATGATCATAAGGATGATGATGACCATGATCAGTTGTGGCTAAAAATCATCAGCATAATATTTATAAATAAAGGGCCGACAAACAAATGAAATCATTGTTTGTTCGTTACGTTGAAAAGAGAAGAGAAAACAATATTTCGAAACGTGCATCACATAACGTAAGTGTGTGTGTGTGTGTGTGTGTGTGTTGTTTATATTCATGCAAAATAAAGTGCAATGGATAAAAACGGCAAAAACACGTAGTTGTGGCCATGGTTAGTGTTTAGTTACTAAAAATGATCAGATATTTTTTCTTTCCTTTTTTTCTGAATTTTTCAATAATTTCACACTAACAAACACTTAGACTATATAGTGATTCAAAACAACAAGAGAAATTGGAATGGATGATTAGATTGGAACCTTTTTTCTAGCTAGCGGCGACCCATGGCCTTCAAACGAATAAATAAAAAAAAAGTAAAGAAGTAGTTTTTGTTTTTTTGTCAATGTTTAAATCAGTAAGAAAATGATGAGAATGTAACACACAAACACATACACACAGAGAGTAAATCTATGAAATGGACTGGACATTTCATTTGCTAATTTTATGCCTGCTTCATATAAAAGATGAGATGAACGATTAAAATCAAAAAAAAAGTATCGGCATCAAAAGAGAAAGAAAAAGGGATTACGCAAAACTTGGCAAAATTCATCATCATGGTTATATAAATGGTTCAATTATATATGTCATAGGTAAGTATAAGAATGTATTTCCAAAAGAATCTTAATCTTGATAGAATAATCTTTTAATAAAGGGTTTTTCCCATTCAAAACTTGAAAAAAATTAAATTTTGAATACTCATTGAAAACTTGAATCGAATGAATCTTCATTTTTTTGTGAATGAAAAGCACAAATATTAGATAGGAAATGAAATGAGCTTATGAAAGAATGTTGAACCCGAGTCAATTATGAATCAATGGTAAATACAGATCATTCATCGATTCATACATTTGAAACATTCATACATTCTCCATATATTTTTCACAAATCAATGACCTTAAACTAATTGATTTTCTATGATATGAATTCGATGGCGACCTATTTTACAAAAAATTATTGCAAGCGATTGCCGAAATACGCACAAAAATACAGACAGACACAACACACACACACACACACAAACACTTATTTATATACGGAGGATCCATAATTAGCTTGATCCGATCAAGGATCGGATCCAAGGATCAATTGTTTCAGTGTTTTTACCAATGAAGAAAAATTAACATTTCTTAACAAATAAAAAAAAATCTACAATGATCGATAGATCAATCAAATCGCTGTTGATCGATTGTTGTTGAAATAATAATAACATAGAGAATGTGAAACACACAGACACCACGACAACATCCGTGGGGCCTAATTCAATCATTCACACGATGATTGAAAGTATATTTGGTATCGTTTATTTTGCTAAAATTATCGATGATAACATCAAAGTGTTTATTCACACACACACACAGTGATGGTGATAATAAGAATTTTATCATCACCAAGAGAGGCATTTTTTTGTTTTTTCTTCTTGACCGATTTATTTCTGGTTAGATTTTTCTGTGTCATTTCTAATCATCTAGTGTTTATATATGTGAACTATGATGATATAGATAAAATAAAAATAAAAATATGCACATTAAAAACAAAGCGAATCTTATCATTAAAGATTTTGAAATCAAATAGACATATTTCGATTCGGATCGAATCGGTCAACCGAAAATGTTATCATCAAACAAAAAAATCACGTTGTTTCCTCATTGGTCATTTTTTTGTTGCTAATGTTTCAAGGAAAACAAAGAAAAAACCACGCCACCACAAAATAATATTTACATTGTGCTTTTTAAACATTTGAAATATATCAATTATCATCACTAAAAATATCAAAATATTAATGGTCAACATAAAGGGCAAAAATAAATGAATCATCATCATCATCATCATCAATTTTCTATTGATAAAATCGTGTCTACCTGTCAATGATGATTGTCAAATTTTACAATATCAAAATGATTGATACATTGATTATATGATTCAAAATCCTATCTTTTTAAAGTGAAGGTGGTGAAAATTGGCAATCATCAAAAACTATTTCCTCAAAGGTCAAATTCCTCTTATTTTCTCAAAAAAAAGTAAAATCACTCTTCTTTCATATGAATCGAAAAATGGGCCTGCATACTTACCTTTGTCCGGAAATGTTGCCACTATGCACACACACACACACATAAAACCAACATTGATTTCATCGATAGTTTTTTTTACAGATTCGTTGATTTCTTCTTCTTTCAAAGTTCACGGGCAATCGATTATTATTTCAACGTTGTTGATCGTTTTTTTCCTCTTAATTAAATTAATTATTTTCACACACATACACACACGAAGAGACACACAGTTATTAATCGATAGGTTAATTTGATGATTATGATAATTATGATTAACGGTGATTATAAATGGGCAATTTTCGATTTAAAAGTAGGAAATTTTAAAATTTTTAAAAAATTCGTCATGTAAAACTTAATGATGATGATGATGTTGATGAAAGGCAAAATTATTCTGTCACTTGAAAAAAAATAACAGACGAAGCTTTAAATATCGATGATAGACAACATACACATTTTGGCCATCGGATGATAAGAAACCAGAAAAAATCGATAATCGTTTCATGAACAATAAATATTATATATATGAAAGCATGATTCGTATCATGATTTAGATAACAAAAAAAAGGTTAATGTCATAGGATCGATTGATTTTCATTATTATCGATAATAAATCACCAATCGATGATTTATAATAGATCATAAATGAATGTGAATCATCAAACGTTGAAGATTTGAAAACAATAAAATGTTTCGAATTCATCTGATTGATACTCACAAATGAATCAATCAATCTCAAGTGTCGTCAAATTTTTTTCACCGTTGTCATTTTGAATGAAAATTTCACATTTTATTTTCTTTCTTTCCTCCATAAGTAACTGTCTTTTATCTGTCATGATGTCTGGATGTTTTTTTCTTTGATCAATAAAGAAAACGTATCATCATCATTTCTTTTTAAAAAAACAACAATACACCATTATTATCATTATTTCTCTCATTTTTAGCTGTAGCTTTGATTCGATTCACAATGATGAACACACACACATTATGAGAGGGAGAGAGTTTCTCCCTTTTTCTCGTATCCATGATTATCGTTTCGTGAAAAAAAGAGAAAACAAACATTTTTCGTCTTTCATTTTCTAGATAACAAAAACTACAAATTTTTAGACGAAAAAATATTAAATTCTACAATGGCCATGTGTATTTTTTTTTTTTGTTGATGGTCATCATGATCTTGATGATAATAATGATGATGATCGATCATTTTGATCTCAATCGATTTCTTCTTTTTTTCATTGTTGAACAATGGCCATAATCGATTATCAATTGCTTCAATTTACAACAGATTGTTTTTAGAATCAATGAGGAAAAAAAATGAAATTGTTGAAATCAGACTATAGTTGAGAAGGGTATCGATAATCGATACTATTATGAATTTATCAGAAAAATTTTTCTCTGCCTCGTCTCTATATCAATAGAGCATCCATATTATAATGATGATTATGTAATTCACAATGGTCGAAACAAAAAAAAACGACAATGATGTGAAAATGAATGAATTGATTAATTTTTTTTCTTATCATTATTGACAGCTTGAATAATTTTGGTTGATGAGGACGACCATGTTGTGTGTGTGTGTGTGTTGTTTTGTACATGGCCATCATATATTCGATGAAGAAATATGCATCTAGCATCGTCCTGTAAGATTCACCATCCTGTTATGTTTGTCGACAAGATCATCATTATTAACATTATGCACGAACAACAACAACACACACACAATGGCAATTAGTTTTATGAATATTGTTGTTATTGGGAATATGACGTAGTAGAAAAATCCATACATACAATACGTGATCATAGTATATGAGGATTTAGTTGTTGAGTCGATTGTTGAGAAATTCAAATTTTTTCAACAAATTATAAATTAAAAGATTTTCTTTGATTCTAAGTTCAAAGAATTCATCAATTACAAGTTGAACCGTAAAAAATTGTTTACGTAACGATGAAACTTGGTTGCAAAAAACAAGAGTCAATATTTATAAATATTGGGCCAATATTTGCAAAAAATTTAATTGGCCAAATATTTGACGTATTGATTTTCAACGTAAATAATTCATTCTTTTTGCTTTTCTGTTTTTATGACATGAAAAAACAGAGAAAAAATATTCACAAAAAAAATTAATTCATTGTTTTTTTGAATTGAATTTCTTTTCGTAACTTACGTTCGTCTGTTTGTTTTCATAACAGTAACAGATTAACATTGCTGTTATGATGAAAATAAATATCTATAAAGATGATCAATATTAGCATGAAGATTTCGTAATATCAAGCCATCATCATCTTGATGAATTGGCAATTGTTGATCCGATAATAGCGCCAACGACTTATTGAATGTCAATTTTAATCGATCAATAGTCATTGTCTGTTGAAATATGGTTGAAATGTTTTTGGGGTTTTTTACATCATCACTTTGTTGAATAAATCGAATCAAACAAGCACAAGCAGCTGAAAATGAATTGATACTGTTGGATGATTCAAAATCGATGAATGATTGTCCAGTAGCGAATCGTATGAATAATTCACTAATATTTCCACAATCTGGTAATCGGTGGTGGCCATCAATATTGATACCACGAGTAACCATTTCAAGTATAAACCAAAAATTATGGAAAAATTGAACATCACGATTGGTATCAATAGCTTCTTCATCGTTATCCTGATCATCGATTTCTGTCAAAATCTGCTGACAAGCTTGACATAATGCAGTGATGAAATTTGAATCATCATCGTCAGTGAATAGAACTTGAGAGGCCAGTTCTTCATCACGGTATAATACATCGTTCAAATATTGCAATAATAATCGCAGTAACTCAACATTCAAACAATTGGCCATTAGATATTCGATTTGGTAGATGAAAAATTTTCTTTGTTCATGAATTAATGACAACCATTTTTCTGGTTTTTTATGTACGTTTATATGAAGAAAACGAATCAATTGTATCAGGAATGGTATATCTGCAGCTGTAAACATGGATAACGCAAACGAACTGTGATTATGAGAGAATTAAATTCATTAGTTGCGATACAACATTACTGCTTTGTAACTAACCAGAATGATTCATTCGTTGCGATTCGTTCACTTATTCGATCATTATGACTAAGATTACCAAGGATACCAATGGATATTTCGGCTAATCGTCGATTTTCTGTCCGCATCACTGTATCGATGAAAATTTCATCAGCATTCAATTCATAAAGACATTGTTGTACATCCGTTTCAGATGATATATCCCATATTAGACATAATTGATCTTCAACATCAATCAATGTAACATTATCACTCATGGTCATCGATGATGGCTCATCATTATCACCATCATCATTATTGTGGTTGCTGGTCGTATTCGATTCATTCTGTACAAACTAAAAAAAAACAATCAAATCATTAATTATGAAATTATCATCATCATTTGTTGAAAGGAAAAAATGGGAAAACTTTTCTGGAAACATGTCACAAACACATCAAATACGAACAATCGATCAAAATAAGTGAAAAAAATTCATCAATGTTGGAGACACTTGCCTTGATCATTTTCATTAGACCTTGAATGAGCCATTGTTTGGAATAGACCGTTTGTCCGATTGCATTTGCGTCCATTTGATTTACGAATACACACAAGGTTCGTAAATTAAAATAATCAAATATGTTTGAATCAATCAAAATTTTTTAATTTCAAAAAATGACTAATTTCAACAAATTTGAATCGAAAAAAATCGAATGTTTATTGCCATCCTATTTTGCAATGATGGGCCATTCATGGTCAAAATAGAAAAATAAAATTTGATGATTTTTATTAAATTTTTCTTTGAAAAAAATTCATCTCTCAAAATGGATAACTAATTGATTGATATTTTCAAGTTGAAGTAATAAAAAATCAAATTACAATAATAATCAAATCAAAAATGAAAATTTAAAAAAATGGTAAAACATCATGAGTATTGAGCAAAAATAATCGATTGTATCGATCGATTAAATCAGTGTGTGTGTATTTGTGAATTGTCGAACATTTTTTATATATCCGTTAAGTTCGAAGTAAAAAAAAAAACGATTCGATCAATAACGAAACGATGATGAACGACTTGGACGATGTGGAGGGGATGACGATGATAAATTCGATGATGATGGTGATGATGAATGATGATGATTATTATTATTGTTAATTTGATTTGTTTGACCATGTTGATGTGTACTGCCATGATGGTGGTGATTATTATGATGAACATAGCCATTGGCTAATGATAATTTTCGATATATACGATCATGATAATGTGCACGGCCAATCGGTGCATAAAGACCCGTCGGTACGACTGAATAATCCAAACATTTCCATATGGTGCTGGCCATTTTTTGTGGAAATATACTGTGGTTGGTTGATATCGTGAATTTCAAATCGTTAAAGGTAGGTAATTATATTGTATTTATATTATATTATATATGTGACAAACCTAAGAAGTCTATGTATCCATTTAAATGTTTTGGGCACAACAAAAAGTTCCTCTTCACGTAATATAGCATCGAATATCAATCCAACAGCATATTCTAATGGCATTACCGGTAATAACCATGGAAAACGTGTTTTTGTCGGAATATCGATACCGGTACCGCTGATACCTAATGGGCAAACCGTTGTCAAACGAATCTGTGAATTTTCATCCAATTCTTCATACAAGCATTTCATGAAACCAACAACAGCATGTTTGCTAGCACTGTAACCGTCAGAAAAAATAAAAGAGGTAAAATCCTTTGCATTGAATCATTTAAAAATAATTAATTTTAATTACCCATAAGCTGTAAAATATGGACTTCCCATAATTCCAGCGGATGAAGCTATGGCCACAATATGACCGGAATTATTCTTTTCCATGGCCGGTAAAAATTGTTTAACAGTCTAGTGATGAAATGAAAAATAATAAGATCAGGTGAGGTAAAGAATGTTTAATTTTTTCCCTTAACTTACCCAAAAATGTGCCATAATATTCACGTCAAATATTTCACGAATTTTTTCAGATTTTAAATTTTTAAATGGTTCACATGGTGCAATACCGGCATTATTGACCAAAATATCAACATCACCAAATTGATTTCGTAATTTTTGAGCTGCTTGTGCAACTTGATTTTCATCACCAACATCAACAACAGACCATGATGTCAATTGTTTGGACGAATTATGATGATAATGATAATGAATTGAATTGACAATTTCTTCAATCATTTCGGCTGTTTGTTTTACTGTTGTCTACACGTTTTCAATGGTAAGATTCATAATCCAAATTAACGGAATTTGGTCAACAATTTGTGTGTACTGTACCTCATTAATATCCCACAATATGGTAATGGCACCACATTCAGCAAATTTAATTGCCATTTCACGTCCTAAACCTGAACCAGCACCAGTAATCAGTACGACTTTATTTTCAACATTTTTCTTACGACCCGGTCGTATTGCCGCACACAATGGACCAGCCAATGTTTTCATCAACAATATTGTCAATCGTGATATCTGTGTAATCCATAAGAAAATTTTATATAATCGTAATAATATGGTCATTATTGATGGTGGTGTTGGCTGCTGTGATGATAACGATGATGATGATGATGATGATGATGGTATTGGTGGCCCATTAGTCGTACGTAAAGAATTGTCTATCATCTGCATGTAATGTAATGATGATCTGGCGCGTATGATGTCACAAAGAAAAACAATAAAAAGAAAAACAAAACCAAGATGAAGATTTGGATGTGATGAAGATGATTATGTGACAAAATCAATGACGATAATCACTAAAAAATGGTTTATTTATTCAAAAAAACGAATTCAAAAAAATTAATAATTTAAACTACCACAGTAATGATGAATCAACTCGTGTGTGAGTGTATGTGTGTGGTAATAATGATCAAATAATGCGATTTCACCAAATCAAAAATCAAATGAAGAAAAAGAAAAGAAAAATCGTTGGCTATATCGTTGTGTTCAGAAATATATCACTTTTTTGGTTTGTCCCTGTAAAATGGTGATGATGATGAATTTGAATGAATCGAATTGATTGATTGATTTTCAATTGAAAATCAATCAATCAATTTGGATAAATATTCATGTACCATATGTACACAAAAACACATAATCATCATTATCACCAAATCCCACATATATAAAAATATCCTTAAACAACCAAGCAATAACAAAGATGGACGCAATGACAGTTTTCTTTTCTGGTCGTTGGATCTTCGTCATTTCATTCATTCGTTATCATCAACTACAACCACCAAAAAGAAAAAAACGAAAAACTGTCAACATTTGACAAGCAACCAACACACACACACACAAAAAATCAATAATCAACCAATAAAGACTAATCGAACGAACAAATGGTGGAAAAATGAGCAGCAAAAAGAAAAACAACAACCAGTAGAGATAAAAAGCGAAAATTAGTTGCATTTGATAATTGTTCGACCACTTGTTGTTGTTGTCGTCGTCGTCGTCGTCGTCGTGGTTGGTGTTTAACTGTACATCATAATCTCAACCATTCTCACAGTCACAACATGCTTGCATGCATTGAGTTTATCTGACCATCATTCATGTATCATATCATTCGTCTGACCTCGACAAAGTTAATATAATAGCCATTGGATGGTGCACCATGATGGTGGTAGTGAGTCTATGAAAAAAAAACCAATAATTCCCCTAACCACCCTCTCAATTTTTTTTGGTCAACTAATCAATCATTCAAAAAAAATATCGATTGACAAATAGGAACACATAAATTGATGTTAGGTTTGCATTCCTTATATAGACCAGCATTATGATGATAAAAAATTTTTTTCGAAAAAAAAATTCATCAACATACTCATTGCAAAAAAAATTGCACTCAATTTGACTCATTTTAGAACCAACAATAAATGCAACAAAACAAGTACATTTTTGTTTATTATAAAGACGGATGTTGAATTATTGAATGATTTTTATTTGAAAAAACTTAATCATTATCCGATTCATCAATGTGCAAAAAATGAAATGGGGAAATAAATTTCATGTCCCAATGATGATAAACACTGCATGAAATGAAATGAAATGTAAAAAAATGAACCATTTGGTCATCATTCAATGAATGATTTGTATTATTTAAGATAATGACTATTCTCTTGATTCAATATAATAGCCGATTGACGACAATCACTAAATAGTTCACTGACTTCATCCAATATTTTTGTCGTTATATTCGAATAGTAAACTTTAGCTAATTGTGAACATGGTGATAATAATTGTAGTGCATAACGTAATGTTGTACGTGCACCAATCATTGCCAATTGTAAAAGAGCTGCTTCTTCAATATCCAATGACTCGATTCGAACACGAATTCTTAGAATCTGGTATGGGAAAAAGTTTCAAATGAAAAAATCAATCACAAATCAGCAATAAAAAATAAATTTACCTTAAGAATTTCTTCACGTGTATAGGGAACTGTTTTTATGATGATTGTACGATCAAGAAAATCCAATGGTATTCCATGTGGTGCATAAACATCTTCACTACCACGAATCAGGCAATTACCACGATTTGAAGCCATCACTACTATGGGTGCAATATTCGATTCTAATGCTTTCGATAGGAAAGTAAAACATTCCAAATCAAGCATATGAACCTCGTCGATGAATAGAACGCCGGTTATCAATTCTGCTTGACCACTTTCAATTAATTTGTCTACTTTTTTATTAATTTCATGTCGCAGTTTTTCAGTAATTTCAGTTTTTTTCTGTTTCATCAATTGGCTCATCATCGACAGAACATCGTGGCCACCTTGTGGATGTGCATTTGCGTAATCCAAATCATGTAAAGTAATATCCTGTACGACGGCTTTACGTTTGAAAACATCGCCTTTAGGAAGGGGAACATATTCATCGGCTTCAAGATCAAATTCAGTGGCATATGCATCGGATCGACCGATTCGTTTCAATGAGCCACTATTCACCTCGATGTATATAACATCACCGATTTCAACTTTTTGTTTCTGCAATGATTCATAGATACTTGGATCAAGTTTTAATTGTTTGGTTCCTTTCGTTGCTTTTAATGTTAACAACAGATGATGAATTTGTTTTCCATAACCACCCAATGGATTATCCACTTCGATTGGTGTGATTTCACAAACTTCACCTTCATAAACTTCTTTCGTTTCTTTGATTCGTAAGCCAATGGCACGGCGAAAATTTTCCATCAATATTTCAGTTTTTTTCACTTCAGCCGAATAAACTTCACCGGCTACCATCGGACAAAATGGAATCTGATCACCAAGTTCTTGAGAAATGGCTAATGCTAATGCAGTTTTACCCGTACCCGGTGGTCCAACAAAAAGGATGGCACGACCGGCCATTTTTTTCATTTTAATCAAATCTACAACAACGCCAGCAGCCTAAATCATAAAAAGAATTTTGTTTCGTTGTTAATTGTTCAAATCAGAAAAAAATACTCAAAAAACATACCTTTCGCGCTTGTTGTTGACCAATTAAACCACATGAATCCTGGACAACATTTCCTTCGGCATTCAATCCAAGACCTTTAATATGGCTATGTACCGATATACGTTGTTGTTTATCATTGGTTTTTATATTGTCAACTTTAAACATTTTTGTTGTCTTTTTTTGTTCTGTCAAAAAATTGAATTCTCATGTGTTCGAAACAAGCGTGCACGCAAACACAATGATGATGATTGGACGCGCCGTAAATAGATGATGTTTTGTCACACAATTCGATATATCGAATATATCGATGTTTGTTCATTTCAGCTTTTGCTTGATGAATTGACAAATCAAAACTGTGGCTTAATAAATTTTTTTGCTCGATCCAAAATTTAATTAAATTTTCATCATCATCATCATGTCAATTACAGTGATATTACCGGATAATCATCGTTTACGAATAAAATGTTCGATAAATGATTTACTTTCAGAGGTAAGAATTATTTTTTTTTTCATTCAAAGAATTTCTATAATGTACATGTATTGTGTGTGTGTGTGACGCAATTCCATATAATGTGATGATGATGTCGATTGATATAGCACATGCCTTTCTATCCATATTTGTCTGTCTGGTGTGGTGTTTGATGCTCTTAGGGTTAGCCATTGTATTTGAATGTCAACCCGAATTTTTTTTTCTTTCTCTTTTTCAATTCGATTCAATTGGAATTCCATTCATTCCATAAATTCCAAATTTTTTAGTCCATCTTTTTAGTGTATGCGGCCTAGAATTATTCGGAAAATAACGAATGCTTTTTTATTCAGTGTTGAAATCGCGTTGGATGAACAAGTGAAAAAAACAATGTTCAACATTGCCATGGCTACTAATCCTGATCCGAATAATACATTCGGTATAATCGATGTTGTTGCCGTTAATCTCGAATGTTTTGGCCTAATTATCCTTGGATATTTTGCACGTAAATTTCATCTAATCGACCATGGACAAACTGCCGGATTGAATGTATTTCTATCCTATTATGCACTGCCTGCTTTGGTATTCTTGGCCATTTCTTCGATATCGTTATCGGATGTCAATGGAACATTTGTACAGGATATATTTCTATCGAAAACATCAATTTTTCTCACCGTAGCAATCATAACATTTATTTTGTCATATAAATCAATGACACTACCTGCAGCAATGAAACGTTCAGCAATGTTTGCAATGTTCACCACCCAAAGTAATGATTTTGCACTTGGTTATCCAATATTGCAATCACTGTATGGTAACTCGAAAACTTCATTTACCAATTACCTGTATATTTTGGCACCAATTCAGCTTCTCATTTTGAATCCAATTGCATTATTCTTGATTGAAATTAGTCAAATTCTTGATGAACAACATCGACAACAACAATCGAATAGTAATTCTTTATGTTTAAAATACATGTCAACTGTCAAACGAATTGTTCGAAGAATATTCATCAATCCAATTATTTTATCCACATTATTGGGCATTGTGGTCAATGTGGCTACCAATGGTCAAATTCCTAAAGTTTTCGTACCATTTTTACAAAGTTTATCCCAATCTTTTTCACCAATCGCTTTATTTTTGCTTGGTTTAAATATCAACAATGGTAGTACCACAACTCGTCGTCCATTGAAATTATTTTCACAACCATTACTCATAACATTGATATTGGTGGCCATAAAATTGTTTATAATGCCTCTATTGAATCGTACAATTGTTCAACATGTTCCATTGTTATTTGGCCATCATTATCATCATGAATTGTTGAATGAAACATATTCAGAATTTGCATTTCTTTATGGTACATTTCCAGCTGCACCCACAGTCTATATATTGGCCAATATCTATAATGTGGAAACATTAATCATTTCAGCTGGATTAGTCATCTCGACTTTGTTGTCGGCACCAATTATTTTTGTATCAACAAATATGATTCGATTCTCGAAACAAATTCATTATGATCAATTGAATGATGATCTCATGCAAACAATATTCGCTGCCAGTGTTATCAGTCTGTTTGGTTCAATACTTTTGCTGTATAATTTCTATTTAACATTTCGTTTACGATCAATTATACATCGTTGGTCATTTAAATTACTCATTGGTCATATGATGCTTATTATTGGTGGACTTTTATTTCGAGCAAATGACCACTATTCAATCAACATTATGAATGTTGTGGACACATCATCATCAGCAGCGTTTGGTTCGACCATTTCTGTTATACAATACTTTCTTTTTCAAATTGGTTTCTTTACAATGAAATTATCACTCGCATTTCTATCCATAACGCTGGTTTTTCTATATGCTCGTAGTCTTTGTTTTGTAATCAAAATATCACGAATATTCACGATGATAATGTTGATCATTTTACCCGTTTATATTGTCATCATAACATTTACCTATGGACAAACAATGAATGGTGGTGGTGATGATGATTTTCTTATCGATCTTTATTATGGAATCAATACTGGTCATCTAACTATATCGATTATAATGTCATTCCTGACTATTATAACAGCACTTGTATCATTTATATTGATTCATCATTATAAAAATCGTATTGAATATGAAAGACAACAACAGAATGATTTAGAACAATTGCTTGATGATCAAAATGTTGACAATCATCAACAATCTAATTCAATAATGATTAGACCTAGTACATTGGCCAATAATCATCACCATCAATCGTTAGATGTTGAAGATTTATATCAAAACATTGTGGCAAGTCGTACAAGTCTTGCGATTGACAATGGCGATTTCTATAAAGAACGTTGTAATGTTCATTGTCATTCACAATGCACTACAATACAAACGGGTAATGCTGCTGTTACTGTTGAATCATTGGATTCGATTCCCAAGAAAGATTGTAGGGATCGTTTAATAAGATATAAACACCAGATTGAAATGGCAATGGAAGCTTTTGAAGAAAATGATTCTGGCCAATTAGATAATGGTGATTTTCATCAAATACAACAGCACTTATATTTGGTTATGTTATCATTATTGATCGTGGTCATTCATTCCAGTATTGAATTGAATCATTTGATTGCCGATAAACCAAATGGTATTCTTGTCGAGATGAAATTTCTCGATATATTACTTGTATTTAGCCATGGTTTCATAATGTTCATAATATTCGGTTTGGATGCTGAAATCATTTTGGCCAAATTACGTACTATTCGTCGGATGATTTGCTGCGGTTCAGGAAATTCACAAGAAATTTATCTTCCACCTGCCGAAAGTTTAAATGCTGATACACGAGAATTTTGTCGCCGTTTTTGTCGTGATTATCGCGAACAAAGTATTAGTGATATTACATTTCGTCTTTCGAATAATCGTACTGATGATAATGATAATCAATCAAATTGTAAATTATATTTTTGTGGTCGACAATTGGTCGATTGGTTAATGGCCAAAAATTTGGCAACGGAACGTTCTGAAGCGATTGATCGTTGTCATCAACTTTTATATGGTCGTGTAATCGAACATATTACTAGACATCATCATTTTTTCGATAATAGCTATTATTATCGATTTATTGATTAATTGTCATTTAGTTTTTTTTCTTGTTTCGAATGTTAATAAAAAAATTTTGAATTTTTCAAAGATTCTGGAAAAAGTCTGTACTACCAAAGGATTGGATTCTGGACAATATTCTCTATAGTAAGTTTCATTTGAATATTTTCATTCAATTCATGAACTAATTCATTGTCATTGTAGTCGTAAAAATAAACCATTAGATCTTGGTCTTTCATTACGTTTGGCTAACATTTCATTGAATAGCGAATTGAATCTTGTATTAGATACGTCGCGTCAGAAATCTACCAATATTGATCTAACCATTGTCATTCAATTTGCTGATAAAGCCAGAAAAATGGGTCAATTCAAATCGGATCAAACATTATGGCAAGTGATCAATCAGCTTTTCACTAGTGACGATATTCCCGAATTGAATGATTGTGATCAATATATATTTTCGATTAATTATATGAATAAACAGGTAAAAATTATTTTTTTAAAAATCTTTAGATTTTTTTGATCAAATTATTCATTTCACATAGTTTGATGGTCGTACGGTTCTGGAACAAACACGATTAAAATCACTTGGCCTACAAGGTCGTGTTATTCTACGTTTGAATTGTCGGCCAGCAAGTGAGGTTCGACCTATGCAGAAATATGTAGAAAATATTCAATTTAAAAAGATTGAAAAAGAAATTGTCAAAGTTGAACAACCAGAACCTATGCAATGTACAATCGAACCAAAGAAAATGAACGAAGTCAAAATAGACGATCCAATTATGCCGGCCGTCGTAGTAGAGCCTAAACCTCCACCTGAAAATAAATCTGAAGAATGTAAAACAGTGGAAAAAGTTTCGAATGTTGAAGAAAAAGTAAAGCCAAATCCACCAGTTGTTATTGAACCAGAAATCCATTTACTTGGTGGAGAAAATGAAGAACTGCTTTATTCATTGGATGAACAGGTACAATTCGTTGAAGAAGATTTACCGGCCGAATTTTTCGAACATACTGCCAATGATCTAAAACATTTACTCGCCGAACTACGACGACAACGATCGACGAATGAAGTAGAATTGGAAACACAACAATTACGTGCAAATCGTGAACAACAAAAACGTCAGCAATTCAAACAGACTATTCTGCGTATCATTTTCCCTTATGATCGATTGGTTATGCAAGCTGTTTTTAAACCAACTGATTCGATTGAGTTGGTAGCCAATGTAATCGGTAAATATATCCGTCAATCGAACATTGATTTATTTGTAGCACCACCAAAAACTAAATTGGATCGACAATCAAATCTTTATGATGTAAAATTGGTTCCATGTGGTATTGTCTATTGTACATCCAGTAATGATCAAAAACCATTGATTAGAGATGAATTTCGAAATGTTTTAACAACATTTTCAAATGTTGCCATTCATGCCAGAAATAAAACGAAAAAAATGTAAAATAAAATAAAAATTCTTATTTTTCATTTCTAAAAAACCATAACAAGTTTTAAATAAATTGAATTAATCGATTGTTGAGTATCGATAGCGAAAAATCGATACCTACAAGCGTGTATGCTGCGCTTGCCTCATTCAATTCAATGCTGCTGCAGCAAAGCAAGCACACAGCTCTTCCGTTTACATCGTCGTGTTCTTTCTTTTTGGTCTGTGTGTGTGTGTGTGCATTGTATTTGATCACACGTTTACATTTCTCCCGATATTTTGTCTTTTTTTTCTCATTTCCTTTCAATTTTTTCATCGAATTTTCGACAATGGCTGTCGGTAAAAATAAAGGTCTTGCTAAAGGTGGTAAAAAAGGTGTGAAAAAGAAGATTGTCGATCCATTCACCCGTAAAGAATGGTATGATATTAAAGCTCCTGTTGTTTTTGCCAATCGTAATGTCGGTAAAACCCTGGTGAATCGAACACAAGGAACCCGTATCGCTTCTGAAGGTCTTAAAGGTAAAGTTTTTAAAATTTTCTAAGCAAAAAATTTCTAATTAAAATTGAAAAATTCTGAATTAAGGTCGAGTATTCGAAATTTCATTGGCCGATTTGCAAAATGATGAAGTTGCCTATAAAAAATTCCGTTTGGTTTCCGAAGAAGTACAAGGCCGTCAAGTGTTGACTAATTTTCATGGAATGGATTTGACACGGGACAAATTGCGTTCAATGGTAAAAAAATGGCAAACATTAATCGAAACACATGTCGATTGCCGTACAAGCGATGGTTACTTGTTACGATTCTTTTGCATCGGTTTTACTCGTCGTTGGCCACATCAAGTGAAAAAGACCAGTTATGCTCAAACAACAAAAGTACGAGCCATTCGTAAGAAAATGGTTGAAATCATCACATCAAATGTATCATCGGTTGATTTGAAAGATGTCGTATTGAAATTGATTCCTGATTCGATTGCCAAAGACATTGAAAAAGCATGTAATTCGATCTATCCATTGCATGATGTTATGATCCGAAAAGTAAAAGTGATGAAAAAGCCGAAATTCGAATTGAGCAAATTGATGGAAATGCATGGTGAAGGTAAAGGTGCTTCAAGTTCAACGGCCACAGCCGCAACAAAAACCGATGGTGAATCATCGACCAAAGTAGATCGACCCGAAGGTTATGAACCACCCGTACAACAAACGGTTTAAACATGACTTTTTTAAAATGTATTTCAAAATTCGAAATAAACAAAAAAATGAATAAAAACTGATTTTTATTTTAAATTAATTACAACGAAATATAATATGATTTGATAGAAATTTTTTTTTTTTTTGTTAATGGAACTTCAATTCCAAAGATGACATTGTTCAAAAGAAACAGCAGCAGCAGCATTCGATTTCGTTTCATCAACACATTGGAACACATTATGGAATGTAGAGAATTGACTAAATAAAACATTTACCCTCAATGATTCAGGTAATGGTTCGGTAATCGAAAGTGTTTGATGATTATTTTTATCATCATAGAGAGTTTGCATTGTTTTTGGCTTTACATTTGTACACAATGTCTGAAAAAAAGATTCAAGAAAAAAAGTTATCCAATTATTATAATAAATTGAATAGATAATACCTGTGCGAATGCAACGAAAAATAATTGATCATTAGTGAATGGCAACGATGGTAATCGTGGTGATTGTTCGGGTCGATTCGATTCATATTGTTTATACGCTAACCATGCCATATTTAATGCACCCAAATCAATGTATGTTTGTGATACGGATGTATTGAACTATTTGAAATTCAGAGATATCATTCAAACATTTGTTGTCCAAGAAGATAAATTAATTACAAAGTAAACTTACCTGATTCGATATGGCATTAATCTGTCGGGATAGACATCGTAATCCTCGATTAAGGTCAATGTTTTCAATGAATTGACGATTATTTGATAGTCGACCATCAGGTAGATTATAATAAAGACCATTCAAATCGAATGCTTTCAACATATGACTGGCTACATGAACGCCCAATGATCCGAATTGAATCGCAGATGGTGCCTGTTGATCATAATATGGTAGCTGCAATATACCAGCCGGTATAAATAATTTATTGGCTGCATAATCATATCGAAGATTCACATCATACGCTACCAATGGCCATGAATGGTCATAATTTTTCTTATTCAATAACATTTCCATTTTTTTATGACGAAAATTTATACCTTCAATAATATTATGAAGGAACTTGATTCCGGTGAAAAATTCTGTATAATAACCAGCAAGCTGTGGTTTCAACAAAAATTGTGGATGACCAACGAGAATTTCCATTTGTTTCATTTTCATGTTAATCAATTTTCGTGATTCACCGTCACCATCATTTGTATCGGAATCATACCAGATGAATGAACGATAATTATCCAATATTGTACGTTGAATAGCGTTGACAATATTCAATCTTGCTTCTCCACTACGATTCGTTACAACGTTCAACTGATTATTCACATAAAGTGAAGCCAATGCATGGCCAAAATATTTGGATGTCGTTTGCAGACAGAATCTCCAACGATCTTCATCATTTATATAATTTAATGATGGAAGATTATGATATGCTTGTTGAAAATTATATTGAATTATACGAAATTCTTTCGACAGGTATGGTGCATATGAACTGATCATTTTCCATATAAGATAATCATTCAATCCTTTATTATCCGTTGTCGATATTATATTCGAAATGTTACGAAAATATGAATCGAATGCAAGCAATACGCGTGTATTATCATTCAATCGGGCTTTTTCAAAATATTTCTGCAACAAATTTAACCATTTAATTGATGGGGCATTGATTCTTAATTCACGTATAGAAAATCTTCGTTGAAACGTTTCAGATGGATGAGAAAAATCCAAACGATCGGGCATTATTTCAGCGATACGTTTTTCATAATTAAATGTATTCTCAGCAAATTGACTTGCATCCAATTTGGTTGCACTGAATATTTTGACCGTTTCACTCATAAATTGTTTATATGCATCCACAATGGATTTGTATTCGGGATCAAAATAATAATTACGTGGTAGACCAAGACCGGATGGATAAATCTGAAAATTTACAGAAAAATTAGATACCAGAACAAAACAAACATGACAAATACCTTTATGATAAATGGCAGCTGTGGATCAAGATCATCGGCACCAACAGTAATGCGGAAAAAAGCATCGACATCATAATAGGTTTGAAGTTTTTCCAAGGCCGAATCCGAATTCCAACTAGGCCCATGCCAATTACCGATAATGTTCCAACCCCCAGCATCGATAATTTCATGTTTAATATAATTGAATGAATTTCGATCAATTTCTTCCAGATTCATACATGAATCATAGAAAAATTTCGTTTTATAAAATGGATCATCATGTGGAATGGTGAGCAGGATACGATCCAGATAATGTTTTAAATTACGATAAATTTCTTCTTTGATTTCATCATTGATTGAATATTTGCCATGATAATCATCGAGCTGATGTTTATTAATCCATTGGCCGCAAGCAAATTCATAGAAATTATCGCATGGTTTCTGTTGTTGTTTATTTGTTGTTGTTGGTGTTGACGAAATTTTCTCAGCAATTCTTGCAGCTGTAAAAAGACAATCAGATGAATCACAGATTGGTTCGTCATTGGTGAATGTAACGATCAAAACTTTGATACCGATGATCAATAAGGTAAGGCCAAGAATGAATATGATGAGCAATAAGAAAGCCTGAATCCTTTGATGACGATTATTCATTATTTTGGCAAAATTTGCTTGTAATTTATTTCTATTATTGGTGTTGGCCACAGGTCGTCGTAATTGATCACTATCCATTGTCATTGACATTTTTTTACATTTCATATCATCATCTTGATCTTGAGGATCATTATCCATATCGGTTTCATCATATCGATCAAATGCTAATGAATCATGTTCTTGTGAATCGATATAGTTGTCATCGTCATCATTACCAACACTGATACTCAAATCATCATCACCGGTACGACGACCATTTATTGGCCTTTTTGTCGTTCTGTCCATTCACACAAACACTAAAAAGTTGTCAAATATGTTTTACAGCGTAGTTGTGTTTGTATGTGAAGAAAGAGTCAACTATATCGTCAGATGTTGACAAATAGCAACCTGTTTGCTGATTTTGTGTGGTGATTTTAGAAAAAAAATCAAAAAAGAAATTTGAAACTATCGTATCGGTTAATCGGTCAAACGACGAATAGAAAAGAAAAACAGTTAATGTGATAAAAATGTCTTTGGTGATTGAACTATTATTTTGAAAACGAAAAACAACAGTTGTCTCAGCAAAAAAACAAAACTGCTATGAATGAGCTACAGGTAACCAATCAAATCATTGGAAACCAAAACAAAAAGCCATGGTGGCCAACACATAACCGAAATAACCGTTGCTTCCTTTTCTTCTTTTATTCACATTCATGGGACAACCACATCATCAGTGAGAAGAAAAAAAGATTGAATTTTGCTTTCTGTCGCCGTTGTTGTTCTACTATTGGTTGACAATAATTTTCTGAGAATGAGAACAACCATTGACAGCGTGTATAAACATCAACCATGGGAGGTAAGAAATGTGAATACCTGCTTCGCGGCTGCTGCTCCTACCTGTAGATTGGGTGCATTTGTTTTGTCAACACCATACACACCTTGTTCTATGCATGTGTGTGCGTGTATGTGTGTGTGTTCGCAACTCAATCAACAGGTAATGAATTTGAGAATGGACAACAATAATGAACAACAATAAAAACAATGATGTGGTCCTATTTTTTGAGACATTTTTTCTTGTCTCCAAAGCTTTATTTATAATTTATGTTTTTGTTGTGAAAGTAGACTAACCTTTTTATTGATGGGAATTTGCACCAGCAAAAAAAAACAATGAAATTTGATAATGATGATGATGATTATGGTCAATGATCACACAAACACACCGGAGAACGTCTACTACTCGAAATGACAGTCAAAAAAAATGAAATTTATCGAAATTGAATGATTACGTAAACAGTTCCGGTGACCTATCTGGTTTTTCCTGGTGTTGGATGAATCATACACAATCAAAAAAAAAGTTTTCTTTTTCATTCATTCATTCAAATACTCGTTGATTTGTGCATTGGCATTTTGTCGTTACCAATCGATGATTTTAGTCGTTTGATATTTTTCCACACGACTCCCACCATCACCACAAAAAATTAGGAATCTAGATAAAAATCACCACTCATTATTTTATCATTGGAGTTGAGTGTTTGGTATAATCACAGTTGATAGTCATCATCATCTTGGATACCGAGATTTCATGTTGACAACCGACGACAAAAAAAACTATTAAACCATAAACAACCGAAATTAATCGACAGTAATCATTGTTGTTGTTGATATGATTGATAGGTGTTTGTGTTTGGACAACAGGCTAGATTGATGTATGGATCTCATTTATCATTCTTTTTGTCTCTCATTTCGAATGTCGTTGGCATTTATCGTCGCCATCAAAATTGTAATTTTTATTAATAATTGCAATAATTATCCATTAGTAATTATTATCATCAATCAATCAACAACAAAAAGGTCTACAAAGATCACAAAAACAAAATAAACATACATCCTATACACAAAAACACGGGAAATTTTTAAAAAAACTTGGTAAATTCATGACACGTATGGATGGATCATTTCATCATTTTTCCTGGTTTAATGCAGCAATAAATTCTTCAAGTTTTTCTTGTATCCTTCGAACACGTTCTTCATAAATGACGGTAAATAAAGTCATCATTAATATATATTGGAAACGGAAAATAAAATTCAAAAAAAAACAAATAAACTTACTCAATTCTTCGGCCAATGCTACACGTTTGCCTACAAGTAACGTTGATTTTTGTCGATAATCTTGATTGAAATCATCTAGAATTTCTTTCAATTCACGATTTAAACGTTGAATTTCGATATTTGTTGTCTGTTGCCGTAATGCTTTCGATGATGCTTGTAATATATGTCGTACACGATAGAAAAAAACGACATCGTCACAGGAAATCTAAATTATCATGGATCAATTAATCGATTAAAATTGAAATATTAAAAACTTACATCTGAATCCAATTTATACATATGATGTGCATATAATTTTTCACAATTTTCCGCTTTGGACATTAATTTATTTAGGAAATTATATTTATACAATTCGTTCCAAATTGTTTGGATCTACAAGAACCGAATTAGATTCAAAACTGAATTAATACACATGAATTAAACTTACATCATCATCGGTAACATCAATTTTATTGGCTCTTAGACGTTTTTTAACCAACAATAAATCTTCAGCATCTAAAACTGGTTTAAGGGTCTTTTTTGCAAAAAATAAACAAAAAATGTAGATTGATGAAGGAACAAAATAAAAACCTACATTTTGATTCTGATTATTCGAAATTAGTACATCCAATTCATTCCTAATGTTAACATTAATTAATTGATCATCTGTTCGATATGACCATGATAACCATCGTTGTATCCAATTGGGTCCAAACAATTCATTCAATCGATTTTCGGCTAAATTGACAAATTATTTCTAATTAATAAATTAATTCAAAATGCTAATAAATGAACTTACTGGAAACGATACGATCATTGATTAGATCTTGCCAATATTTGGCTGATTCTTTCCATTTTTCTTTCGATGATACGATTCGATCTTCGGATGAATTCATTTGAAGAAGTTTCTTAGAGAAAAAAAAAGAGAAACGGTAATGACTACGAACAGAAAAATATCGGCTACTTACAATAACATCGGATGCTTTCCCATCCCATTGATGATGTTCCAATACGGTCTCGGAAACAGCCATTTTTAATCGTTGAAACAGCTGATCATCACTTTCATTATTTTGCGTTTGATCACATGATTTACGTTGATCAACATTTGGTATTAATGTTTTTTGAAATTGTTCCCTTAATACTTGCCATCCAGTTTCCACCGTTTTCGCTGGTAACCAATTATCGATCCAATTTTTTAATTTAATATCAATTAAAACATTAAAATTTTCTACATCAGCTTTTTCGGCACAAGGTAGGTAGATTTCTTCGAAAATAAATCTTTTGAAATTTTCATTCAATCGTTGAAAGAATAATGTTTCCCAATGTAATTCATTATAATGACTAAGTTTGATTATTTGATCTAGGATCTGATTTTTACCGATTTCAAACAGTTCATCCTATACAGAAAAAAATTTAGATCAAGTTACTTGGCATCTGATTACAAAAACTTACCCGATCTAATTCTCGATATTTACTGAAAGTATTTTTCCATTCCGTTTCCAGATTAAATTTTCGTGCTAAACATCATTACAAATTCAAATTAATCCTAATGAATCAATGAATTGGAGAACTTACCTTTATAGAGATCAGCTTGTTGTTCAACGGCAGCTTTGACCATTTTCCAGAAACAATCCGATACGGCAAAACTTAGATTCTGTGTAGTACATTGTGATGTATTCAATATTCCTTGCCTAAATGAAAGAATAAATAGAATTAACATTACTTTTTCATGGATTTAATGCGAAAAAAAATTCTTACTTGCAAAGCCGAGAATTCTTGAAGAAATCTTCTTCATATTCTTTAATCGAATTGATAGAGTCATCTTTACCACCACGACCAGTGACAACGGCAAAATAGCCTAATGCTTTCATCGGAAACAGTTTGCCTTCGAGAATTTTTTTCAATCGTGTTGGATTCGACATATTCTGTTCAGCTAGATCAATTTTAGTCATTACGAATATTGTACGTCGACCTTGTGGATCCATTTGTGATACAAGATCCGTTACAATCGAACGTTCAGCATCGACAGATCCATCTTGAACACATAGTATAATGGCATTAGGATTTCCCATGTAATATTTAGTTATCTCTTCGATTGCTTGCCTAGTATCGGTGGCCATTTCTGTTGTTACCGTACTGATGACACCAGGTAAATCGATGAGCACCATACGTGGAAGACCTGGACCCTCTACGGTTAATGATATAACATCTTTACTCACGGTTTGGCCAGGTTTCACTCGTGCTTTCATTCGTCGTTCAATGGCCGATCTCAAATCGGCCAACTCCGATTCTCGTATTAGATCAAATTCACGATCTTGATCCTTGAATTTAGCTATATGATATGGACCTTCTTTCAGCGTTACTTTAACCGGTGATCGTGTCATCATTTCACCAGCACCACGTGGAAATATTCTTGCATGTGCAATCATTTCCAAAACGGATGTTTTGCCCGCACTTTGATCACCAACAACAATAACGCGTGGTAGATGATCTTGTGTTTGATAATTTGAATCAAATTCATTCAATTCATCCAGAACATCCGAATAAAGATCGATCAATGTTTTATTGGCTTTCTTCAACTTTTCCGATACATGTGATTTATCCGTTTTGAGCAATAGCGATTGTTTAAGACGTTTGTTTTCATTCTCAAGTCGTTCAATTTCTTTTTGATATTTATTCTTTATGGAAAAAATGGAAATTATAGCAATCAATCAACAATGTCTGGTGTTAACTTACCTGTATTCGTATCAATTCATTATGTAATTTATCGATTCGTTCTTTTTCACTACTAGATGCTGGCGATGATGAATCCTTTGCAAATGGATTCTTAATGTGATGTGTGTTCGTATCGATTGATGGCGGTGGTAAAATGGTCGTTGAATCACCATTATTATCGTTGCCATCATCGTCTGGATCATACCATGAATTGCCATTGTTAAAGATGGATGATTTAGATGATGACGAATCACTTTCTGATGATAGAAACAAAAGTTCTAGAATGAGAAACGAATTCGTTGATTGTAACTACTTAAATAAAAAAAAAAAATGTTCAAACGAATCGTGTTCCACACCTTGTTGTCGTTGTTGTTTTTCTCGAAGCATTTCACGAAATTGTCGTATCGTTGCTTCGGTATTTTCCGCTAAACGATCAAAGAAACGATTTTCGGTAATCAATTTTTGTTTTAAATCCGATAGTGTATCTTTGAAATTGTTTTGTTTCGTTTCATCAGGTATGAGATCTTTTATCCAGGAAAAATCCGGTAAATTTTCTTTCCATTGTTGATATTTCTGTATTGTAAACATAATGATAAAAAAATATAAAAAGTGATGATTATGAGTGAAAAATTAAAAGTTGAATAAACTTCGAACAAACAAACGAACATTATTGGCGTGTAAACCACCACCGACAGCTGATCCAAGAATGATATAGCGAATTTTCAGTACAGAACGTAAGACACCGACTAACGATACGATTGAACGATGTTGTTGTTGTTGCTGTTGAATCAATAGCAATTGATTCCGACGATTATTCGTTGATGATAATAACAAATAATGATAATGACGACGACCTCCTCGAAGGCTAACGTGTAATGACCTTTTTGGAATCATCACCCGTTTCATGCAGAAATTCTTCTTCAAACCCAAAAATCAAATCAATATTCAAACATGCAACAAAAAAGTGGTAAAAACAAACAAAATACAAAATTCACAAGCACTCAATCATTCATAGGAGCAATTATGACTGTTGAAATTTCCGAAATGAATTAGCAACCATGAAAAATTAATATGAAAAACGAATTTCATCAGTCAGTCAGTCAATAAAAATTAATTTTCAGTGTGTTTCATTTGGACTAAATGTGTGTCCTAAACATCAGCGATCCTAATACCATCTATCGTTAACAGTTTGAATTGGAATTACCGGTTTGTTTCGTAAACAGAGAAAACCAGACAAACACAACAGAATCATATATTGGTTCGGTTCTTGCCATCGATTTCTGTTTTTTCTTTGGTCATTGCGAATGAATGGATAAAATAACATAACCCTATGGTCATTATCCTATGCATTTCTGATAAATCTGTCATTTTAGGATTATGTAAGTTGATCAATTCAATGATAATTTGATTACCGTTAATTTTTGTTTGTTAGTCTGTTGTCCGAATTGAAAAAAATTGCCAAATAAAAGCCATGAACTGCCAAGATCTGACAAGAACAACAAAAAAAATTTTGATCACTGATTGAATGTAATTCGATATGAATCATAATCAATCTGTGCATGTTTGTGTGTAATTTGATCATCACAGATTTCCCATCTTTATCATCGACCATTGAATGATTTGATTCATAATCACCGAAAAAAAATGTCGCAAGATAATTATTAAAAGCAACAATTCATCTATTTGCATATACGATCCTTGTATTTTTTTTTTTGCTTCTATAATCATCATATCAAAATCAATCAATTCGTCCACCAATGAACACGAAGACAAAGACGATGGTGATAAGATTGTCACCACACACCATCAACTACCACTAATACTACGATATCAATACTGATGAAAATGAACCACCACCAAAATTACCCACCACCATCAATCAATTTTGATACGATTCGATTTCGTTTTTTGATTTTTCCTGTTGAATTTCACACAAATTTCTGAATCTTAAATAATCGACAGTTTGTCAATCATTCATTGTGTTGTTAGTCACGACGTCATCCTATTTTTTTGGTGACGAAAAAAAAACTTTCACATACCAAAAAAACCAAAACAAATCGAATAGGAATAGGAACTATGTTCGATTAAAGATCAATCGGTCATTTGACTTTCAAATCAAATCTAACATACACCACCCTTCTTCTTCTGAACGCTGGTTCATCAATCAATCAATCGATTATCCTAGGCCATAATTATTGCATTATGCTTTCATCATCATCATCATCATCTGTTTTGCATCGATAATTTATTTCCCAATTTTAGTGGCTGGTTTTTTCCGTCGCCGCTTTGCACCAAATTCCACTATTCATTTTTTTTTTTTCTTCCGTTCATTTGTTGTGATTGGCATTGAAAATCGGAAATTTGAGCAGAATTATAATGGCCACCATTTCGACATGGACGTTGTTTTCGTTCCTAATAATGATCATTTTTACCAATAATCATTCATCAATGGTTTTTGGTCAATCCACGAACACTGTGATGAATGGCAGTCTTCAGCCACAGCCGCAGCCGCAATCAAGTTATACACTATCATCGATCGATGATGTTGAAATGTTGACCTATTTCCTTTTATGGAGATATGGATATTTCAATACAATTTCCGATCATCATCAACATCATAATAATCGCGGTAAGTTTCTCAGGATTTTTATTCATTTTTCTGATTATTAATATTTTCTCAAAAATTGAAATTAGGTGATGATCAAAATGATGAGGACGCATTGAGCGAATCAAAATTACGAGAATTTATTGAAAAAATAAAAATCAATCAATTAATACCGAATCAAGGTTTTGGACAATCATCATCATCGAATGTCGATTTGAAAACGAAAATGTGCTCACCATCAACATTGAAAAATTTAATGGCAACAAAACGTTGGTGGCCTGGTAGTCAAGAAAATTCGAAAACAAAACTAATATGTGAAGCTGCAAGTAGCTGTAAGAATGCTAAAAATCTTGTCGATTTAGTTGGTTTGAATTCTGTACGAACACCAACATTAAGTCAATCGATTGCTCGTCTTTGTCCTCTGATGTTATTTCAGATGCATGAAAAAGAATGTGTTGATCAACAGGAAAATCAATTCAAAGCGAAGAATAAACCATCATTAGGTTCCGTATGGGGATTCGGGTTATTATTTGTTACTATTGTTAGTTTCTGTTCAATTGCTGGTGTTGGAATTCTCCCGTTTTTGAGCGAATATTCATATCAAATAATGATTACGATATTGGAAGGATTAGCTGTCGGCAGTCTGGTTGGATCGGCATTATTCCATTTGATACCACAAGCATTCAATCTCATGATACCGGGTAATCATGAATATCTATGGCGTGCTTTAATCATTTTCGGCGGTATTTACATGTTTTTCTGGTCTGAACGTCTAATGAAAATTGTTTCAGAATTTCGTCGTCGTAAAAAATCAAAAGATTTTTCTCTGCCTTCCACAACAAGTCTTGAGAATGATCCACAAAAATTAAGGTAAATTTCTTTGAATCTTTAGCAAAAAAATTGACGATTGTTTCACAGGCAAGTTCACGATGATGGTGAACAAAATCATCATCCTCATCATCATCATAAAGCAATGGTAACCATCAATTGTAATCATCATTATCATGGAAGCAATAATCATATTCATGATGGCAACTATAGTATGGATGATGTGGATATCGGTGGTGATGGCCATGACCTTAGCAATTCAAATAAATTATCATTAAAACATGATGGTAATCATCATCAACATTCTCATCATTCACATTCACACAATGTTGGTGGTGAAACGAAAGAAATTGCAACAATCGCATGGATGATAATATTTGGTGATGGTCTACATAATTTTATCGATGGTGTTACGATGGGTGCTGCATTTTCACAAAGCATTCTTGAAGGGATAAGCATATCGGTTGCTGTCATATGTGAAGAATTCCCACATGAATTGGGTGATTTTGCCATATTACTCGGTTCAGGAATGTCGATGCGTAAAGCACTTGGTTATAATTTTCTTTCCGCATGTACATGTTATTTGGGTTTTGTATTTGGTATATTCATTGGTGATCTATCCGATGCAACACCATATGTATTTGCATTAGCTGCTGGTATGTTTCTTTACATTTCACTAGTCGATATGATGGGCGAATTATCGAATAAATTGGAACAAGCTGGTAAACGTGGCCTTACACATACCCTTAGAATGCTTTTATTACAAAATCTAGGCATCATAATCGGTGTAAGCATCATGTTCGTATTGGCAAAATATAGTGATCGTATCAATTTTGAAGGATTGGTTCCGCCCAAAAATTCAGATATTCCATTCACCGAATCATAGACAACAAATTGTGTGTGTGTGTGTTGTTTGTGTGTTTAGATGCAATTATATTTTTTTCATATTTTTTTTTTTTTTCAAACACGACAAAAACAATAATTAAGTGCCATTTGATAAATTTTTTTAAAAAGAAACTTTTATTAAAAATTAAAATTCGAATGTAAAAAAAGATTTAAATCTCCCTCCAGTGTGTGTTGACACTGAATAGACAAACAGTGTTAAAATAGTTGTCACACACAGTTGCCCTTGTTTTCGATTTTTTGTTTTTGTTCGGATTCGATCGAACGTTGTTTATTTTCTTCCGAATTCACCGTAAAAAATTATTTATGAATCATGTTCATTATCGGTAAGTGTTAATCGAATTTTTTTCTTGGATCAATTGATCGATTGATCGTTTATTATTGAAGCATCAACGATAGGCAGTAAAAGCTATCGGTGTGTGGATGCAACATTGAAAACATTATCCGCATCACGATCACAATGTTTGCTACAATTACGGAAGAATGATATACATGAATCAAGAATCAATGCTAATAAACAGGATGCAATTGAAAAACAACAATCAGCTGTCGTAGAAAGGAAACGTTATTCACCATTTGTGAACACATCGAACACAGCCGAATATGTATTGGCACGAGCCGATGACATACTCAATTGGGGCCGTAAAAATTCTCTATGGCCATTAACTTTTGGACTAGCTTGTTGTGCCGTTGAAATGATGCACATTGCTGCTCCACGTTATGATATGGATCGTTTTGGTGTTGTGTTTCGTGCATCACCACGACAAGCTGATGTTATTCTTGTGGCCGGTACGTTAACGAATAAAATGGCACCAGCGATCCGTCGTATTTATGATCAGATGCTTGAACCAAAATGGGTAATATCGATGGGCAGCTGTGCTAATGGTGGCGGTTATTATCATTATTCATATGCAGTGGTACGTGGATGTGATCGTATCATACCAGTCGATATCTATGTACCTGGTTGTCCACCAACAGCTGAAGCGTTATTTTATGGAATTTTACAATTACAGAAAAAAATTAAACGTCAAAGTTTAGCACAAATGTGGTATCGTAAATAAATAAATAGATCTTACTTATAAAATAACCACCATGTATCAAAATCAATATAATATCAATCTCTCAATCATCATCATTAGATAGTTCAGAATAAAAAAATGAAAGAAATTTTATTTGGAATTCAAATTCAAAGTTTCGAGGACAGAAATAAAGAAACTGAAAAGAAAAATGAATGAACCAATCATGTCATAATTATTCAAATTCATCATTTATATGGGCGTGAATAATAATAAGACCACGACGACGACGAAAGGGAATATAGATAATATGGGCGTGTGTGTATGTGTCTTATAATGGGGCACATGTAATGTGTGAAACAACATCATCATTTCATTCAGAATTCAAATTAGAAATTTAAAAAAAAATTTACATTTTACACGTGCCATCACACACACACGTGTTACATTAACAGATCATCATTGGTTTTTGTGTGTGTGTGTGTGTGTGTAGGAAAGATGCACAAATTACGGTAAAGTGAAGAAACAAAAATGCTAGGAATAAGAATTATAAATCATGCGTGTGGTTGTGTTGAATTATCTATGGTGTTTTTTTTGAGAAGGGGAATTCGAATCAATTGAATACCACTGATTTCAAATTTAATTCCAATTAAATTTACTATAAGTGGCAACAGGATTTGAATTCATTTGTTTATGAGCTTGTTGTTGTTGTTGTTGTTGCTGCTGCTGTGATAATGAACGTTGATTACCACCAACAACATTTCCGGCAGCTTGTTGAGTAATTGGGTCGACGGTAGCAAATGAATGATGCATTGTTTGATGTTGTTGTTGTTGTGGTTGTTGTTGATGATGATGTTGAGGTAACATAGCATAAGCATTGTTTGCATAGGATGATTGATGTAAACTATTCATCTGCTGATGTGTGGCTGCTGCTGCCGTTTGCTGTTGGAATCCTTGTTTTTCATAGCTCTAGATTTTTGTTTTGTTTTGTTTCAAACAAAAAAAGAAAGAAAAAAGAAAAAAAGAAAGAAAATCAATCAATATAATCATCAATCAATAATAATTAATCTCAGTGACAAGTTTATTATCAATAAAATTTTAATATGGATGCGTGTGTGTATGTTGTTTGTTTTTTCATTTGCATGTGTGTGTGGTGTGTGTATGTGGGTGCCATTCATTACTATTATGTAATTGTTTTTTTTTCAATAATTCAATAATTCCAAAAGGCAATATTTGTAAATGTGAATGGGTGCGCGGGTGGACAGAGATGATTTATCAATCAATCTCTATGTGTTTATCATATCTCTACTAAATTAATGGAATCTAGAAAAAACGACCGCGACGATTGGATGAAGGCCATACTTTGTTCATTTGTGGATGTGCTTTACTGTACATATTTGTAGCCGTCGATGATAGATCATTTCCTCCGCCACCACCACCACCAACACTTTGTCCAGCATTGCCGCCAACAGTTGTCATTTGTTTATGTTGTTGCTGTTGTTGATACGGTTTATTCGATGTTGTGGCATAATCAGCTTGTGTTGGAACACCACCGGCATTACCCATCGAATCATATCCAGCCGAATTATATGAATGAGATCCATAATTAGCAGCGGCGGCAGTCGTATTAGCTTTAGTGGCGAATGGCGAATTAGCGGCAGCAGCTGCGGCAGCCGCAGCTGCTACGGCAGGATTTTGCGCCTGTTGTACCGGATATAATGCCGCCGGATGTGATGGTGGATACATTGGTCCTTGAGCATAACTAAAATATAGACCATAACCCGGAAAGTATGGATTGTGCGCTTGTGTAGCCGCTGCTGCTGTTGCATTTGCTGCTTGTGATGATACAGGCATCATATCTGATTCCGAATTACGATTATATTTGACATCTATGAGAAAAATGAGGAAAAAAGTTAATAAATTTCTGGAATGAACAAAAACAAAAAAAATCATACTATACCTGTAGCGGTTGCATACGGTGAATAAGTGGTATGATCACGTGCTGCAGTAGCCGGAAATTGTAAATCATACGGATAATAATGTGTTGGTATTGTCATCGCTGGATTACTCATTGCAATAAATGGTGCGCTCAACACCTGTGGCTGTTGTTGTTGCTGCTGTACGGCAGCCGCCGAATTTGTCACACCTGGAGGCACATTATGGATTCCTTTACCTTGAATAAATGAACAAGATTTTTAAGATGAAAAAAAGTCAGAAAAAACTTGATTTTCAATTTAAACTTACTTGATGACAAGGTATTTTTGATTGCATTCGTTGTCGATGTTGAACTGGACATAAGACCCAATGATGATGATCCCACTGCTGCATTTGAATCATATTTATTCGTTGAACTTATTACAGGCTGTACGGTATTATTAACACCACCGCCGACGCCGCTTACATTATCCATATCACGAAGCACTTTTTGGTTTTGTTGTTGTTGTTGTACTACTCCGGTAGTAGTGGCCGATGATGATTGATTACCATATGGAACATAACCACCGGCATTTGCCATCAATGCTGTTTGTTGTTGTTGACTGGCCATATGACTACCACCTGAATGATGATTAGCACCGAATCCAACTTGATGATGATTATAACCACCAACACCAACACTACCACCATATTGATGTGCCATTGAGGATTGCTGTTGATGATAACCACCAACACTTGTCGATGATGAATACGGATTCGTTTGATCTATTGTATTACCACCAACGTTTGGATTATAATTGCTCGATTTATACGTTGACATTTGTGACATATAATCGTTTGACTTTCGTTCCAAAACATTTTTCTGATTATAACCACCACCACCACCAACAGTATTATTATTATTGGCATTCAATGATGCCGTTGCCGATGATTTGTTATCCACAATCATCGATGTACGATGATCTTGTTGAACACTACTAGCACCACCAGCAGCGACATTAAGAATCGAATCATTCAAGGAATGATGATGATGTTGTTGATGATGTGGTAACACTTGTGATGTTTGTAATGTTTGACCCGCCGTACCAGTGGCTCCACTCATTTTATTAGCTGATTGATTGGAATTGGATGAACGATAATTCGATGCTGATCCATTTGGATCCGTTGCTGCCGTCGGTAATAATGATGACATGGATTGTTTTGTTGTATCAATAGTTTTTTTACCACCCGTAGTCGTATCAAACATCGACCCATCCGTTGCACCAAGTGGAAAACCAGTGCTGGAACCAAATTCAAGTGAACCAAAATGGACCGATAGATTTGCGATCGGATCATTTGATGGCATTTCAACAGCCGTATCTTGTACCATTTTTGACATTTGAACATTAGCCGGAACTTTTGCCGTCGCTGCCGCTAATGTTCTTGCTGCTGCTGCGGCATTTGATTGTGCAACTGCAGCAGCATTATCAGCGGCAGAAGAAGTAGTCCCAACAGCAGCAGATGGCATACCAACTAATGATTTAATACTTTCGGTTGCTTGTTTCGAGAATTGACTTGAATATGTATACTGATTTAGATTGGAATTCTGTGATACATGCTGTATGAATGCTTGTCCAGCCGATGTTTGGTGTTGCGATTGTGGTTGCTGCTGTCTTGGTTGTTGTTTTTGCATATTATTCGTCGATGCAATAATCGAACTCATCGTTGGCGGCTGTTGCTGATCATTGGATTGTGATTTACCGACCACCATTCCACCACTTGCGTTATTATATACCATACCACCACGTTGTAGCTGTTGTTCATTCATTGTTGATTTATTAATCGTGTTTGTTTCATCTTTTTCCGATATAACCTTGGTACTTGGTGTGAACACTTTTGTTGCCATTGGTTGAGTCCAATCTTCTTCAGTCCAATCTTCATTGGCCGCAACATCTGACCAATTACCTACGGTCATTGTTTGAAGGTCATCTGTCGTTGGTTTTCCAGTCACTGATCCCGTTACGTTTGATCCGGTTGTTGATGTCGATTCAACGGCATTATTTGACCACGTGTCAATCGAATTAGGAAATCCATCGGAAATTTGATTTGGACCATTTTGATTACCACCACCACCACTACCACTACCATGATGATGACCACCACTACCTCCGCTATTCTGGTTATTTTGCATTCCACGATTCATGAATGTACGAGATCCACGGGCCATACCACCACGACCCCGAGATAAACCACGGCTACCGCCTCGTCCACCACCACGTCTTCCTCTTTCACCAATGGAACGTTCGCCATTACTTTTACGATCGGCAACAGCGGCCGTATTGAAAACATCACCACCGTCATCAGCACCATCCTTATCGTTTGATTGTTGATTAGGATGGTTGTTCGTCGATTGTGAACCACGATAGTCTTTTTTCCGGTTACTATTGTTTCTACCAGCCATCGATCCACCGCGACCTCCAGGACCTTTTAAACTTTGGCGACCACTACCATCAGCATTCGATTTATTGGATCGATTTGATTTTTCCATTCGATTATTCTGTTGACCATTAGTAAGTGTCGTGGATGCGACTGCTGACGATACGTCAGCTGCCGTTGATTGACTCGGACCCGATAATGATGTTGCGGTTGATTTACCGCGTTTTTTTCTACCGGTCGATTGCCATTCTGAATCTAAAGATTCACCATCAAGAATCATTTCGATTGCTTTTGGCATATCATTGTCACAGTCATATAGTGCAACGGCAGCATCCTCTCGGGATGCACCGGTCAATTCAACAATCTTTTCAATTTTTGGCTTCAGATCATCATCTTTTTTATCGCTCATCAGGCTAGCAATACGCATTTGTTCTGCAGTAGGCTATAGGAAAATGTTGGCAACAAAAAATAAAATAAACAGATTATCTAATAAACACACAAAGAAAAAGAGAAACATACCTGGAATTTATCATTTTTAGTACTACGAAATTCATCAGCCACATGATTACTATTGTTATTATTATTAATGGTCATGTTGTTCGACGACGACGATGATGATGAATCCATATTCGATACCATATTATTTGACGATAATGATGATGTTTGAGACGGCTGTGATGATTTGTTTGAATGATGATGTATCTTTTTATTATTCATTGTATTGTTTGATTTGTTGTTTGTACTACCACGTCCACCAGTGGTTGTTGTTGTTGATAAACCACCAGATTGGGACGAATTTGACACTAATGTGGTCATCATTCGTTGTTTTTTTTGAAGATGTGATTTAAAAAGAAAAATCCAATGAGCACACACAAACACACAGAGATACAAATTTCACACGAAAAAAATATGGTCAAATGAGTAACAGACACGGACACACAAACACAAAGGATAAACAGTTTTTCGATTTTTGACAATTTGTCAAAGACGTTCTTTTGGTGGATTGTTTTTGTTTTGATGATGAATATATTTACAGCCCAAATATATTTACAAATTAAAGGTAAAATCTAAAAAAAGAGAAAAAAATCAAATTAGAAAGAAAAACAAACAAAAAACACGTGTTTGTGTGTGTGTGTGACCTATGACCTGAAATGAAGAATTTTTTTTCGTGGCTGAAATTTGAATCTTGGGAAATTTGATCAATGTTTTCAAAATGAAAAAAAGTGAGTGAGAGGGAAACAAAAACAAAAAAAGTGTTTAAATATCTATTTAGTGTGCGTGTTTTGTATTCTTACTGGTTCTTTGTTCTCTTCCTACGCGGCAAACACACACCGTGTGTTGTACTAATAAGACAGAAAAGCAGCCAAAGAACTCATCGAAAGAAAAATCTTACCCTGAGATGATTAACTGATGACAAAAATAATTTTTTAGCAAATTAATGAAAAAAAAAAAAATGTAACAGAAATTTGAATTTTTTTGTTTTCGAAAATTCATTGAAATGAAACAAAAAAAAACTGAAAATGAATCAAATACATACCAATATAATAAACACACAGACACACAATACACACCAAGCAACCAACTAAAATGATGATTCCACTGTGTATACACAGATTACAGAAAAAAAAACTCACACTGGCTAGCACAGAAACAAAGCAAACTTTTTTGCTTGAGATTTTTTTTGTTGCCTTTTCGCTTGCAATACTAAATGATTTTTTTTTCTTTCTTTCACTACATTCTCCTCACCCTCTTCTACTACTATGTCTCTATGTGTGTGCTAGAGGGTTATACATATAAGTTGTGCTTGTTGTGGCTTTTGACGTTGATTTAAATAATGATAATGAGGAGGAGGACGGTACCTGTCTTGTTTAAAAAAAAACGACGTAAAAAAACTCATTGTATGACAATGTCTATTCAAAAACGACGTTTCACAATGATGATGACATAAAAATCGAGTGTGTTTGTGTGGTCACAATGCTCGAACAAATTGTCTACGTTGTTTGGTAGTAGTTCATAATCAATGAATTTTTAAAATTACTTGATTGTTGGAAAAATGTTAAATTGATATTTTACGTTTGATAATTGTGACCAATTGGTTAAATGTATGTGTGTATGTCATTTAAAACAGAGCTTCTTAAACTGCAGGTCGTGACCTCAAAAGTAGTGGGTAATTTTAACAAAAAAAAGTTTAAGAACCCCTGATTTTGTGAAACTATGACCACACCTTCATCACCCATTTCATCATTATCATACGATCGAAACCGCGAAACATTTGAAAGTAATCACGAAATTTAAAAAATTTTAGATCTAATTCAGAATTTTATTTAAAATTTTCTTTCGGTTAATTTTCTGAAACACTGATGATGATGAGGATGATAAAGAAGTGGAATACTGGGATGTTATTGAATCTGAACGATTGAGTGAATGTTCACGATCATTACGAATCAATTCCATGCGTTTAGCCATAGATAACTGGAAAAAAATTCGATAAAATTCATGGCAAGATTTCTCTAATTGTGCACATAATTGTCGATGGAAGAGGACATCCTGTTCGGTTACAATTAATCGACCATCATCAGTGTTGGTTTGTAAATTTTTTTTAAAATTAACCAATATAGCCGATGTATCACGAATGGTACGACGTAAGTTTCGTATTTTTCCCGTGGACAATAACCGTCGTACAAGATAACCACGTACAATGGCCGGTAATCGTCGTAATTTATGTTGTATTCGATCATCACCATCATCATCTAAACACACCTGTTTACACAAAGAGAAAGTTATGAGAATATTTCGAATATTATTACAACAAACATACCATCGCTCTGATATCCGATGATTGATTTGTCTGTGATGATGATGATGATTGTTGATGATGAACATTGCCAATGATAGCATCGGATAATTGCTCAAACATTGTCATAATTGTTTGATATTTTTCCGAAAATTCCATCCGATAATCGGACAATTGTCGAGATAATTCATTCAATTGTTGTTCATAGTGTTCCATTCGTGAAAAACAATCATTCTGAAGAAATAATAATTGTTCATAGATTATGCGAAATTTCTCTGGAAAATTTGTTTGTATTTTTTGAAAACTCGGTACCAATGTTTCAATTGAATCATTTTTATCATCTAGATTATCTTGATTATTATTAAATGAATGCCATATCGATGATTCATATGAATCATCATCATCAGAAGCAGCAGAAAAACTATTCTGTTGTTCTATGATTGTAGTCGTCGATGATGATGATGATGGTGATGATGATCGAATGGATAGATTGGGAGAATTCAATGCACTTGAATAAAATGATTCATTATCATTCGTTTGAACGTCATCATCATCATGGTCATAATAAATTGATGGATTTTCCATCAGATTGATGTTGTTCCAATTGAAACCTCAAAATAAAACAAACAGTGTGTGTGTGTGTGTGCGTGTGTATTGCAAAATTGAAATGCAATCCGTTGAAATGTTTCAACTTTTTTCTCGGGACTATCCATAATGGCCAGTACACGAGGGCCAAAGTTCAACAAGTGGTTTTCTCAAAAAAAAACTTTCAAAAGCAAATCATCCACCACACACTTTTTAGTCGTCTGTTGAACGTTCAAACAAGATTACCTGTTCGAACAACAACACGAAGAAGAAGAAATGCCCTCGAAGGCATATATCGATTGATTGATTGTAACAACAGTGTTGTTGTATGCACAAGTGGAAACTGTGGATAAATAGTCTCATCACATACACCATCAAGAATTCTCTGTTTCTGTGTGTGATAGCCAAATGATAAAAATCAAATTCGAATTTCGTTCATAAATTGGACCATTGTGGATAATAATAATGTATTGTGATTGATAAATAGAAAAAACAAGATGGCAACGGCTGCAGCATTAGGTGTAAACAAAGTATTCATTTTGGATAGATATTTTGCCGAGGTAAGTTGTTTTTGGTTAAAACTAAATCAAAAATTCACCGATTGAATTTCAATTTCAAAACAACACAAAAAAGCTAAATAAATATTGGCAAAATGAATGTCTTCATCAACAAGGTAAGATTTTGTAAATTGTAAATTGGCTGACTTTGACATTCTTTTGCCCCCACATGTAGACAAGCCGAAATCCAATTATAATTACAATCCATATCAGCAGCAGCAGCAACAACAACAACAGCAGCAGCCATACAAATCGAATGTGAATGTAGGTGATCGAAAATTAATCATCAATAATCATCACCATTATCATCAATCTTCGACGGATAATATCAACGATCTAATACATTTAGAAGCACCGATTACTGAGGATTCATTAATTCGATCACTGCATACACGATTCTTATCGAATGAATATTTTGTAAGTATTGATCGATTGAATTTTAATTTGGATAAATATAATTCCTCGTTATTACACACAGACCAATATTGGACCTGTATTGATTGCATTGAATCCGTATCGAGAGCTAAATAATCCACTTACATTGGATAGTGCACATCGTAATGATAATTGTTATGCCTTATATCGTATTGTTCATGAAGCTGTACGACAACAAACCGAAACTGGCTATCCACAGGTGATTATTCTTAGTGGCATAAGTGGATCGGGTAAAACATATGCATCGATGACTATTTTGCGTCAACTATTTAATCTTGTTGGTGGTGGACCAGAAACGGATGCATTTAAACATCTAGCAGCTGCATTCACCGTATTACGTAGTCTTGGTTCAGCATGTACCGGAGAGAATACGGAATCTAGTCGTATTGGAAACTTTATCGAAGTACAAATTACTGATGGTGCTATTTATCGTACAAAAATTCATTGCTATTTTTTGGATCAATCCCGTGTGGTTAAAACGATTGTAAACGGTGGTGCAGAACGTAATTATCATATTTTCTATCAAATGCTTCTTGGTTTATCATTGAATGAAAAAACTAAACTCTATTTGGATGGTTATAATGTCGATGATTTTCGTTATCTCAACAATGATGATAATAGTGACCATCATAACCATCACAATGGATTAAATTCACAATCGATTCAGAATCATGTGAATCGTTTTGAAGCATGGAAATCTTGCCTATCGGTTTTGGGTATTCCATTCATGGATGTAGCACGTGTTCTGGCTGCCATTCTATTACTTGGTAATATTCAATTCGATAATGGTGGTGGTGGTGTTGGTCAAATGATTGTAGATCAACAAACCGATGGTCTTTCATTCAATAAAAAAGAACTACATGCTGTAGCATCACTTTTGGGTGTTTCCACCGCTCAGCTTCACAAAGGGCTGGCACAACGAACATATTGTTCACGAGATAAAGGCCAGATTCTTGTCAGCACAAGAAATGCTGAAAGTTTTTATGTGACAAGAGATTCATTAGCAAAAGCTCTTTACACACGAACTGTTGCCACAATCATCCGACGAGCAAATTCATCAAAACGTTTAACATCAACATGTGGTACAGCAAGTTCAGAATCGAATGATTCTACTCATAATAATAATCATCATCATCAGCAACATCTAGAAACGGCTAGTAGTCATCATGCAGCATCAAGTATTGGATCAGCATGTGGTAAATCCTATAAATCAATGGCCATTCTACAAAATGCCATACGATATTCATCGATGGAAGGATTTATCGGTATATTGGACATGTTTGGATTCGAAGATGCTAGACCAAGTCGACTGGAACAATTATGTATCAATCTTTGTGCTGAAACAATGCAACATTTCTATAATACTCATATATTCAAATCAAGTATTGAATCCTGTCGTGATGAAGGTATTAAACCTGATCTAGAGATTGATTATGTTGATAATGTTCCATGTATTGATCTGATTTCATCGTTGGTAAGTTTATTGATTTAATTTTTCACCATGAAATCTCATTTTTTTCTACCTTTAGCGAACCGGTCTGTTTAGTTTGATTGATTATGAATCAATCAATAATGGAACTGCTGAATCGATTGTTGCTAAACAATCATCATTACATGGATCAAATAGCCGTTACTTGGAAATGACAAATTTGTATGAAAATGATCCAACATTACGATTACGTTCATTTGGTATACGACATTTTTGTGGTAATGTTATCTATGATACAAGTGATTTTATTGAATCAAATTCCGATCGATTACCCGATGATGTGGTTGCCATATTTCACAAATCACAATGTTCATTTGGTTTTGCTTCACATTTATTTGGCGCTGAACTTCGTTGTCTGAAGAATCGTGGTACACAACCACTTGGTATTCATTTTCGAATTTCGCCCATTCATACACCATCAATGATGACGCCGCAATCGGATACGAATTCAATCGAACCAACAACAACATTTACACAGGATTTTCATAATCGTTTAGATAATCTACTACGAATATTGGTTCATGCACGACCACATTTTATTCGTTGTATCAAAATCAATGACTGTGAACAATGTGATCATTTTGATCGTTTTACCATTATGAGACAGATTCGTGCCCTACAAGTACTTGAAACAGTGAATCTAATGGCCGAAGGTCTACCACATCGTATGCGATTCAAAGCATTCATTAGCCGTTATCGTTTGCTCGTACATTCCAGTTATGTACGACAAAAAGAGGATACAATGCTCGATGATTGTCGTGTGATACTCGATCATTTTGATCAGATACATCGTTTGAATTCTAGCAATACAAATCGTGCAACAGCAGCTTTGACATCATGGACATTAGGTCGTAAACATGTATTCCTTAGTGAATCTGCACGACAACAATTGGAAATTGCACGTAATGGTCGTCGAAATGCAGCCGCTACAACCATTCAAGCTTTATGGCACGGTCATCGATTACGTCGACAATGGCCATATATTAAACAAGTACAAATGCAGCAGCAACAACAACAACAACAACGTCGTTGTTATCAAAAACCATTGGATCATCATCATCAAGCCAATCATAAAGTTTCACGTCCACCAAGACCACAACCAATATCGTTTAGTACACCGCCACTATCATTAACATCGGAACCACAAACATTAAACTTAACGGGTTCTAATCATATCAAATCGATGAATATGTATGATTTTAATCTGATTAAACAAACTTGCCTATTGCTTGGTATTGATCCGGTAAGTTTTATGACGCATGCCCGTTTCATTCGATTTATATGAATATAAAATTATTACAGGACACACCACCACCAGTGCCATCAAGTCGATTATATACGGTGATGAATAATCAGAAATTTTCTTTTCCACAAACTCGATCACTTCGTATGGATTTCATCGGTAAGACAATTGGACAATTCGATTGTCTAATTACTAATTGAAACGATTTTCTCCTCAGATCCAATGAATCATTTGAAAATTTCAAAAGGTCAAAAAGTAATTGTTCTTGGATTTTCGCCATATAAACGTGGATGCTTTACCGTCGAATATTCCAAAGGTCTTCGTTTTGACATTCCACAACATTTAGTTGAACAACAACCCGAATTTAATGTGTCTAATACTATCACTACACACCAATCTCATCATAATCATCGTCAAAATTATTTGGGATTTGGAATATAATGTGAATGTGAAAAATTACAATAAATCTCTATTCTCTGTAATTTTAAATTTCTATTTAAACTCAGCTGAACATTGAATAGTCAAAATAGAATGTGGTATTTTTTTTATAATTGTGGGAGGAGAATCGATGATTATGCTACTCATGAGCAGTTAGAATCTTGCGTAAATATCGTTTTAACATCGTTATTTGATCCATTGGGCTCATTGTATATTTGTTGCTGTTTGTTAGTGGGTGCACTTATTGAAATTGTTACAATCTTTAAAAAAAATTGGGTCCAATTTGCCACACACACACACACACACACATATAGAGGAGGTATACATTGAATTGGGTTCGTTGGCCCTTATCTGACTGTGTTCGTGTTTGTGTGTGGCAAAATGTTTCATTTTGAACATCTGGACAGGAACTGAAATAAAATGAAATTGTTTTCTTGTTGTTGGTGCTCTGTTGAATTTCATGAAACAAATCATCAGTTTGTTTGTTTTTGTTTCTCGTTAATGATAAAATGGCATCTATAATGTCATCGTTGAAAATTGAATTGTTCAATCAAAATTTCCATATTAATTATAATAAATTATAATTTCATGTGAATGATCATGAAAAATTATCAACAACAAAGTTCTACATTACCACCATCACCGTCATCATCATCCTCATCACTGAATTCGATAAATCAAAAACATCCACATCATCATCATCAGCAATCATCATCAATATTTAATCAACAATTTGATTCTGCTCATAATAATAATTTACCTGCTTCAAGTAAGTCGTTAACATTTTCGTTGTATGTTGTAACCAATGTGTGGCAATATATATTCGACGTCATTGAATTTCGAATGTAAATCATTTTTTTCTTTCGTCTCGTTGTTGTCATATTTATATAGTAATTGGTGTCAATCGAAATTCATCCATAGCCAAACATCATCAAAATACATTGGGCAATATTGTTATTGGTAAAAATATTGCACCACCAGCTATACCATCGGATATTATAACAAATAATCATCATCAATTTATTAATGATGATAGTGCTATTGTTGTTGGCGAGCCTTTGATGATCTATGATAATAATAATATTCAACAACAACAACATGTTCAATGTAAATATAATTATATCATTGCTGGGTGTTTTAAATCTAATTTATTTTTTCTCAGTGATTAATAATGATCCTCAATTTTATTATGATGGAAATGTAAGTTGTTATCATTTTGATGTTATTTTAAAATATTTGTAAATAAATAGATAATAACTTCATAACATTAGAATTATTACTGTAGTAATAGTAAACATTGTGAACAACAACCATTAACATCATCATCATTATCATCGATGCATCATCCAACCATTGTACCGAATGTGCATGATCCACGTGCCTATAATAATTATCGTTTTAGTTCGGTTAGTGTTGATAGTGGTCGTGGTAGTAGTGAAACAACATTTACCAATAAGGTATTTTTTGTTCTTATAAAAGACAATGAATATGTTGATGTTGATTACATGACATGGATTTTTCTCTTTACAGAGTGGACAACAAAATTCATCATCATTGAATCAGAATCGTGCTTCAATACAAAGCTATGAATCAATAGGATCGAATACATCCAGTATTGATCCGTTGCAACAACATCATCAACAAGCTAATTCCCAGCTACAACAACAAAAATCATCATCCATATCTTCTTCCTCATCATCAACCTCGTCATCGATTTGTTCATCAGCATCATCATCCAGTTCATCATCGGCTTTATCTACATCGACAACAAGTTCCCCATCACAATCCCAGATTGATTCATTCACAACGGCCAATAATGTCTTTCTGAATATGAAGCCACCGCCATCATCATCATCATCATCATCTTCATCGTTTTGTAATGTAGGGAATGTTAATATGAAAAACGAAAAGGATCGTCTATTGGCCAAAGCTGGCCCATTAACTATTGCCGAAATGTTATTGCATGGTGTGGCTGATTCCGAAATGATTCACATTTGGCTACAAAAGATTCAAATGTCACAATTTGAAAAGAATTTTCTGGATGCTTGTTATGATATGGCAACTATATCGCGAATGACACCTCAGGACTTGATTGCCATCGGCATCACTGATCCACAAGCACGTAGCCTATTCACTAGTGAAATACAGAAACTTAAAGTACCCGAAAATCTACCAGATTATCGACCTGTAAGTGTCAATCAAATGTCGTATTTTTTATTTTTTTTCCAATTTGATGTGTTTTTCATTTTTTTCGGGCAAATATAAATAAACAGAGTTCATTACATGAATGGCTCAAATTGTTAAATCTCGATTGTTATCATCAAGGTTTATGTCAACAAGGCTATGATACAATTGATCGTGTTCTACAATTAACATGGGAAGATTTAGAGGATGTTGGCATCAATAAATTAGGTACGTTTCTTGTAAACAAATTTTCGAACAAATAAATTTCATTCATTTTCTTTTTGATGACACATCAGGACATCAAAAAAAGATATTATTGGCAATCAAAAAAACCAAATCAATCAAATCATCATCGAATGATATGTATGATTCGTTCAGTAGTCGGCCAACTTCAAATGGTAATGATTTTCGAATGCTTCCACCACCACCACCATCACCTTCATTGTCACATTCTTTACTTCCGCCATCTCCATCGTTATCAATGCAGCCAATTTATGATCAATCACAACGTACGAAATTGCCATATCATGAACCAGTGACAATCGATACTTTAGCTTCTTCTTCTAGTGGTCAAACAACAGCATTCGTGCCAAACACAAATTCAAATGTTGAATCGAAACAACCATATCAGGATGTAATGATCAAAATGTATGCCAATCATCATACACCTCGATCGATGGCTTCACCAATCAATAATGATGGTGTAATGATGATGATGATGAATAATAGGCCAATAATGGATAATTGTCATATTATTGATAAACGAACTAATTCAATGGCCCCTATGATAATGGCTATGGATTCGAAATCACAACGAATGCATACATTTCAGCAACAGCAACCACAACCAAATTTAATGCGAAATAATTCATTGGTACAGAATCATAATTCAATGATGATGATGAATCAATCATGTCGACGACGATCATTAGAAAGTCTAAATACAATGACAAATGAATCGATTGTGACCACTGCCACCACCACCACCAACAATAATAATGGATCCCCGGTTATCTATGCCAATATGTCAAACATTATATTGAATAGCACAGTTCAACAGCCACAACCATTTCCGCAACGATTAATGTCGACATATCAGTATTCCAATAACTGTGATCCAGTAACAACAATAAACACCTCCAATCCAATGATGAATAATAATAATAATAGGCAGACTATTTGTTTTCCAGAACCTTTACGGCCTTCAACAACTATTTTAACATTTCCAAATAGTGATCATATTGGATGCCAGGATGTAATGGTTGATCAACAAACACAAGGATCAAATACATTAAATCGACCAAAAATGTTGATGATGATGACAAATTCAGGACAGAAATCTCGGGCAGATCCCACTGCTTCAAATATGATTGAAATGACAGCAATGAATAATCAGCGACAACAATCACCTCGAATGAACATGTCAAATTCAGATATTTATTCGACATTTAATCAAAAACAACAACTTTGTAGGAAAAAACCTCCACCACCACCACCGCCTCGACGTTTTAATTCAATCATGGAACAACAACAACAGCAGTCGAATTCGATGCCTTCAACGCCAATACATCATCAATTTCAACGGTCACAATCTAGCCAGGATAGTCATTATCATCATTATGATGATAATGAAGATGATGTATTATTAGTAAAGCAATCACATTTGAATTGTTCAACAAAACCAACTACTGCTACTGTACGAAATGATAATTTCTTTGCCAATTGTGTGAAAACAATGACTAATAATTTTTCTGAAAGTCAATTTCGGGATGATTCAGCAGCTACAACTGGGTTACGAATACAGAATGTAAATACGAATCGTACACTGCCATTAACTTCTACTAACAATCATGGTCATCAAAATAATAATTCCAAATCATCATTATCGAATATAATTACGACAAATAGTAGTAGTTCATCAGCTGAATCAATGTATTTTGCAAATGATAATATTGGCACTATTAGACATAACATGCCACCACCAGCATTTGGCCATTCATCATCTTCATCGTCGTCTTCATCATCATCATCAAAAACAACATCACCTTGTTCGGATAAAGTAAGCCCTTCATCATCATCATTATCGATGATAAATAATCAACGAGTTGTCGAATCGGAATCATTGACGAAACAGGATTCTAGGTAAGAATTTTTAATGAATGATATTTGATTATAATTTGCATCCAATTCATTTTATAATTATAGCCAAAAAATTGACGATTCCTTGGAACATATTGAAATGATGTTGGCCACATTGAAAATGCAGCTTGATTCAATCGATTAACTACTAACGGTTCTAACTCTTTTTACAAACCTAATTGATCAATAATTATAATGATGGAAATCAATTGCTATTTATTGTTGATTTTTTTTATAATTCAAATTATTTGATATGTAAAATTCATTTTTCTATCCATTTGCTATTATTATTAATATTTACCCCTACACCTTGGACCAAAAAAAACTTTTGCTACCTTGTTTAATTATAGTGAAAAATCCATTTTTTCGGTTTTAAATAATAAAAAAAAAATTATATATATTATTAATCAATACACTGTTCAATGACTTCAAAAAAGATGAAAAATAGCTGAATCATAGTTCTTTTCTCTGTTTACAGACGGCAGCACTCATTTTTAAATGATTGAAAACTGAATTTAAAATTCAATGTCATCATCAGTTCTTTATTTCGAGTAATTTCGAGTAAATCGAGTAAATTGAAACTAAAATGTTCACATTGCTGGTTTTGTTTCATCATCATACGACTGTAAATCAATCAATTGACTTATTTCATAAATATTCACGCGTTTATGGCTACTTGGTTCAAACATTCGATCCAATAATGATGCTAATGTATTATGTTGATGCGGTTGGTTCATCATCGATCGAGATTTACCCGATTTAGCCGTTGTTGATGTCGATGTTGATGACGATGATGATGATGATAAAGATGGCCGATGAGCGGGTACATATGATGATTGTTGAATGATTGTTGTTGTTGCAAGACCAGGCATACGCCATTCACGATTCAATTGTTTGTCCAACATTTTGCGAGCAAATTGAATCCGTTCATCTTTATTTGGTGGTGGATTATCGAATGGATGTTGTTTACTTAGCAATAAATATAAACAAACACCCAATGCCCAGATATCAGCTTTGAATGGATCATATGAATGATGTAGATATGGTTTTGGTTCGTTGTTGTTGATGATGATCAACAACATAACGATTGTTAGTGGCTGCTGCCACAGTATTGGCACGAATGTAGCATGACAATATCTGTGGTGACATATATGCCAATGTACCGGCCGGTTTATTGAAACGAAGTAAACCTGATTGTTTCGAGTTCACCAATCGACTAAGACCAAAATCGGCTAATTTAACAATTTCCTGACATTTATTGCCATTATTTTGATCACCACTGTTGAGTGTTGTTGTGAGCAGAATATTACCCAATTTAAGATCACGATGTGCTACACCGATCGAATGTAGATATCTTATACCATCGGTTATTTGTCGAAAATAACCAACGGTAATCGTTGCATCAAATGGACCATATTTTTTAAGTTTTGCCCACAATGTACCACAACGAGCATATTCCATAATGATGTAACTATATGATAATGATGGTAACGAATTATCAATACGGCTATTACTACGACTACCACCACCACCACCACCACTATGATGACGATGATTGATAACATGACTATAGATAAATTGATCTTCAAGATGCACAATATTACGATGATGACGGCCACGATACATGGCAAATACTTCGTAGGCAAAATTTTCTAGTGCTGCTAATTTATCTTTCCGGTTCGATAATAACATTATCTTACAGGCCAGTGGTTGTGGTCTTTGTTGTTGTTGGTGGTGATCAATTGTTGAACTATCGTTGATGTCGGTGTCGATGTTCTTGTTGACATTGGTCGTAGTGTTGTTAACCCGGCCATAAATCTTGTAGACAGCACCATAGCCTCCTTCACCCAATTTTTTATTTGTCATACGATATCCTCGTTCTTCAAGTCGTTTTCTATGCAGATATTTCACCATTTTATTCGTTGTAGAAGCCGCCGCCTTTGTCGCTGAAATTATCGTTTCATTCATAATAATATTATTATTGCTTTTATGTTCCTTATTTTTCGGGTGATTGATTGGATTCATGGAAATATATTCATTAACCATCATCATTTGATTGGAATTTGTCCAAGAATTATGTTCACTGTAATTATCATTATCATTGTCGACATGAATGATTTTCTTAAAAGATTCCTTGTTATTCTTATTTAGATTCGTATTGATCACGGTTAATTCATCATTATATGATTGAATCAATGAATCTTGTTCATTCATCGATTCTTGTCGTTCATCATGATTATTCATTTCAATGGTGGTTTTCAATCGTTTTTTCGATTTCAATGCAATTGGATTCTGGTCAATTTGTTTGGCTTCCTGTCTCGGTTTCGATGGTGGTGGTTGTTGTCGACATTCATTCTGCTCAAGTACATTGTCATTGTTGTCATCGATGTTGTTGTTGTTGTTGTTAATGTTGGAGTGATCAAATTCAATACACATGTTTGGATAAGTGAGAAAAACGGGCGAAAAATTCGCACTTAAAAACCAGTAAAAATGGCCCAATTCCTTCCATTCAACAACAATGAGGTTATTCAAGTGGACTTAATTGGTTGGGCATTTTTTCGAATTTGATTAATTTGAAAATTATCATGAAATTTCAAATTTAATTTTCGAGAAAAAAATTGAATTGCCAAGAGTTGTTTTGATGCCACGAAACATAAATTGTTTGCGCCCACAGCCTCAGCAGGGTCATGAATCTGGTGATTATCTATTGCATAGTAATAATAATAAACACACTGGTTAATGACAGGTGTGTTTGAACCGATTTCAAAAAACTGAAATCCAAGACTTTTTTGAAATAATTAAATTCAATTTCAATAGCCAGGAATGATGATGATGAAGATGATACATAAATATCTTGAAGAGAAATTTTTTTCGCTATCAGGCGTATAGGAATTTCGATTGATTTGATTGGAAGAGAAACTGTATTTGTATGAATGAAATTGAAAGATATCAAAGAGATCAAACAAGTCGATTATGATGATGATGATGATTATCATACGGCTAACGGCCGGTCCGTCTCTGTCTGTGTGAATGGATAACGGTTGTTGCTTTCACAAAACGGCTAGCCATTTTAAAAGTGATGCAAGGTGGTCGTGGTTAGTTTTTTATGGCCTATTATGTCGGAGGAGAAAAAAAGGCCGTATCTTTGTATTTAAACTGAAATCGATTTACACCATCCAAACACAACACAACAATCAGTCGACAATAATAATTCGTATGTGTGTCTGTGTGTGATTAATAACAACGATAATAGCCATCTTATGTGTGAATTGTCCATCTGCTTTTCATTTTCCAAATAACCTTCATGTTTGAATCATTTGAATGAATAAATAAATTTCGATTTCAATTCGACCATTTGATCAACAATAAAAATATTGATTTACGGCTATTTGGTGGTTCATTCACATCTGCTGCTTGTCGATTTGTTTGTTTGTTGATCCATTCAATTTCATTCAAAATTTGTCGTGGTTAAAGTAAGTAAAGAGAATGTAGATTTCCATTATCCTTCAGGATGATAAAGAGTTATTCAAGGAATTTCGTTGTCAATTTTTATGCTAATTTTACGGAGCTATTGTTTAGTTTTCATTGTTAATTAGTGGATAGTAGCCCAATATTAAAATTAAAATTTATGCTCGATAATTTGTGAATAATCAATTGATCGATGATTGTTTGATTGATTGATAAATTGACGATAATTTTGGCTAGATTGTGTTTTCCATTTTAAAGACATTGTCTACTGTTTATTGCCATTGATGATCATCATCGATTATGATTATGGTAATGGCGATGGCCTCTGCCAATATCTAAGAAAAAACAACAGAACATTATAATTATATCGACCACCATTTTAAATTTATACAAACATCGATTATCTACCTCTTTAAACCTTGAGAATTTTCATTAATCCCATTAATCATTGTGTTTGTTCATTGTATTTTTTTATGATTTTCTTTTTCGTTCAATAATTCCGCTAATTGGTCACTGAATGTCGTGTCATCAAATTATCAATACTGTTGAGTGCAGCCAACTCAGCTCAGATTAAACAACAGCCATGTTTTCTGGCAGATCAGATAATCGGTTCTTGTTACCGTTATTCCTTGGTTCGATGATTATGACTGCTGTAATTGCCATTCAAGATGATTCAAGAATTATTCGAATGACGAATCCATTCGGCAGCAATGCTGATATTGATGATGATAATCATAATCATAATTTACTTTCGAGATCTTCCTCCTCATCATCATCATTATCATCGACAAAGAAATTATTTGCCAATTCTCCGATACTTTATTTAAAGTTGAAATCGACGGCAAACGCATTATTGCAACAACAGCACCGATACCCATCATCATCATCATCATCATCACCGTCAACATTTATCAATAATAAGCCGTCGAGGGTTGAGAATTGATAATACTCACTATTTCGGCCACTAGAGTCGCGTTTTATTCCAAAATCTAAATAACCGACGGTGATCACATTAAACGCAATCAAACTCGAAATAAATGATCATCAAATACACGTTTTAGACATTGAACAAAATTTATTAAAATAGAATAAAATTAGATGAAAATGAACGGCGAAATAACGGATCCCAATGTTCAGTCTGTCTATGGTTTATATACCAAAAGAATAAAGAAGCAAAGCATAAGAGATTGCCAAAAATAAAGCAAAAGAAATAATAAGAGGGAAAATAGAAAATATAATTTCATGACCTATTTAATCATTGCCAAATTCTTGAAATATCTTCATGAATGAAATTACTTCCGTACGACGAAAAAATTCAAACATTTATAAACTCCCATTAAAATTTGTTTCAAATGCTAAACCCGTTCACATTCTTCATGGTAATTATTGATTATGATTTATTTATTTATTTTTTGAAAAAAATTAGATTTTTTTACATTCTATCGATAATATCGTCCATCACTTACAATCGAACTAATCGATGATCATTTTTCATTCATTATTTTTTTTGCAGGAATAAATGAATCGGGTAACGAACATTTTCCCTATTCGATAAATCGGAAAAAAATACTTGCATCAATAGGTCAAAAATTCCATAAACCATATTCACCCTCATTGTCATCATCATCGACACCATCAAAGATATTCTATTTGCCAACCAAATATCTATCGAATGCCAAGCCAATATTCATCAAAACATTGAAACCGATCGATGATAATGACCAAAGAAATACTTATTACAATTATTTATTCTGATAATCAATCATCATCACTACACCCTTTCATCGTTTTGTACAGTACATAAGACAAATTTCAAAACATTTCATGTTTCATCATCCTTGAACCGATTTGGTGAAAATCAAATCAAAATTTTTTTAAAAATCAAATCTCCACAGGTTGTTTGCACACATATATTATTTCTTTTTATTTTCTGTTTATTTTCCAGATATATAAAATTTATTTTCATTTGAAAATAATAAATTAAACGATGATGACGATTGTTGAGTGAAAAATATAATTATGATTAATGATTACGATGAATTTGATTGTGGGGTCAATAAGCATCAAGTAGCAGCAGTCAAAATATATCGATTACAAATGAATCGAATCCAATTGAGGTCAAAGGTTGAATCTGTTGTTGTTGTTGTCTTCGCTGTTTCAATTCAAGCTAGAATCATCATTGGATTTATTATCCATATCACGAATACGATTAATAGGATGAATTAGATGTGAACATGAATAACTACGTGACGAATTTGATGAACTTGTTTGACCATCCTGTGTGAATGGAATCCATTAGGTCAGTGATTAATGTTGTACATTCACGGAATGAATCCATCAATTTACTTACATAGAATGAGTTTGAGCGTAACACTTTACCGGTACGTGAGATCCAGTCATTTTTTAGATATTTTCTTACTTCTGTTACCGGATATCGTTTCGATGGTTTAATCTCCATCAAACGACGAAACATTCGCAAAGCACGTGGTGTGAACACATTGAAATAACGTGGCGTACGTGTTAGTTTTCGTTTTTGCCATTCACCAAATTCGCTGAAACGAACATCGGTTATATCGGCTTTTTCCCAGGGAAATCTGGTCGTCAACATTATGCAAATCATAATTGCTAATTGCCATACATCGCTACCGGTTTCAATATTATAACCTTCAAGAAGGACGGCTTGCCATACTTCTGGTGGACACGATGGTAATGATTTGACACGCTTTTTCACTAATTCAAGGTTAAATAATGAAAAATAATTAATCAATCGTATTGGATCCACCAATTAATAATGATTAATCATGTCAATTATGATCATGATTAATGATTAATGATTACTTACCTAATGTACCAACACGACGTGTTAGACCAAAATCGGTTAACTTAATCTTGGACAGATTTGGATTATAAATCAGTACATTTTCTGTCCTATATCAATTATACATTTGCCAATTAGTAGAACAGTGACAGACAGAAAGATGAGCACCAAATTGATTTTCAACATCACCATAATCAAGATAAATCATGATAAATGGACAGAGAACAAAAAAGCAATTTCCATTCAACATAAATTGATGGCTATGATATTTGTTGTGGCATTTTACAACCGATTTTCGATCGATCAATCGATTGGAAATCGGTTGGTTGGCCTACCTACCTAACATCACGATGAACTAGTTCCATATCATGCATGAAATGTAATGCTGACACAATTTGTTCGACAACTAATTATATTTTCGGTCATTATTGATGATTATTGTCGATAACAAAATGATGATCCGATCGGAGAAAAAACGGGCCCGAGAGCAAAAAAGAAAAAAAAAAAAACATGATAGATAAATGGATGATTAATTAGGTTATAATCATACACATCACACATTTACAAAAAACGATGGCAAATGATTCAAATGTAAAAATTGTTACCTATTTTGACACTTTTCTCCTCAAGGCCAGCACCATTTGTCCGTAATACAGCCTATTTATTTGTATATTTGTATATTGTCGACATAGTCATAATATAATCGAATGGTTTTGAAATGACGAAAAAATAAAAGAAAACAAAAAAAAACAAACAATTACTTCAACTCTTTTTTCGTAGAAATTGAAAATAAAACAAAAAAAAAATCTGCATATAAATCATTAATGGATCAGCCACATAATAATCATTAGTCTGTGTGATTATTTGAACAAAACACACACTAACCTGTTGTAGATCACCGAATGGTGCAATCTCTTGTGCAAAATAATAATGATCTTGTGTTTCGAATGCAACATCATATGTATCAAGAATGTTATGATGTGGTGATAGAAAATAGCTATAATGGAATTCCAATAGAAAATCTTTTAATGTTGTCGTTGCTTTTGGTACGGCTTTCAATGCCACCTGATAAATAATAGACAAAAACAATCGGAAATCAAAAACACATTCATGTCGAAATAGTTGCCATAGATTTGTGATGATTTTTTATTGTTACCTCACAATGTGATCGTTTATGTGATGCCAATATAACTTTGCCATAATCGCCTGAACCAATCTCTCGGATAACATCATAATTGATATCAATATCGATCATTTCCAATGGTATTTCACGAATTTTATGTATGGTTAATTGTTTTTTACTACTGCTATCTGCTGCTATTATTGATGATGCCATGATTTTATTTCTTAATCATATATATGTTTTTATCAGTGTTCCATGTTTTTTTGCAGCATTTCAAAATTCAATTCTCTGGTAACGAAAAGAAAGTTGTGATTTTATTTACTTTTTTTAAATAATTATTTATTATTATTATTATTTTAAATCCCAAATGTTTAGATATTTTTAGTGTGTTTGTGTCAACCCGATCTGCTCGGCTATGTGGCGAAAAAAGAAACCACCACCACCACCATCATCATTATCTCATTGGATGTTTGTGTTTGAAAAGAAAAATAATCAATTCGATAATCAGGTTATATAATTAAATTAACTAACTTGCCTAAAATTATTTTTATAAAAAAAGTTTGAAACTTGGTTTTTTTGCCTTTCCAATGAAATTGATGATGATGGTTGAAGAAATCGTTTTTTTCGCGAAAAAAACTAATTTTCACTGCTATTTATATTCTGAATCATCATTATCATCGAGCAAAAAAAGAAGAAATTTGTCCATCATCAACACCCGATGATAAATTGATAATCATCTTAGATTTATTCATTATATCTCAGCCACATAACATCGACTTTAAAGTCAAATGTCTTGATCAATGGTAGTGATGGTGACATGAAACTATACCTACCTTATTGATGGCTGATGATGTCACTGTTGAACCGATGACGATGATGATGATTACCGAAGATGAACAAACTTGTGAAATTGATGATAAATTTTGATATTCACATGTGTGATATTCAGAAATTATTAAATAATCAGAATGATGAACGAAGCAAACATATTCGAAAATAACATTACAAATCACATGTTCGAATCAAATCAATTATCATTATCAATCGATGATATTCATTTAAATCAAATTTTTCATTCTACACGGATAAACAACGAAACGAAAGTTTTAGAAAACGCGAAAGTCAAGCGGCAATGTGATTATTTATTTCACTCTATAGAGTGAGAGAGAGAGAGAGAATAATTCATCCATTTCAATTTCATATTGCACATCCATAGAATTCATCATGTTAAGCATATAATCATCATATCAACAATTATACAATATAAACGGGATGCTGTTTTTACGAGTTACGATGATGAACAACAAAATGTACACCGACGACGACAACACGACATATAATCATATCAAAAACATTTTTCGAATGGCTTTGGGTGGGTGGATAACGTGTACGAGAAGATATGAGAAGGATTGATTTAAAAATAATTATCATCATTCATCAAGGAATCGTGAATACAACAAGTAAGTAAGTCTGAATGTTTGTGTGTGTGTGTGTAATCATTGAAATGTAATGTAATGTTATTATAATCACACATCTCCATATAGGAATCATATATTCATTTGAATTTAAACGACAAAGAAGAAAAAACAACAAGTAAATTCAGTCACTGTTAGAATCGTAATGTATGAATGATGAGTGCCCGAATTCAAATCTCCGATTCCATCAAACCGACCTGGTTCCTGTATGTGTATAACAAAGATGTTATATGTTTTGCAAGCAAAAAAAAATGCCTTTTTAAACTGATTTTCATTTTGCTTTTTTTTCTCTTTAGCCAAAACTTATTTGACAAAATTGTGAATTGTATATGGCTGCCATATTCGAATTAATTCTGGTAGGTTATGCTGACTGATGATAAACACACTAAGAAGTTATTATCGCTGTTGTCGGGTAAATTTAATCTTATGGTAAAGAAGTAGTAGTGTGTGGTAATCACCATCAATTTCGAGTCAAAGTAAGTCATTGTGGCAAAATGTTAATTATACCAAATGATGATGATGATGAAAATTAAATGTGGATGCTTGCTGTACACAATTACAATTCTCTAATTTGTTTATTCTGTATTTTTTGTAGGTTTCGTTCGTTTAAAGTTGAAATATTCGCTTGAAAATGTGCACTTGAAGTCATGCGAAACGTGTAAATAATCATTTCCTTTTTACATCACTTTTTAACATTCAAACATTAATTATAACAATGATCTGGATTCGATTCGATTGCTTGAATGGTCGACATCGATTAACATTGAGTGATAATCAAATGATTCTTTATAATTTGAGATTCACGAATATCCTGGCAGACATCTAATGTAATAGAAATAGATTACTTGATTACTTGATAACCATTGTTAGCATTTCATTAAAAGTTTATTTATTTATTATAGGATATAGGATGACATTATCGATTTAATTCTGGAAACCGTTGATGATGAGAATGGTCATCATCATTGAAATAGTCATATAATTAACCTGATGATGGTGATGACAACTGGCTGAATTGGCACGCATTGTTGATTTACTATAATAATGTTCCAGATAATCAATTACATAGTGTTGATTATAATGGCCACGATCATTCAAACATTTGGGACACATTGTTCGTGTTGGAAATTGATATTTCGGATAATGTGGATCTTGTATAAATGTGTTGCCATCATCGTTTGAAAGTCGAGAATTCATCTGATTATGTATGGTCCATAACCATATGACACTACTGTTTGGATAGGGCAATTGTTCGAGCAGATTATTCGATACATTCAAGAAATAATGACGACATTGTAGACAGGTAAAAAATGTTTCAATATAATCACGCATTACTGGCAATACTTTTGGTTCTGGTAATGTTTTCCGCACAGTATCGTTCGTATTTAACATGGCCATTTTTGTCTGATTAAATTCATGAACAGTCATTGCATGGAATAATACCCACAGTCCACATGGATAGCCACGATAAATTGGCCGACTACCATTGCAATGGCGCCAACTTTCCAATGGTTTCAAGAATCCATCAGCTGTTTTGACGGCTGCCAAATATTTATCCACATTTAATCGATCGTTTTTATTGGAAAACCAGCCGGTCATTCGTTTGAACAGGCGACGTACATTTTCATTATCGAATGGAAAATATTGTAATATTGTTGTGAATAATCGTTTGATCACTTGTAATTGGCGGCCATTAAATCGTCGACGACCGTTGACCACTTCGAACACTAATGAATATCGTAAGGCATTATGTAAATCAACATAGCTGAGATTATAATGGACCACTTTGTTTTCGTCAATATTTTTCATCTTATAAAATTGATTTGTTGATCTATTTCGTTGTTCGGCTGTGATCGTCGTTAAATGATCATCAATGTCATCCGAGTTAATCATTGGTCCAAATCGATCACGTATGGATTGTATGAATTCATTGCGTAACATTCGTGAATTCTTTACATTTCCAATGATACGATATTGACATGTTGTTGATGATATTTCCAATATGATTGGTAATTTGATCGGATAAGAAAACAATGATGTCATCAATCGATCATCACCAATAAAACGTTTGATTGTTACGAAATTTCGATAGTCGATCATGTCGATCATAATCTACAACATACATTCATTACATTCAATTGTAAACACAATCTCATCGATTGACTACTACTTACCCATGCACCAAATTCTGTTTCCGGCACTCGTTCAATAATTGCATACAATTCCCTATCCTCTTTGATTGACAACAATTGTTGTTGATCATGATTATCCTGTTTAAGTATGAAACAAATTTCATCTATATTTTTAGCCATCAACGGTATCAATGAATAATGATTGGCAAGAAATGTATTCGATACAATTGTTTCGATTGTTATTTTTCTTAAATTATCGATTGTATCGATACCATGATTTATTTGTTTTGCATCACGACCAATATCTTTCACACCGGGTGGTTCAATAAATTGTATGATTGGAAAATCTACGGTCATTCTATCGTCGTTGTCATTATCATCATTGGATGGCTGTTGTAAAACCTGATGACAGACTAGATTTTCAGCACAATCAATGGCATACAATTTGACAATCCGTTGCCATGACCGGATATTATGGGAAAAATTTGTAAATAGTATTGCGAATCGTTGACATTCCGGTGACCAATGCTTGTAATAGTTGATAATAATTAATCGATCTTTATTAACTGATTGTATTTGATTGAAAAATGTTTTATCCGACAATGATATGACATTCGATTCATCGTGGTGATCATATAAATTGGATGATTGTGTTTGAATCATTCGTATCAGAAGAAATGAACAAAAGATTATCGGCCATTGAACATAACAATCCATCATTCATTCATCGTTGTGTTATTAATCATTAATCATCACTGTGTGTCAGAATCAAAGTCACTGTGAACAAACAAACAAACAAACAAACAACCAGAATTGTAGAAGTAAGTAAAAGAGACAACAATGAACTGTAAAATAAATCAATAATTTATTCTATAGAACAAATTCTAGGCATTTGCGCAAATCAAAATTCAGTCAATCCGAATCAAGCAAGAATCGAATGCCGGCCCGGCCATCATTGGTATTTTGAATTCGGAATTTTTTTTCACTATTCATGTTCTGTTGTGTTTGAAATTTTTTTCGATCAAAAGGATAATGATGACGACAATTGGGATTACAACTAAACCTTCATTCATCATTATTATTATTATAAACATAGACATGGCTGGTTCCATAAATAGACTTTTACCTTATGGAATGTGTTCAAATTATAAGTTTACAAAATGGTTTTTGTGATGGTTGAATTTTGCCCCAGCAACGAAAGTCGAGTATCATCATGGATAATGGTAAAAACTCCATGTAAACATGACTAGAAAAAGAAAGCAAATAAACCAATCTGAATATTGAACCAAAACTCATCGTAAACTAATTGTCGTGTGTCGCATTGTGTGTATGTGTTGTCCACATACTCTCATATTGGATTTCGGCATCAAAATTTGTTTTCTTTTTTTTCTCAAGTCCCCAATTTGCGTCATCATCATCGTTGACAATGTCGTCATTGACGTCATTTCTAACATATTTACTATTGTGATGATGATTATGTTTATAGCCGGCAACTGTTAGTGATTAGAATCACATACACACACACATTCACAGGCAAAATACAAAATTTTGCCTGTACATTCGTGTAAAATGTCTCTGGTGATGGCGTGGCTTCCAACCAACCAACCAAACAAACAAACAAACAAATTAAACACCGATATTTGAGATCTGTGAGGAAACACAAAACAAAAGCCAAGAAATCAAGGAAAATGATAAGAATTCGTCATCATTTCATCATCAATCGACCATCATAGTCTCAATCTAAAAACAACAAACAAAACAAGGCTACCGATATTAATGATGATCGATTAAAAATAGAACATTCCATTCATCATTTGTTGTTATTAATCAATGATTTGTAGTCTTTAATCAATGTTTTTTTGCCTTTGTTATTTTGTATCAATCAAAGTCATTGAACAGTTGCCTAATCAACATTTATTTCAATTGTCGTCATTGTGTTGGTGGTGGCCTTCGGTATGATCGTCAATCGCTAAAAAGTCTTGCCATTGTTATTATTTCCAAAAAAATAATTTCAAATCTCTTTCCAATAATTTGACAAACATCATCATCATCATCATCATCATCATTATCATCATCATCATCGATTTGATTCAACAATTCGATATACACCTGTGATTGATTCACCATCGTCAAAAATCATCATCATCATCGACATTTTCAAATCATTCGATCATTTTGCATTCGCATTCGATCTACTAACACAATCGTTGGCAGACTAAAAAAACTTTGATTTTTTTTTGTAAAATTGTGATTTATTCAAGAAAATTTTTCATTTTAGAATACAAATTTATCATTAATAATGGCAAATTCTACGATACAATTTTCGATGGAATCGCTCAATAATGAAGAGACGGCAGTAGTACTGGAACAGAATTTGGCTCAATTACGGCTGAATGATGGAATGGTGAAAACAACGACTTCAACAACAATAAATCAACAGCCAAAAATTATTTGTGAAGAATTAATTTTCGACGATGATGATGATAACAGTGATGATGATGATGATCTATCATCATTTACATCAACATCTCTATCGTCGTCATCATCATCATCATATGAGATATCCAGCAATAGTGCACTGTCGGTTCCAACATTTTTTGAATCATTGGATCGAAAATATGAAAAACGAAGACCACCATTCCATCACCAACATTCACATACAAAAACAATAAGGATCTAAAGATTCTGGTTACAATTCCTGTTTGGCAGCAAACTATGATTTGATAAATAATTTCTGATTTTTTGAAATCCTAAAAAATGTCTTGATTGAAATTGAAAGAAAAAAAATGTAAATATTATAATCACATTTTTGTTTGATTGGCAAACAAATCATTACATGTTCGGAATTAACATTTTTCTGATGACTTCAATCCGGCTGTTGTGAATACATCATTCCAGAATTTTTCATGATCAATACTATCGTCAACCAGTATTGTTTGATTTGTAAGATTGGCCGCAGATTGTTCCATCGATGGTAATGTTATGTTAGTCATGGTGCTGATTGAATCATTTGTCCTAGTCGGTCCGATTATCTGTTGATTCGTTGATGTAATTGGAGTTGAACTAACTGATTGCTGATTCGACGATGATTGTAACAATGTTCGAAATAATGAAGATGTATTATCATGTACATCATCATCAATTAGGCATTCATTCATTGATTTTTCCGTTTGCTTTTCACCGTGATTAACAGTTGTCAACGATTGCCGTAAATGTTCACTCAATTCTTCCACATCTTTATCTTTGTTATATTCATTCGCATCACATGTATCATTTGTTTTAAATTTCGATTTTTGTCGCATTTTGTGGTTGGATGATTTTGGCGGTGGTAAATCCAGATAGACAGTTTGATCGGAAAATGGATTTATATCTAATTCATGCGATGGAAATGGATCCATAGTTTCAATGGCTACACTACGAGTTATTTTTGTTTGCAATTTTTCAACGGCAACATTTGTATTCTCTTTATTCATTATCATTGCATTGTTTGTGTGTTTTCGTTGTTTCATTTGATTGATTCTATCCAAATATTGTTGTTCACGATGGTTGAAAAAAGTTTTCGGTTGAGTTTGGTGTTCAATTTGTAGCTTGGTGGTTCTTTTGGGTCGATTATTCACTATTTTTAATGGCACACTAATTGGAATAGATTTTTCCACTTTTTCTGCCACAAAATCATCATGATTCACTTGGATGGCTATATCTTCCATGCCGATGGTTTGTATAGATTTATCCACAACCGATGATTGTTTATTCGATTCATTGCGTTCTTTTTTCTTTTTATCGGCACAATATTGTTTCAATTGTAATCGAAGTAGTTGCAATTGCACTTTACAATCAATTATTTCTTTATCAATTATGGCAATCATTTCTGTTCGTTTAGAACGAGAAATCAAACAATTATCGATTGATGATGATGATGACATTGTATTCAAATTTCAATAAAACAAAACAAACTCGATTCGAACGCGCGCTTAAAACACATGCTATCGTTCATATACAACGAACTGACCAGATCCCACTCGGATAATACTCTAATTTGGAAATTAAAAAATCACAAATACACAACCAAACATTCATAAATGTTTGTTTCGTTTATTGAAATATTGAAAAATTACATTCCATAATAATGATTACATGATGATAATGAAAATAGTCAGAATCAGATTAAGCAAAATGAGATATATGTGATGAAATAATTAATATAAATCACATGAATCAAAAACATATGAACATATTCTATGACATTCGTTCATCACCACGTACAGCACGATATTTGGACATTTCATTGGGAAATTCCTGTGATAATTCCAATAGCAAAAGTGCTTTAAATCTACGATATTCATCAATTTTGCCTTTGACTAGTTCATTTTTGGCCAATGATCTTTCCATACAATCTTTCGTATACGAATGTGGATTCCGGCCTTCGTCAATGTAGCTGTGATCATGATGGTGATGATTTGGAAGGATAAACAAATCGTGTTAAAAGAAATCTGAGGGAAATGAAATTTATAAAAGAAAGCGAAACTTACTCGAATACATCCAATGGAACCTGTATATCATTCACCTGATTTTTGACACGTTCAATATCTTTCAATAGGCTAATGATTTGATTTCTAATTCGATTAAACAAACATGGTGAGAGATTTATGTTCCATCAACTTGAAAATTCATTTTCAATCAATTTAATTTTTCAAACTTACAGTTTATTATTCAATGCCGTTTGTCCTTGTGGCTGAAAATCGCTAACAATGATACCAAGTTGACGAAAATTTTCCACTAAACCTTCCAATGTTGTTTCCAATGAATCCAATGCTGTTGAAGCCATTTCTTTTGGCCGTGATAAAGAAATTGGCGAAAAAATGAAAAATAAATCAAAAATGTTATGCTCAAAAATGAAAACAAAAAAAAATTCTAAACATTTCCATACTAATTCATAAAAGACGTACTGTTATTCGAACTCGTCAAAAAAAAGATATTGCGAGTTTTATTTTGGCCAACATATCTGCATTTCATTATCGAATCTAATCTGGTTTAATCAAAAGAAAAATTGTAAAGTTTTATAAACAGTAAATAGTAATTTAACTTGTGGATTTCGAAAATCAAACACTGGTATTGAATATTTCTGACGAAAATGGACGAATCGGCCAATAATAGACAACAAGCAACTGGTGGTGATGAATCATCAGCCAATAAAATTTTTACATCACATAATGCCGAAACATATCAACGATCATATAATCATTTGATTAATGAACAAGCTGATGATGATCTATTCCATAAAGTGAGTTCACGATAACACTTTTCTCGAGTTGTTGTCAATTCAATCCGATCAATTCTTGCACAGACATTCGAAGCCATTATTGAATCTACCACCGAGCACAAGGATCAGATTGATGATGATAAAAATTTGAAAACAGGTCTTGTCTATTACGACGATTGTGTCCAACATTATTGTCTTTGGGATGATAATTATGAAGAAAATCCTCGTCGTTACATTCGAACCATGGAACGTTTACGTCAACTTGGTCTGGTCGATAAATGTCTTCGATTGCAGGTTAGTTTATTGTTGTTGTTGTTGTTGTTGCATGTGATTCATTGTTGTTGAATTCATTGTTCGTTAGCCACGGAAAGCAACTGAAAACGAAATCTTATTAGTTCATTCGGAAGAATATATTCGAAAAATTGAACGAATTCGTACATTAATGGATCCCGAACAATTGGAACAAGAATCATCTCGATTTGATGCTATTTATTTTTCACCCAGTACTTTTGAATGTGCACAATATGCATGCGGTTCCGTATTGGAATTGATCGATGCATTGATGACCGATCGTATACAGAATGGAATGGCTGTAGTAAGACCACCCGGTCATCATGCAATGGATAGTGAAGCGTGTGGCTATTGTATCTTCAACAATGTAGCCATTGCAGCCAAATATTGTCGACAAAAATATCATTTGCAACGAATATTGATTGTTGATTGGGATGTACATCATGGTCAGGCAACACAACAGGCATTCTATAAAGATCCGGACGTTCTTTATGTTTCATTACATCGTTATGAACAGGGTGCATTCTGGCCAGAATTAATTGAATCAAATTATAATTTTTGTGGTGAAGCCAATGGCCGAGGATTCAACATGAATATTCCATTGAATGAGACTGGCTTAACTGATACTGATTATCTTTCCATATGGCATAATCTTTTGCTACCAGTTTTCTATGAATTCAATCCGGAATTAGTTCTTATATCGGCCGGTTATGATGCAGCCATCGGTTGTCCTGAAGGTGAAATGTTGTTAACACCAGCTGTTTATGGGCATTTTACTCATTATCTAATGGGCTTAGCTCAAGGTAAAGTTGGTGTCATACTTGAAGGTGGCTATTGTATAGAATCATTGGCCGACAGTGTTGCCTGCACTGTTCAAACATTGCTTAGACAACCACCGATACCGTGTAATATGAGATATCCAATCAATCAATCGGTTATCGAATCTGTATTGAATGTGATTGCTGTCCACCGTTCAAATTGGCAATCGCTTTGCATACAGAAAACATTCGATCGACATGATAAATATTTGGATGATGTAGAAGAACAAGCCATACGTAAACGACATTGTCCTACATTAGAATATTGTGGTATTGCCGATCTATTGGATAAAAGTCCCGAATCATATCCAACTAGAGATTGTTATCCAAAACAAAGTGAAGAAAATCAGAAAAAATCTCAGCTATTAATCCAGCATTTACGTGCTAAAGTATGTGAAAAAACCATTCATTATGATTCGAATCGACGTACTTGTTTGATTAGATCGCCCATTCTAACGAATCGTCATGCAGCACCTAAAACTCATCCAGAACGACCAAATCGAATTAAATATTTGTGGCGATTGCTGAAATCGGAGAAAATTCTCGACAAATGTCTGGTTTTAAGTGATAATAATCGATCTGTAACTGATGAACAACTATCGGCTTGTCATTCATTCGAATTTATCGATAAGATTGCTCGTACTGAACGAATGAATTATAAAGAATTACGTGAATATGAACAACAATTCGATTCGTTATATCTGACCAGTGATAGCTATAAGGCTGCCAAATTATCTATTGGATCATTATTACAAGTAGTCGATTGTGTCGTTCGTAATGAATGCCTCAATGGATTTGCTTGTATTCGACCACCTGGACATCATGCTAAACGTAGTGAAGCAGCTGGATTTTGTATGTTTAATCAGGTTGCAATTGCTGCCCGTTATGCCCTTGAACAGCATGGATTAAGACGAATATTGATTGTCGATTGGGATATACATCATGGTGACGGTAAGTAAATTTCTTGTTTTGATACTAATATGATTTATCATCCTATAAAAATTCTATATAATCCGGTAATAACAGGAACACAGGATATCGTAACAGACGATGAACGAATTCTTTTCATTTCGATACATCGTTATGATCATGGTGATTTTTATCCGGAAAATAAATCAGCATCCAATTATCGAACTGGAAGACGAAATATTATCAACATTCCTTGGAATGGTGCTCAAATGGGTGATCGAGAATATTTGACCGCATTTTTCAACATTGTAATGCCAGTAGCATATAATTTTGATCCAGAATTAGTATTGGTCAGTTCAGGTTTCGATGCTGCTGAATGTGATCCACTTGGTGATTATCATGTATCACCATCTGCATATGGACATATGACACATTTATTATGTTCATTAGCCAATGGAAAAATTATCCTATCATTGGAAGGTGGTTATCATCTACAAGCCATTGCCAATTCAGCCATGGAATGTATTCGAGTCTTATTGGGTGAACCACCCAAATCATTATCGACCAACAGCAAAGATGATAATAACCATCAACAATGGAAATTGGATGTGAATGCCATCGAAACTATTCGTAATGTTATCGATTATCATGCCGATTATTGGCCATGTTTTGTGTACAATGTTGATATTGCTAAGAATACTATCGATTAAAAAACAAAACAATAATATAAAACATTAAAATGTCATCTTTAACACATTAATGATTAAAATCCATTGTGTGCAGAACGCGCAAATTCAAATATTGAGAAATAATCGATTGTCCGGCCAAATATCGATTGTTTGATCAAAATTTTTTCATTCGACCAATTCATGAGGAGAGAGAGAGAAACGCGAGAGAAAGAGCCTGCCTGCACACGCACAGAAAGCCTTTTATTTGTGGTGCAACGTGTTTATTTTATTGCCATTCTTCTTAGACGGTGGAATACATTCGTATCACAATTTAATTATCGTCTTTGTTTTTTTTTTTTTTTTTTTTTTTGGCGGTTAGTGATTATTTCGATAATCCAAAAAGGAGTGATTGATTGACGCATACAAGATGGGCGACAAAAAAGATGATATGAATATGACCAATTTGTCAAGCGGTTTCAGTAAAAAGCTCAATGTTGATGCTCCTGAATTTGTGCCTTCATTCATACAGCGGCAGCAACAACAAGCTACTGCTGCTTCAGTTCCAGGACCGCAACAACAATCGAATAATAATGTCTCGACCACTGTACCTACCTATCAACCATCAGAATCAACAACATCATCATCAGCAACAACAGCTCAACCTTCAAGCAGTAACACAATAAATGATAATGATGATGATGATGATATGAATAAGAAATCATTACCCGATGATCAAGATGCTGGTGAAGTAGCCGATGATTGGGATGCAGGTGATAATGATGATGATGTTGATGATGAAGAAGAGGAAGATGTCGATGATGAAACATTGGATGAAGGTGTGGATAAATTGGGAAAAAAACCAACATCCAAGTTGAAGAAAAAATCTTCGAAACCAGCAATGAAACATACGATAATAACAAAAGAACATTTAAATATCGTATTCATTGGGCATGTCGATGCGGGTAAATCAACAATTGGTGGTCAACTTTTATATCTAACCGGTATGGTCGATAAACGTACATTGGAAAAATATGAACGTGAAGCCAAGGAAAAAAATCGTGAATCCTGGTATCTATCATGGGCATTGGATACGAATCAAGAGGAACGTGATAAAGGCAAAACGGTGGAAGTTGGCCGTGCTTATTTTGAAACAGAAAATAAACATTTTACTTTGTTGGATGCACCGGGCCATCGAGGTTTCGTACCGAATATGATTGGCGGTGCATGTCAAGCCGATGTAGCCGTATTGGTCATATCGGCACGTAAAGGTGAATTTGAAACGGGATTCGAACGTGGTGGTCAAACCCGAGAGCACGCTATGCTTGCTAAAACTGCAGGTTTGTTTTTCCACATTTGATTTTCGATAATTTTCAATCATATGCTTTCTCTCTCTCTATCTGAATCAGGTGTCAAACATTTAATCGTTTTGATTAATAAAATGGATGATCCAACGGTTGAATGGTCAGAGACACGTTATCAAGAATGTCAAGATAAATTATTGCCATATCTAAAAAATGTGGTTTCAATCCAAAAACTGAATTATATTTTTTACCATGCTCCGGTTTGACTGGAGCATTTTTACGCGATGTTGTCGATGAAAAAACTTGTTCTTGGTATAGGTTTGTATTTGTTTTGAAATAATTTTGTGAGCCTAAACTATTAATTAACGATTTGTCATCATTCAGGGGTCCATCATTTTTAGATTATCTTGATAAACTTCCTTCATTCAAACGACAAATTGAAGGACCATTTCGAATGCCAATCGTTGATAAATATAAAGATATGGGTACGGTTGTATTTGGAAAAATTGAAAGCGGTAGCACAGAACGTGGTGCTCAATTATTATTGATGCCAAACAGAAAACCAGTCGAAGTGTTGCAATTATGGTCCGATGAAGATGAGGTTAGCCATGTATCATCTGGTGAAAATGTCAAAATCAAACTAAAAGGCGTCGAAGAGGAAGAAGTTACAGCCGGTTTTGTACTTTGTGATTTAAATGATCCATGTGCCACTGGTCGTATATTTGATGCTCAGGTAGCCATATTGGAACATAAATCAATTATCTGTCCAGGATATTCGGCCGTACTGCATATTAATTCGGCAATCGAAGAAGTTTGTGTTAAAAATATTATCGATCTTATCGACAAAAAAACTGGTCAACGATGCAAGGTATATACATTCTTTATTATACTATAGTGAGTGTTTGTTTCATGTTTTTTGTTTTCATCGGCCAGGTAAAACCACGATTTGTCAAACAAGATCAATTGGCGTTGATGAGGCTAGAATGTACGGGTGGTATGGTATGCATGGAACCATTCAGTAAATTCCAACAAATGGGTCGTTTTACTTTACGAGATGAAGGCAAAACAATTGCCATCGGTAAAGTGCTTCGAATCGTTGAATAGGATTCACACACACACATCCATCCGCATAAAACAACTTAATTTTTCCAATGGCAATGCCTCAACAGATAAAAAAAACAACAAAGGCATTTACAATCACACACACCACCAGCCAACCGATTACGGAAATGGATTCGAATCAAATTTTTTTTAATTTCGTTATATTTTTCTAACAAAAGATGAAGATTAGAATTTTTTTTATTATATTAAGAATGGAGAAATTATTATTATGATGATTATTATTCAATTATATTTGCATGGATGCAAAAACAAACAAAAAATCCTCCATGTTTATTATTATTGTGGGCATTTGTCTGTGTGTGTGTGTGTGATCACAAGTTTGATTTGCAAGTGATTGATTGATTGAGAGAGAACTTGAATCGATTACTATTAATGTATGTTTTTTTGTTATTTGGTACATTATTAAAGTGTATCTGAGTGTGTCCAAGATGAAAATCATTTGAAGTTGATTTGATTGTGTGTGTGTGTGTGTTATCATATATATCATTTATTTTAAAATTAAATTAATCAAGATCAACTTCATGATTCGTCGTTGGTGGTGATGATGATGAAATGGTGGATTGAAAATTCAATTGTTGTTGTTGATCATCATCGCCATCATCGGCTGACATATCGAATAAGGATTGAATAAGATTTGAAAATAGACCACCACCGGAACCATGTTGTTTCTTTTCAACATTGAAATATATTTGGCCAATTTGTTGAAGATAATCCTTGTAGCATGGATCACGGCTTAATGATTTATCGTAAACATTACAAAGAATATTGAATACTTGACTTTTACCAGGATAACGATCAATGGCCATTATGAGAAAGCAAAGAAAATTCAATAAAGGCGTCATAAATGGTGGTTTCGATGAACGAATTTTCGGATGATTCAATGTATAACCATAGAATACATTATGTGCTAATTGATGATTCTTAATGCAGAGTACTTGTAATACAAACTGAGCGATCATTAGATCCACTTCGCATGGATAAGCAGATTCACATTGATATTCGATCAACATTAGGGCACAATTATCGCCATTATCGGATGAATATAAAAAGTGCAAACGTGCATCAGAATAATTTTTCTCTGACCACAATGTCTGTGCAAAACTTTTACGTAGCGATGCCATCGATAGATATTTAATTTTCAATAATTTCGAAACAAATTCTAATCGTTCCGGTGATTCGGCTGCAATTTTTCCAAATAAAGTGGCCATATTATCCAAAACTTTCGTTTCATCTTGATTCAATTGTTTCACGTCGTTGATCTTGGTCAACAGTGAATCGGCCAATAACAATGCTAGATCGGCACCAGAGTTTTGTTCACCTTTATCAAATAATCGTATGGCTCCTTGATAAAGTAGATCGTAGATTTCTGCAAATTTATTCTCACGTACTAGCCGATAATATATGGTCCGATAGATTTGATGTGCTTCATAATAATCGCCTTGATCAAAACGGTCGTTTAGTTTCTGTAATAAACGTTTATGCATGATTGATGATGATTTATAAATGGTCCAGAATGATCACTAGACCAAGAAATGAAATATGAGTATTATCACCAAAAAAGCATGTACGAACACAAAATTTAATGCAGGAATCGCGATAGAATTTGATTTGATGCAATATTTGCTAATGATGATATTGTGAAAGCATTTCTTACTATTCTTTCACACTCATAATCAGCATCATCATTATCACAATCAACTATTTACACATTGGTGATGCTACACATTAGATATCGAATTTTTATCGTTTATTCTCAGTTTTAAAGGCACATTTTTTTAATACGAAATAGCATGATCATAAACGACGTATTCGGATTATATGAATGATATTAAAATCGATTTTACGTCGATGATGTCGTTTGGCTATAGTCAAAAATATGAAATTAGGGTAAGAACTGACTGTTTTTCAAGCGCATATTGTTGATGTTTTATTATTATTTTGTTTTTTTTTGTTTCACAGTCGTCGATCGTGAATACGATAAATATTTCTATCCAATTCAAAACCAGATGATCAGATGACAACGAATTGGCCATCATTTTGATTTATTAGAATAAACCTTGACTGTTTTATTATATATAGACAAACTTATTCCGGTATTTTTAGATATTTGATTAATGTCTATTGCTTTTATTCGATCGTCGTTTGTATAATGCATCATTTTCGTGAATGTAAGTCATGTTTCATTGTGTGATGTTTATTAATTCGAGATTAATTGAATCAACAGTAAACAACAATATCGATGATGTTCCAATGAAATTTCAAGATAGATTTATACAATTATTGAACAATGTTTCAGCCATTGATAATTCTGACTGTGATGATGACGATGATGGTGATGATGATGATGATGATTTTGATATCGATCAATATCAAGTCGAAAATGTATGTTACAACGTTCTTATTGTCTTTGTATATACCAGTTAATCAGTTTGTTTTTCTTTATTCCACCACAATAGTATAAATTCGATTCCGAATTGATTGCCATTGAAATGTACGTATTGAATGAAAAACGGAAAGCCGAACAATTACAACGATTAGAAGCTCGAAAGAAAGAATTTGCTGAAATGATGGCTAATCAATCATCAGTTATATTATCATCGGCACCTCCCACCATAATGGCTGGATGTCCAAACACAGTTGGTCCACGACAACAACATCAAGTGTTGGATGAATCGGAACAACCAGCTGCCCTAACCACAGGAAATAATCGTAGACCAAGTGGTGGAGGTTCGATGCTCTATAATTTTGTTTCAAACGAAATTTTAAAGCCTCAACCATCGATGAATAATGGCAACAACACCAACAATTGTGATCAAATGGCCAGTTCGTATAATGATTCAGAAATGGTCAGCAATGAAAAATGCAAAGCAACCACAACAACAAAAGAAATGGATCATCATCCCAATCACCCCATTCGAACGTTAGTCAATCCAAAAGAATTTGAAAATGATGATTCTAGTCCGTTTGATAATGTTGAATTGCAATCGATTGATGAATTTAAAGAATTGAACAAAGTTTTTGGGGCCTTAAATTTTTCAACATCATCATCTATTACTACTACTACTACTACGACAACAACAGTTCCTCAGGTGCCCAGAAATTCTCCAATTCAACACCTGCATCATCTGCAACCATTGAACCAAACGGCTGAAGAATCAAATAATGTGATAACTCACCAGGCTCCATCCACGGCAATACCATTTCCTTTAAATAATTATACGTCGTACCATACAAATTATTCACAAATGATGACTACTGGACATTATCATCAACATCATCATAATACATTTTCGTATCAACAAAGTCCGATTCATAATATGGATACAAATACTAATACGGTGATGGCTACATCGAATAATCATTTCTATCATCCACATCATTATTATCAACCAGCGACGAATCCATTTTCGTTAGCTACCAACAACAACAGCAACAATAATAATAACCATCATCATCATAATACTACATCGTTTGAAATGAAAAGATCTTCATCTGAAAAGAAAGATTTCTATGAACCAAATAATCGATCTTTATCGAACAACATGATGACCACAGCAACGACAACATTATCATCACGTTCAAAAAGTGTATCCGATTTGACACAATTGTCACAAATGCCATCATCGACAACATCTGTAATGACAACAACAATTGGTCATCATCATCCACAATACAATCATCATCAGAATGCTAATAATTTGTATATGGCCACAAATCATGATCGTTTATTATATGATCGTTCGAAAACACCGCCATCTCGTATGCCGAATGATATTGGCGGCTATCACCACCATCATTTATCAAATCAACAATCTGTTCATAGACAAACAACAAATACATTGGTTGCCAACGATCCTTATGATACATTATCGGATGATCAACGAAAATTTGTCGATCGTCTCTGTCAGATGGGCTTTCGTCGTGATCGTATTGCACGAGCAGTTAAACATATGGACATTAATGATGATAAGAAAATATTTGAATATCTTCTGGTCCTGCAACAATTGGAAGACCAAGGCTATGATTGTTATGAGGCTGAGATTGCATTACATTTCAATAATTATGATAAAACCAAGGTAAATGGTGTAATCACTGAGTCAACGCAATAGTAAACAAATTTGTTTCTTTTTTCTTTTGATTACAGGCAGAAAATTTCCTCGAAATACTGAAACAAATGCTGGATTTTGGTTTCGACCGACAAAAATCGATCAAAGCATTATTCAAGACTAATAACGATAGGGAAAAGGCAATCGAGCTTTTGCTCAAGATGCATTAATTGATTATCTTTCAACAAAATTTTTTGATAAAAAAAGTTTATTTTCTTCTAAATGCATCCATATATTTAATGATTTTAATGTTTTTTTTTTTTCAAAGTAATTATAATTATAATAAAAAAAAAAGTAAATTGATTGCAATTGCAAATCTTTTTATGAGAAAAAATTATGATGACCATAAATCATTGTAGCTTAAATCCAAATCTTTACCGATGGATAGATTTTTCATATTTTGCGTATAAAATGTCAGTTCTTGTGTGACTAGCCTGAAGGAATGGAAATGAATTTGAAATTGCAAATTTCCAAATGAATGACACTTACCCATGTTGTGGTCCACCATCATTATTGATTTTCAATCGCAACAATTGTTCACGAAATGTATGAATGATGAGTGCATGAATTTTTTGAAAAAATTGTTGTAGATCATCATATGGTAGAATGTCTTGAATATTATCATGTAATCGAGACAAATGTTGTGAAATTGTCTGAAACGGTACCGATGGTATCGGGGCTTTTGCAACCCATTTATTGATGATATGTGCATGTACAACATCCCGCACTAGACCGATAATTTTTTCGGGTATTTTATCCAAATGGTTGGCATACAATTCATTCAATTCATCCAAATGTTTGAGCATTGTCGTTTTATGTGTTAGTAACGGTCCAAAATGATGTCGAATGCGTGGAATGCAACGAAGAATGAATATCAAAGAACGCATCGATATTATTAATGTTCGTGCCGTTATGGTTTTCAAACCAGTCACCTGTAATGCTTCAGCACCCAATATCAGCTGTGATGTACGTGAATTGAACAATTTCAATAAATCAATCAAACGCATAAACACATCAGGACTGAGTGATGAACCAAATTGTTGGCCAAGTTGACAATAATCGATAATCATATAGACTAAATTGATCACAGTGTTTATAATGACAAAACGTTCACCATTCAATGTTATGTATGATGAGCAATTGGCGGATGAATCATCTTGATTAAATTTAGAATTTTTAAAATCTGCATAAACTTGCAACAAATCACCATATTCATCAATATCGATCACGAGCCTGTGATATAGTTGTTGAATCTGTGGACTGATATTATTCACTGCTTTCCATTGTTCCAAATCAAGTAATTGTCGTAGTTTTCGTTTTCTTTCGTCATGAAATTTCGATACAAATTTATTCGATTGTATTTGAATTACCAGTTTCAAATTTGGACTACGTCGTCCGCATACAAGTTCACAATCGGCAATGAATGATTCAATCGAATTGGTCAGCTGCATAAATTGACCTGAATCAAATCGATCAAGGCTACCATCATTGGCTCGTAATTCAATAATGTTAGCTGTACGGCCATGTGCAAAATCACAGATTGAATGAAGAATTTCTTTCAATCGAGAACTTAGATCATAATAATCGATGGGCAAGATTACTTTAGCATCACCACCATCAATATCGTTTGAATTATTCGTGGCAAAATGGTGAGCATTACTACTGCTATAAGTCATGGTAGCAAATCCATCGTTGATTACATCATAAACATGACGAACACGCCGTAACAGTATGACCAAACGGTCGAACATAATGACCAGACATGAGATCCATTTATCGAAACAAAGACATTTCAATTGTTCAAAAAGGCTTGTATCAATTCGTGCTACTTCGATATTATCTTCCGATGATAATGTTTCAATCACAGTTTGTTTAACACTTGTTTTGATTGCTGTGAATGCCTCTTCGCGGAATGTATCGATAAAATTGAAACGTTGTAATTTAAGCATCCCGTAAATGATTGACAAAAGTTTTTCTTTTTGTACATTATTGCTGCCGTCCTCATTATCATTATCATTATCATCGCTACTACTAACCGGTCGATTCCATTCAGCAGTTAGATATTTAACAAATTCTTCATTCAACATTTGTTCGATAACTTTTTCAATTTCCATCAATTGTAACCTTAGATAACTAGTCAGAATACAATCAGTAATTAGCAAATTGACAAACGAGACAAACGAGACAAACAAAAAACATACCGAAGACTAATGACACCGTTCAATTCTTGTGCGACGACTTCTTCCGAAGTGGATATCAAATCTAATGCACCGGCATAATCACTTTTCGACAATAGCAATTGTATGGTTGGCTGTGTTTGATGTACGGTGGCAATCCAATTGATTTTGCGGAAAACATCACGATATTTTGTTCGTAATTGATTCAATTCATTAATCGTTTGTATGGGCTGGATCAATGAATCATTAAGCTGACGACAAACCTGACGAATCTGTGTTACTTGCCTGATGGAATCTTTTAATCTTTCCATTATTAGATCCATCGACGACATAACCTGGAAGAAATCTTGTGATCGGTGACCAATTTGGTGTGATAGGTCTTGCTCGACAATGTCCAAATATTCACTTAGAGATTTTTGAATTTCATTCATTGATTTTGAGTGAAATAATGATTCTAAACTCAATTGATCAGTAGTTGTTGTGCCATCAAGTTGTTGACCGCTACTACCACCACCACCACCATCGGCAAATAATCGTATCAATCCTATGAATGTTTCAGATTTGTCGAGATTGAAATCTGGATCGAAAAATAACCGCGGTACTAATCGATCGGACATGGAATCCTTATCCAATGAATGGTCAAATGGATTTTGTGAAGAAGGCAGTTGTTGCTGTTGTTGTTGTGGTGATGATCGATGGTTGGTGGTGGGTAAATTATGTTTTCGTTTCTGAATTTTTTTCATATAACTATCGAATAGTAATCTTGCCGGTTTTTTAGCAATCACAAAGGGTGCAACATAGCCAGTGTCGACGAAATTCGCGCCCCAATCCTTGGTGAATAGATTATCATAATAACTTCGTGGTTTATGTGGATCATTCAGAATGGATGTCAAATCTTGTGATGCAGAAAATATACTCCAATTAACATTATCGATAACATTAGGTCGATCATTAGTATTATGTTCATCGTTAGTAACAATGGTGGTGTTGAGGGTGGATGGTCGAGGAAAATCACAATTTCGATTATCAAATCGATTGTTACTTTGACTTGTTCTTCCGTTGTTAATTTCTTGTCGTTGTTGTTGTTCTGATGATCGTTGTTGATGTTTGAAATGTTGTGGATCTGATGTTGTGGCTGTTATCGTTGTTCCAGTGGGAAATATATGACATTTGGCAACATGTGTCTCATAATCACGGCCACTAACACCTTCATAAGGCAATAATGGACACATTGAGTTTGGTCCATATGAACAAACATGTGATCCACCTTCAATTTTACTATGATACATACGAAGATGATTACCAAATTGAAATGGCGATGAGAATGTTTCGTCATTCGTACAGAATTCACATCTTTTCCAATGTTTTGTCGATGTTGTATTCATATTCGTTCGTTCGTATTCGTATTCATTCATCATCATCATCATCATCAACAGGGTCGTCGTTGTTGTTGTTGGACATTAAATTTTGAATTCAAAATTCGTAATCATTGTTTTCATTTGAAGAAAAACAAAAATCATGTCGACATCATCACCCAAAAAAGTAATCAATGATCATATGGTACGGATGCCAAATCATAACTTTTTTCTATAATAAAGCCAATAGATGGCGATAGTTGTTGGCAAAACAAAAACTCCAAATGTTCGATTTTGATGGTGGACAATTCTCAAATCTCACACATCCTTCTCGGCAGCCATCATTCGGTATTATGATTGATCATCATCATCCAGATTTTTTAACAACAAAAAAAAAACAACGCCAACGCAACTTGAGATGGATCAACAAACTCGAGCAGCAACAACAGCAAATCGAAAAGCGGTAAAAAAATTCTAATTATCCATGACCATTGAAATTCTCTACTAATGAATACGATTCCATTGTTTTTTCAGGAAAAATTTTCTTTAACTTTTTTTGTGCCAACCAAAATATGTCGGCAATTTATATAACACAAGTTTATATGACCCAATGATGGACGGAAAATGTTTTTTTGCTGTCGTTGTCATTCATTGCAATTGTGTAAAAAGCCGTTTTAATTGTGCGTTAATGACACTAGCATTCCATTCGAATAAAAAGTTAACATCTTCACATGTATACCAGCATCTTATGACGACAAGATGGTCATATAATTCTCTTTAGATATTTCAACAGTGGTGATTGTTATCAATGAAAATTGTAAAGTGATACACTTGTCTCATCATCATTTTCTTGGTGTTCATTAATGGCCCGTCACACACACACACATGCAAATCTGATCCTGATCTTATCCCCCGATAATAATCACGTTTTTTAGAAAAAAAGGACCATTTATTATTATGGTGATCATAATAGCCAGTGACATACACACTACTATACTATGCACTTGATCGATACCAAAAAAAAAAGATCCAAAAAAATTGTGAAAAATAGTGAATGAACCCACCAACCACCACTTGCTGACGATGATGATGGGAACCGGAGAACTCAAGAAAAAAAAAGATTATCGATTTAGTTTTGTTGCTGCCTTGGTCTTGGTAAGTTTTCACCCAATTTTAATCAATAACTAAACTTTATGTGTGTGTGAGAACATTGTCAAAAACAGGGGCTGTAATATGTCACACACACACAATAATCAATACCAAGTTTTCCGGTCCGAAGATTGTCTGGTTGTTTGGGCTCTGTTTGTGTGTACAGTTGTGATTGTTGTAAAGTTGAAAATTTTCATGAGAGCCAAAGTTGAGAATGAAAAACAAGTGCGATAACCTAATGTGTGTGTGTGTGTAGTCGAAAAAATCATAAAAAATACAAAAAAAATACGTAAAAAAACGTACTCACTATGAATGGCCGACGACGAAAAAAAAAATTTTGATGATGAAAGAGAAAGAGAAAAATATGGTTTGGTCCATGGTCGTTTCTCAATTCAACTTGATTCAATATGGGCATTATCCGTTCGCAAACATATTAGCAGGTAGTCACGATTTTTTTCTCTGTCTTTTCAATTTTATCATTCATTGACCCAGGACCTAGCAAAACAAATATTATATATTGGTTTGGTAAACCAAACAATAATGGCTTCATTAAATCATCATTTATATGATTTGTGTTTGGCCAGATTTTTTTCCGCTTGACTGATTATTCAAGTGATATTTTGAAGGCCAAAATCGACATATTTGGAAAATGTTTTGGGTAAACATTTCCTTTTCTTGGGCCTCCTCTTGATGATCGAATGAATACACGAAACAGGTTGGCCATCATCGATCATCATCATTATGTTTTGTTGTTGTCGTTGTTGTTGTTGTTATTATTGGTGTGTTTGACTTGACCTGAATATATTAGCTTTTATTTCGGTGACATTTAATCTGATGACCTATGTGATACTATGATCATTGATGAGATCTGGGGTGTATTTAGTTTCCGGTGGTGATAACATCATCATCATCATCATCATCATCATCAGGTCAACATTATATTGATTCCGGTGATGTGCAAATGAATCAAATTGACAAATGATATTCCATTCATATGAACATTAAACATTGTGTCATTACATCATTTACAGTTGAATGAATGAAATCATGCGACACACGACAAAATTCATCCATTATGGGTTTCATTTTTGAAATTCATTTCCGATGTTCATAACGATAGGAAATGAAATGAAATGAATTTTTTTATTTGAAAAAATTTGATGAAAAACACAAATCCAAATGTTGTCTTTTTGAATTGAATTTTTTTTGGCTCTCAATTCCATATGTATGATATATATAGTCGATAATTTGATAATTGAAGTGTAGCAATCGAAGCAATAGTCAAAGAAGGAGAGAAAGAAAATAATTCATGACTTGTTCGCCGCCGTTCATAATGATGATGATCATCATTGATGAGATCGCCCACGATATTGGTTGGCGGTTTTGGTTAGTCATTTCGAATCATTTTTCGTATCACTTTAGCCATAATAATGTTTGATTGTCGGAAAATGGCCAATGGGCAAAAATATAGATCATCGATGATTATAGCACTGTGTTTATGTTTGTGTGCGTGATTATATAATAGATTTCGATTTGATTTTTCATCATCGACCATGATGATGATGATGATCCGGGTGTTTAAGCATACCGACATTTGATTCGATTGAACCACATTCTTCATTCAATCATTCATTTGACAATTGACATTGATATTCGGTTTTCATTATTTTTCTTGTGGTGGTAGTGGTGGTGATTCAATTCCTATGAAATGAAAAAAGAGAAAAAAATGGTATCAATTTTCACCATTCAAAAAAGAGTTGTACTTTGTTTTGCTCTGTAGTAAACACACACAGATGGTGGCCATCCATCTTTGGCCCTAGAGCCTAAACCAAAAGTCATAATATTATCTTGATATGTGTGTTCAGATCAATGGAATCTGTTGTTTTCAATGTTTTTTGGACATTCTAAACCAAAACGAAAACTGTGTTTAGATGAATAAAGTCAAAGTGGATTTGTCCGCCGATATGGTTTCATGGTTTTTCTGGTTGGTTTCCATTGAATTCAGTGTATGTGTTTGTTTGTTTGTGGTGAAAGTTTTAAAACATTCAAACACCACACCCAATAAACCAAAATATTACAATCGGATTTTGATGATCGGAAGACAAATTCTTCTTCTTATTCATTTTAACGAGAAAAGAAAACAGGAACTTGTTTATTATCATCTTGGTTGGTGGTCGTCTTTGCTTATTATTTTTTTTGTATATTTCTTTGAGATGTTAAATGTTTTGATGTTTCTCGTTGTTTGCCACTTGTTGGTTTGGTTCATCATCATTGATTGAGTCGATCATTTCAATTTGAATTTAATTTTTTTTTCAAAACAAAACTCTGTGTGTGTGTGTGTGTGGTAACAAGTTAACAAACACACATACACACAGTGACTGTGCTAATTAATATTTTTCTCCATCATACAAAACATACTGAACTACTATTTGGACGTGTCAAATTGATTCACCACTAATATTTCGCACTTGTCTCTTTATGGATTTTTGTTTCGTTTCGTTGATCCGGTATGTGTTTATATATGAATTTGTTTGCATGAGGATCAATTTGCAGCATCGTTCATATGGATAGATGGATAAATGTCAGTCGTCGTCTTTGGACATCAATCATTCGGCAATAATGTCGATTACGATGATGATGATGATGATGACACTGACACATAACATCGACAGGAGTGATATGATGGTGGTGTCGTTGGCCACACTTGTAGCGAGCGATAAATAATCTATATGAATTTATGCACGGTATACATATGATGGATGCCATCATTCACATCTTTCAATGTGTGTGTGTAGTTTTTCACAAGATTTATGGCCAAAACGACTGTATATAATTTTCACTAAATGAACTATATGGAATGCTATTTATTATAATAATATGATTCTCTTGATTCAAATATACATACAATACAATCTATAATTCTTGAAATGAAAAATACATTCACTGTGTGTGTAAACAAATATATAACGATCTTCAAGATTTTCATCAATGATCACAAATCATCATCAAACATTTTCATTTTCATATATAAAATCATAAAAACAAATATTCAAATGTGCACAGAAGCTATGTAAAACCGATTATCACATCTAGCCGAAAGCGATCAAAGATCAAAAGATTCAAAATTCTTTCCCTCTCTTTTAAGACTATTATTACAGATCGATTGCATATGTATGCGATATAGCCGCATTCATTCCATATTTATTACAATCGGATGTGACCACACCAATCGATTTCATCATTTTCGTAGATTTATCGCTACAAAACTAAACTGAATGGTTAACTCTATAAAATTATGAGTCCAATAATCATCGATACGAAAAAATGTCGATCATCGAGAGCAGCAAAATTTTTTTCAAGTGAAAAAAAAGAGTCGAAAATAATCGGATTCAAATTTGGATATTTTTTTATCGAGTCAATGAAGAGAATGACCATCGAAATCTCTCGATATCAACCACACGGTGAGTGTCAATATTATCATCTGAAATAAATAATTTATTTTCGTTCAATTTACAGCAGCAGTCGACGCCCAAATTATTGCTTGCTCTCTCGATCTTTCTCGCTTATCTCAATCATTCGAAATGGCCAGAAAAGAAAAAAAAATTCAAACATTCCCGGCTTGCCTTTCACTTTGGTAGTTATCGGCATTTTGAATTCGAAACTAAACGAAACGAAAAAAATGGTGACAGATGTAAAGCGAGCCGATTTTTGTTTTGTTCAATCGTCTTTGGAATGTCATGTTTTTCTTGTCCTTGTCCTGGCTAGTGTTTGACCCCGTGGGTCAGTCACGATGGTCATGATGATGATGATTGGTCACCACCATAAGGTAGGCCATGATTTGTTCAATTACACCGGATGTCTATCGATGAAAATCTTCAAGAAAAAACAAGATCTGATCACTACCACCATTTGCCTATTATTTGGCCACAAGTGTGTGTGTGTGTGTACACCCCTGTAGTACTGGATTCATTCTGAAAATTTTCAAAATCGAATTGTTATGGAAATTTTTGGTCAAGAATCAAGTTGACGACAATTATTTACTTACTCTCACAATATTGTTGTTACGCTCGACAGTTGGTCTTTGGACCACATCACCACCACCACCACTATGGTCCCGTGTGATTTGGCTACTGGAAATTTTCTATTCAATATTCATACAATGAAAATGAATGGCAAAAATGGCTGGCTGAATATGTGATCAATCTCAAATGCATGCAACTCTAGTAATGGGGACCTTCTTTTATTCACAACGGTGACAACCAGACAGGTGTTACCCAAAAAGAAAGGTCTTTTCTCTGGACTTTCTCGATTTCAACGATTCATATATAGCAGACTTACTGCATCATTAGTGAACAGAGAAATATCCAACAACAACAACAACGTTTGTCCGCCGTTACCTATTTCATTCAGATCAGATTAAATTTGGCACACGAATCAACAACCGACCAAAGAGACCCTGTGGGCCACATAAATATCGATCCAATTGTCCAATACATGGTGTGTGTGTGATGGTGCAGCCACTGGCTTTTGTCTGTGTTTGTTATTGACGGTCTTCCGGCCCCTGTACTAACGCTACACACGTATTTATGAAAATACGTTCGTGACACAAGGTAAATGCCGACCTTACTACGACATCGATAACAAACTAGAGCAGATGAATGAATGAATGTGACGGACTTTCTTTCTTTCATCTTCATCTCAATCACTATGTGTGTGTGTGTGTGGAAGGAACAACTTTGGACTCGAGACTTGAACAAACGAAAAAAAGGCAAACATGAGCGGCAAATTTTCATCTTTTTTTGGTTCATTTCAAAACACACACGTATCAACAAAGATCAACAGGAGAAATGGAGCAAAGTGTCCCCATATTAAAACAGAAGCGAAACTGCAGCTGGACCTGTTGACTAAGGTTTTTTCCACATTCATTCATTCAACAATTATAATGTATGTATGGTCTATATAATAAACGAAAAGTAAAGTAAAGATTTTTTCTCTTTCCCTAGCAAATGCCCCTTGGTAGCAAAAAAAAACACACAGTTATATGCAATTGGAGACCGAGGGTATTCATTCATTCATTCATTGAATCTCATTGCTTGGCATATTCATTCATTCACGAAAATCAACTTTTTCCGTCCTCTGTTCGTCAAGCGAGAGATAGTGGGAGAGAGAGAGATTGCCAAGCTTACATTACATTAACGAAGTAAAGCCATCTCTCTCTATGATCGTCGTCGTTCGCTTTCGTTAGCTGAGATTTTCGGCATCTCGACATTCAGTATTGAGCTTTGGTCGAAAGCAGATGTATGTTCATACACCATTGGTGTGTTTGTTTTGAATATTTTTGGCCAGGAAAATCAACCCAAAAAACTTGGTCGCTTTTTAAAAAAAATCTGTCATTTTTTTTTGCTTTGCTTTGTAGCACACACAACTCATTCAGTGAATTTAGTTCTGGAGTATATCTTGTAAATCACCACCAAACCGGTCATCATATGTCTTACGAATGAAAATCGATCGATTCTTGAAGAAGAAGAAAAAAATTCGGCTTGTCATCTTTTATCCAACAGTTTCAACATCCGATCGTCTCCAAAGTGTCTTTTTCAGCTGTGTGTTTTCTTAGTTTCAGTTTTGTTTATTTGTTTAATTTTGTGCTCTGGATTTTGTGAAAGTTTTTCATCAGGCAAGCCATCATCCCTTGATGACTGTCACCCACAATTTTCAGTCAATGATTTTGTTTCAAAAAAAAATTCTCACCACACAACCAAAGACTGAAAACCGTTTTGAATTAATTTTTTTGAGAACGGCATCGTGTGCTCTCTACTCGAAATTTTTTTAATAATTAAAAAACAACCCATTATTATATAGAATGGCCACCAACTTGCCTTCATCATCATCATCAACGATGTGTTTGTCGACAATCATCCTGTTGATCATTATTATCAATGGTAAGTCTGATTTATTTTCATGTCCATACATCCCACACAAACACACCACATTTGAATTTTGATCGATATGACCACAAAATATGAATTTTTTTTTTGGCCAAAATATACACACACATACAGACAAGTATTTATAATTTATTTCGATTTAATCTCAATCAATCTTTTAAAATGAATGATAATGATGTGCCATATAATCGCGCCTTTTAATAATAATGATGATCATGATCATCGAAATGTTTAGTTCAATCATCGATCGATCGATCGATTAGTTTTCAAATGCCTGTTGATGATCGGGCAGTCCGGTTTTTCTTCTATTCTCTTTTTCTCTTCATTCATAGCAATAATACACACACTCACACACAATAAGTTAATTGTAATGATCGAATCGAATTTTCTTTTACTTTTTTTCCACATTTCTTACGATTGGTTGTGTATTAGATAGGTGTTAATTAAATTGATCGATGATGCTTTTCTCGATGCGATGATGATGATGAATCCTGATTAGGATTTTTTTCTGATTTCTTTCCAGGGTTTAAAAATTTTTAGATCAATGATGATGATCATGATCACCAAGATTTTCATGTTCACAATTTTGTTTTTTTTCTCTAGTTGATGTCGGTTACTCATTTTGATCATAAATTTATGGCTAAAATATAAATCTTTCGGTTCTAATTTTTTTCGTTGTTTAGTTTGATTATAGCCTATGATGATGATGATGATGATTGGCGACGATTAACACACAATTAATCTTTTACTTCAGTATGTGCGTTTGAGTGTGTGTTTGTTGAGCAAAAGAAAAAGGTTCCGGCTATTTTTACATTCATTACATTCAAACTAATTGTGTGTGTGTGTGTGTGATATGAACGCACACACCGATTGACCGACCCATTTATTTGATCTGTCATTATTTTAAGCAATATAACGTGTTTAAAACGTTAACACTTTGCTCAAATGTTCATGTATAAAATCGTGGTCATACGTTTGGTTAAACGTTTAGGCAGGACAACTGGACCAAATCTATGTGGATCTCAATTTTTGTTTGTTATAATTACAAAGTTGATTTTTGCCGCTTGTTTTTTTCTTTGGAATTTGGACCTCGTTTGATGATATTGTGTCTCGACGAAATGATGAAAAAAGTGATATTTGTTTGTCTCTGAACCTTGAGACACTATACACAAACAAAAATCACTGGAAAAAATATATGACCGGCCAGGTTATAGTGTGTGTGGAGAGGAGTCGAGGCCACTGTTGTCTACCTGCATATTCAAATGTGATGATTATATTTTTTGGTGTATTTGTTTTGCATACAAATTAGTGTTTTAAGAATTAATGTTTTTGCTCATCATGATGATCATGATGGCTATAATCCGAACGGAACTTGCTAGCCCCACACATATCAATGTCTTATAGTCGTCGGTTGGTTGTTGGGTTTTGAATCAGACACATTTATTAGAGAAAAGGTAAGATGAATGGATGAACAAGTTCGATTCGTTCATTTGGTCATTAATCGGTCTCTTTTTAGCCCCACTGTTAATGTTATGGTCATAGTTTGACTGTTTATGGCTGTTTGTTTGGTGTCATCATTCGTTAATGCGCTTAATATTGACACGGTTCTGGCCACATCATTTTTATCATTTGGAGGATACCGCATCTTTCAAATGTATTCTCATTGCTAGACTTGGTTATCGATGATAACACCTTGACCAGCAGTAAACATCATACAGACATTATTATTCGATCATGATCGTCATAACCATCGATATTTTAGAATCAAAGATTATCTCTTTCTGCTTGATATACGAGTGTATCACAATCACAGATTCGGCTTCTGTCTTTCTCTATGGCCAGATATTCATAGTGGACAATGACATACATTGAATGAAGCACTACACTAATTCAGTGATCATTCAAACCTATCAATTAATCAATCCACTGTGGTTTATTTCATTATAAAAAATCATATTGACAACAATTTGATCCATGAAAAAAACCATGACAAATGAACTTTTTTTTCGTTCAAAAAATCAAAAATTCTTGTTCCGAATGACTGTCATTAGTGAATTTATTGCTCGTGTCTTGTCATGTTGTTGTTGTTGTTGAAAAAGTCCCAATAAAATTTTGCCAACAACAACAACAACAATGATAACAAAAATGTCATTCAAGATTAAAGGTGTGCACACACATACATACAGTATGCCATCGACTTATTGTCACCAGCCACTCCTGTCAAGCAAAATGACCAACAATAACTAAAGAGTTATGAGTGTGAGATAGAGAACAAAGTATTCAGTCAATCAGTCACTATGTCACAATGTCACATGCACATACGCAGCGAAAAATATGTGTAATTGTGACACACGAATGTTCAATCGGTCATTCATTACCATTTTTTCGTGTGTGTTGAATATTTTTACTTTGGATTTAATTCCGATTTCAAGAGAGAGAGAGAGAAAAACATGATTACTTACGGTGTGCACGATAATTGTTCAACTTAATTGTCCAAATAGATAGAGTACTGGTCCATATAACAATGTTATACACCTGGGGTTTGCGTGGTTGTTTATTCGTTTGATGATCTTTTCAAACATCACCCGGTCCGACGATAATTTTATTCGATTGGATTCGACCAATTCACTTTACCTTTTTGAATCTTGTATATGAATTTGAAGGAATTTACCCAGCCAGCTAGTCAAGCCATGCCAGGTAATTCACTCTCGCTACAAGTTTTCAAAATGCAAGTTTTTTCAGGTTTTTTTTTCTTACAAGCCACTTGAGAAGGAGAATTTCAGGCTTGTTTATGTGTTGTGTGTGTGAAATTGAATCAAATGAATGAATGAACAATAACTCACCTGGGTATAGCTGTGTGTGTGTGTGTGTTTATTCTCCATATATACTCATCATCATTTTGTATGTACCACACCTTAGATACTTTTAGACTGAATTTTTTCCAATTCGAAGATTAGATTCAAAAACAGATTTTTTCTGGTCGAAAAAATGGTTATTCTCTCTGACATAACATATGCAAGCAATAATAGTGCACCACCACCTCCACTCTCGCTATCGGTCACCTATGATCGATTATTATTATTTTGTTGTTGAATGTTTATGTTGTTCATTCAATGATTGAATGAATAAAGAAGAAGCAAAGCTCAAGGTTGTTTTTAATGTGTAATAATCATTGCGTGTTACCTGTGTGTGATGTCTATCTATCTGTAGATGTATGTGATTTGTTCATTGCCAAAAGCCATCATATAGTCATGATGATGATGATGATGATAATCAAGAGCAAGGTAATATCCGGGTTAACGACGAATGATGAGTTTTTTTCGTTGTTTTTTTTTTTTGTTTTGTATATTTTTTGGCTGCTTGTTGATCATTTCGGATTTATGTATACAACACACACACACACACACACACAGGATTCACATTTGGCACACCATCATCAATGTTTTTCTATGATGACGATGATGATGATCCTGGTCGTAAAATCCTAATAATAATAATGGCCATAATTTCATTAGACCTGTGAACATATAGCCAACTAACGAACAAACTAGAGAGAGGGTATAAGGTAGGTTTAAGGTTAATTTCAATGATGATGATGTGTGTGTGTGTGTGTGTGGATCAAGTTCATCGTTTTTATTTTGTTTTGTTTTTTTACAAGCGAATTAAGATTAGCTTTGAATTTTTCAAGAGTTGAAAATGAATAAAAACAACAACAACATGAACCAATCTTTTGTTGTTTTCAAAGTTATTTACTTCTTTTCTTATATGTATGATGTGTTCACATAGCCGGATTTTTTTTAGCTCTTGTCTTTTCCAACAAGTCAATTCACCAATCGACCTTTGATGGCTTTTGATGATCCGGTTTTTCTTTTTTTTCGCCATCAATCGATTTCAATCATCATTATTATGATGATGATAATGATTTCGATTGTTTAATCATTTGTGTTATGTTTGTGTTAATCTTTTTCTCAGAAATAAAAATCAATGATGGCGACCCGATTTTGTTGTAGTAATGTCCTTTTTTTGTTCACATTATCATTATTGTGTCCATAGTCGAGACATTGACATGATACAGGCATTGATCACATGCATTTTTCCATGTTATTGTCGGCCATGACATTTATGACAATCGTCATCATCATTCTCCTCCCCTTCTGATATTACACATGTCATTCGGTATTATGGTGATGACAGGCCTTTTTGAATCATCATCATTTTTTGATTGTTTTTCTCTTCAAGTTCATAGATTCGTAGTTTGGTCAATCATGCAAGCGATCCATATATATATATGTGTGTATGTGTGTTTGAGTGATTTACCGATCATATAAGGACAAAAAGTAAAATTAAGATCCATGTGTGTGTGTGATACGGTCACACGGTTGTCAGGAATTTTTTTGTTTCATTGGAAAATATTATCTCTCTTTTTCTATCTGTGTGTGTGATTTACTTTATAAGAGAATAATTTAGCACTAGCAACAACAAAAAAATCAATCATTCAATGATGACATCGATAAATTGTCAATTTTTTTTATCAAAATCATCGATCGATGACACGAACCGATCGGATATATAGAGTAGTAGTATTGAACAATTATATGGTGAGAATATTGAATTCATTCAACCATGATTTTCACCATTCATTCATTCATTCATTCATTCATTCATTCAATCAACAAAGAGAATTGATCAATTAAATGCTCTGCCATCATCATCATCATCACTTGACGTGACTCGACAGATTCCATACATGCATACACACACGCACACACACACAATATCCATAAAGTTCCGATCGGTTGTTGATGGTAATTCATGGCTCATATTTTAGTAAAGAAAATGAATTTCGAATTGAATTTTTTTGTTTATAAAAATGACTAATCACTCGTGTGATGTGTTCATTGATTTGTGGTTATAATATGTGTGTGTGTGTGTGTGTATAGTGTTTCCATTCTGACAGAATCATGCACACACACACATTACTGAGTAAAGATTAT